AATACCGTCCCTTACACTACTAAGAACTATTGCGAATAAATGCTAACTGTAGCTGCAAGTATTTCAGACCTTTAATGTTACTCCTTACCTATTCTAAATACCAAGTCTATATCGCAACTAGGCACTCGATGTTTTACGTATCTATCTTTCGCTATAGTAGTAGTTCTTATAGTACGGTGCTTCCTTAATTGCGCGGTAGACAATCGTACAAGGTCGGCACTACATCCTTTGTCGTAAAACAATACTTTGCGATTATAGATTGCTCTTTTATCCGACACAATGTGATTAAGAACTATATGTCTAATAAATACTAGCCGATCTCCTTTAAAGTCGCAGCCCTCCTCTCGGCACTCGAGATAGTCTAGTCTACGCTGTATAACAAGAAGGTTTATCTGCGTACGGGCTTTATTGTATTTAGTATCTCCTATAACTCCTATCTATAATGGATCTAGATAGGGAGGGTTATAGCGACAGTCCTTTCCTTTACGAGAGCGACCCTTTCTATTGTAACAGTACTTCCGATCTACATTTTCGCTGTAACTCTCTCTTATAATGTAGAATGGATTCCTATAACAATTGTTCCTACATAGGTGTAATTGCTTATAATAATCCTAGACTTCATTAGCTATATATAGGGACAGCCCTATCTGCATTACCTTAGCTATTAGAGCGGTTAGCGAGTGAAACCCGCTATAAATGCATTTCAGGTCGAGGGGCTATATATAGAAGTTATACAGCGAGAAGACTAATCTGTTACCTATAGTCTGCTTAGCGGCTGTCCCGTCCCTCCTAAGTAGTAGCATACAACCAAATTCGTAATAGAAGGTTTGGATCTTTTCGAAGTCGGCCTCTATAATCGTATACTCTCTACGCTATTGCAGATTAAGGCCCAGATTAGTAAAGTATTGCTAGGTAAAGCTTCTACAGCGCTATTGTACGATGTCTTGTAAGAACATCTATGTTATACACTTCGGTATATTAGTTATTATTGCGAAGTCTTCTACGGATATCTCGCGTAGCGCTAATGTGTCAATATGCTTACGTCGCTCGTGCTATAGAGAATGTTCCGTAGGTGCAGTAATTGTAGCGACACTATCCCCCTTAGCCTAATTGGTATACGCCTTTAGATTGGAGCGATAAGCTTACGTAGGTGCAATTGATGCCCGAGCGAGTACTTAAGCGACTATATCGGATAATGCTTGAGTAGACTAACGCCCGCCTATAGTAGTGCGATTACGACTAGGAGCGATAGGCACGCTCGTCGGCACATTTAGTATATTGCTAGCTATAGCAGATATTCTATAAGCAGGTTGAGAGGGGTTTACCGCGGGTTTTCGTATTAGCTTCTACGGCGGGGTTTCCTAGATCTGATCTAGCGAGCTGTATAGAATCTCTAGCAAGGTACTATAGTTAGACGAGGCAATAATACCTAGGATGTTGGGTAGAAGTGCTAATAGGCTCTGTATCTCGTATATTACAAATCTCTTCTGCTTCTTTATAGGAGGTGTCTGCAATTCGCCCTAAATCTCTGCATCGCGTTTCGTACCTCGTGTATCTATATAAGATTGCTACTGTACCTAGCGTAGCATATAAGGCTAGTTATCATTTCGACCTATTATACTAGCTCGTAGTCTACCGCTAGTTTGCTCGGCGTTAATGTTAGCGGTATGCGTATCTTAGAGTAGCTTAGGAGTCGTAGATTCTAGGCTATTATTAGCAACTAGAGCAACTCCCGTAAGATAGATAAGATCCTCTCTCGTTGTTCTTACTCTCCCGTACCTTCGGAGTACTCTTATAGCGGATACAAAATTCGATAGCGAGAATTAGGCGGTATAGTTGCACTTTAAGAGCCTCGTAAGCTCGCTAAGCTATACGTACTTGTCCTTGCATCGCTCTAAGATATCGATAATCGTATATATAAGAGCTATAGCGGGTTTATGTTTTGTTATTAGAGAGGCTACATCGGAGCCCCGATATAACTCTGTATTAGGTCGAGGTAGAGAGACGGGCTCCGTATCGTCTAGCGATCGCTTCGGCTGCTAACCGTAAGCAGATACTAGAGAGTCTCTGCTATGTATACTAATATCGCGGCGTCTGTTATTATAAGGACTTAGTGTATAGGTAATCTAAGAGGGGCTATCTCGCTCTCTAGATATTGTATAGTAAGCAGCTAACGTACTGCCTTAAGGAGCATTAGGATCTTAACGAGTATCAAAGTCTTAACTAGTATTAAAGTCTAGAGGAGCATTAAAGCCTAGAGGAGCTAGCAAATCTTGACCGGCATTAAAGTCTTAACCGGCATTAAAGTCTTAACTAGCATCAAAGTCTAGAGGAGCATTAAAGCCTAGAGGAGCATTAAAGCCTAGAGGAGCTAGCAAATCTTAACCGGCATTAAAGTCTTGACTAGCATTAAAGTCTAGAGGAGCTAGCAAATCTTAACGAGCATCAAAGTCTTAACTAGCTACTAAACGTCGAGGAAGCTGCGAATATCGAGGAGCTAACAAGTCTTAAGGAGCAGTAACGTCTTAGGAGTGCTCTGAATTTTAGTAGCGCTTCGACTGCTAGAGAGGAAGCTGCTCTTTTCTCGCCGGTCTTAGCGCCTACTCTGTTCTAGACGGTCTCGGCGCCTACTGTTTTCTCGACGGCCTCGGCTCCTGCTCTTCCTCTTCCTCGGTATCGAAGCCGTACCATTCTAGGTATTCTTCTGCTACCGCAGTACTAACATTCCTACGAATAGGTGCGCCAAAGTTTATACTGCGTAACTAAGTAGGCTAGGAAGGTTCTAACTCTTAAGCTCGTTGCTTTAGTTCGGTAAATAGAGGTAGCGTATTACCCTATACGTCGATAGCAAGGCTAGTCTTCCGTATATTAGTAAGCGGGTATGCTAACTCCCTAAGTGCTACTAACCTTCTTTCCGCTAGTACGTATGCTTCCCGTCTGTAACGTACGTAACTTTGCAGTAGCTTTCGAAAGTGACTCCTTAAGGTATTTGAGGCTCGCGAACTTATCCTTTAGATCGTCGTAACGTGCTAACTAAATTCCACTGTCGATCTATTGCGCGAGTTCTATTTCTGTAAGTGGGTACTAACCAGCACTAGGAATATGCTGTCCGTAGGCTCTGACTTACTCTCGGAGCTTAGCGATATCCTACGCGAGCTAATAGCTACGGATGAAACGACGTCTCGTTAATCTCCTCTAGCTCGCAAACGGCGTAGAAGTTATTGTCGGTAGTTGCGGTTGTAATCCTCCGAAGGATCAGTTTAGAGATTCGTACCTAGTAATACTGCTAGCGGCGGAGTGTACGAAGTCTAATCACGATTCTGCTTAGTTTGGTATAATCATCCGAGGTGTATCTACTTGCGCTTGCCTTATTGTCTATTGCCGCCGCCGCTATTGCCTCTATTTTTAGATTACTACTAAAAGTCCTACTATTAAACAGCCGCCGCATTCTTCTAGTAAGAATCGCCGGTCGTTAGTAAATACGCCTACTTACTAGTTACTAGGTTATAATATATTAATTAGCGGCGACTACTATAGTATATATTATCGTAGGTCTAACGGCTACGGTATAGGCACATTCGCGACGACTATTAAATAGCAAAGACCGCTTAGTATAGTAGGTATAAATAGAAAGCGCTATTAGTAAAAGACTTAGTATATAACGTCTATTAAACTACCGTTATCTAAGGAATATATACTATATTAATAAGTGCCGTCGTCTATATCGTACGTATTCTAAAGTACTAAGTTAGTAACCTATATAGGCTTAAATTGCAATAGCGGAAATAGCTTAGGTAATAGCGGAGAATAATAGTAACTATTTCTATACTAATTAGTATAGAGACTAGTCGCTATATACTCTATTATACGTTAGGTCGCTACGTCTAGCGTAAATGGGCCCCTTACTAGCGGCGGTCGTTATAGGTAGTAAGGTTATTACTATAGGTAGACTATCTCTTAAACGCGACTACTAATTAATAGTAATACGCCTATATCTAGATTAATCTACGCCTATTATATAGTAAATAAGATACTATCTTTATATCGCTATTAATAATACTAGAGATATTATTATAGCTATACTATCGCCGATAGGCGTATATATTTAGTATAATACTACCTAGTAGTATCGTCTCGATAGGTTAGTAATATTTAGTATAATACTATCTAGTAATATCGTCTCGATAGGCTAATAATAGGCACGCTAGTACTAATATTTCCGCCCTCCTAATCTTTAGCCTTCTAATAGTAGTCGTAAGTAATATTCCTAATAAGACTATAAATTAGAAGATAGCGGTCCTTTAGTATAGTACTAGCAATACTACTAACTTTCTCGTTATTACTATCTTTAATAGGATTGTTACTATCTATAAGCTACTTACTATAAGTCTTTAGCGAGTTAATATTACTATTAAAGCCTTTAGGGTCGAAGAAACGGTTAGTATAGTAGTAATCTACCTACTTCGCGGTTATACTATCGCTTAGAATCTCTTAATTATATAGTTATACTAGGTATAGCGATACGGCTAGTACTACTACTTCTAATAGAAGTACTAGTATATATTAGGGAATTAGTTATTAAGTTATAACTAATATCGTATCTAGTTTAGAAGACCTAAATTAGCCCTCTTCTAAGCTAGTCGATATTGCTTAGTAATAGCCGTTTAAAGGTAGTATAGAAGTTTATAGAAGCGCTTATAATAGTACTATAAAATAGCTATTATAATATAGTAGTATAGCAGTACTATATTCTAGGTATAGGCTGCCCTAAGGTGTGCCTAGTTGCAGTATAGGACGAAATTCTATAAATATTAAAGTTTAGGTATAGGAAAATTAAATAAAATATAGCTAGTATAGAGTAGCTTAATTAATATACACTTTTTAATATTAGTTAATCTAAGATTAAAGCTATAGCAGATAGATTTCAAATTATTGTAAGGATATACTAAAAGTATATCGGGGTTTGTTATTAGAAACGTCGGGCCGCGGCAGTCGCACTGCTACTTGCGCGCTTCCGTTCCCGCCTCCGCTCCCGCTAATACCTTTCTTTCTTTCCTTCTTCCTCGCCCCGAATACTGTCTATACAGCACTAGACTCCTTATGGATCTTACTGAAAGTCGTGCCTAGCACGCTCAAATTATGCCCTGCATATACCCGGCCTAACTCCTCATAGATCTCGCTAATAAAAGAAGTCGTGCCCAGCACGCTCAAATCATGCCCTGCATGTACCGGCCTGACTCCTCATGGATCTCGCTGAAAGTCGTGCCTACTAGCACGCTCAAATCATGCCCTGCATGTACCGGCCTAACTCCTCATGGATCTTACTGAAAGTCGTGCCTAGTACGCTTAAACCATGCCCTGCATGTACTCGGCCTGACTCCTCGTAGATCTCGCTGTTGCTGAAAGTCGTGCCTAGCACGCTTAAACCATGCCCTGCATATACTCGGCCTAACTCCTCATGGATCTTGCTGAAAGTCGTGCCTAGCACGCTCAAACTATGCCCTGCATGTACTCGGCCTAACTCCTTATAGATCTTGCTGAAAGTCGTGCCCAGCACGCTTAAATCATGCCCTGCATATACTCGGCCTGACTCCTTATGGATCTTGCTGAAAGTCGTGCCCAGCACGCTCAAACCATGCCCTGCATGTACTCGGCCTGACTCCTCATGGATCTTGCTGAAAGTCGTGCCTAGCACGCTCAAATTATGCCCTACATATACTCGGCCTGACTCCTCATGGATCTTGCTGAAAGTCGTGCCTAGCACGCTCAAACCATGCCCTGTATATACTCGGCCTAACTCCTCATGGATCTTGCTGAAAGTCGTGCCTAGCACGCTCAAATCATGCCCTGCATATACTCGGCCTAACTCCTCATGGATCTTGCTGAAAGTCGTGCCTAGCACGCTCGAATCATGCCCTGCATGTACCCGCTTGACTCCTCGTGGATCTTGCGTAGGCCGCGCGAATAGCAGGCACCTTCACGCGGTACGCGGTGTGAGTAGCGAAAGCGAAACTGAGACCTGCTAGCTTACACAGCGAACATGGCTTCCGTGTTCACTGAACTTTACTCGGAGTTACATCAGCAAAAATCTCAAAATTCTTGGACCCTCAAAGTTCTTGGACCCTCAACATTCTTGGACCTTCAAAGTTCTTAGACCTTCAAAGTTCTTGGACCCTCAAAATTCTTGGACCCTCAAAGTTCTTGACCCTCAAAGTTCTTAACCCTCAAAATTCTAGACCCTCAAAATTCTAGACCCTCAAAATTCTTGGAGCCTCAAAGTTCTTGGAGCCTCAAAATTCTTGGAGCCTCAAAGTTCTTGGAGCCTCAAAGTTCTTGGAGCCTCAAAATTCTTGGAGCCTCAAAATTCTTGGAGCCTCAAAATTCTTGGAGCCTCAAAATTCTTAGAGCCTCAAAATTCTTGGAGCCTCAAAATTCTTGGACCTTCAAAGTTCTTGGACCCTCAAAGTTCTTGACCCTCAAAATTCTAGACCCTCAAAATTCTAGACCCTCAAAATTCTTGGAGCCTCAAAATTCTTGGACCCTCAAAATCTTGGACCCTCAAAATTCTTGGACCCTCAAAATCTTGGACCCTCAAAATTCTTGGACCCTCAAAATTCTTGGACCCTCAAAATTCTTGGACCCTCAAAATTCTTGGACCCTCAAAATTCTTGGACCCTCAAAATTCTTGGACCCTCAAAATTCTTGGACCCTCAAAATTCTTGGACCCTCAAAATTCTTGGACCCTCAAAATTCTTGACCTTTATGGCCTTGCCTCGTACATTGCTCTGTAATAGAAGACCGAGACTAGTAGGACTAAGGGCACGCAGAGCACATAGAAAAATGAACAAGACCCACTTTTCCCGACCCCTATTACTACCACTTTTCTTTCGCTCTCCTATATCTTATTAACCTTTATACTAGGGGATTCTAGACCCCTATTGCCTAGCTCCTCTTTCACTAATATCTAATGCTCGATCTGTATACTATAGGGGTAATATCGAGCTATTCTTACCAAGCGCTTTTGGTTTTCCTAAGTCGCCTTAGCACTTACCTACTAACCCCTATAATGCCCTAGTTAAGGTCCGCTACAATTATCGGGTTCGCTTAGATTACGTTACGAACACGCCTAGCTATATATATAGAGCAGACGAGAATGTCTACGCCCGACGTCTAGGACCGATTGAACTCTACGATCACTTATAATCGCTAGTTAGTATCCTTCGGCACCCTAGAGTTAAAAAGCTGCGACTTTAGACTAGCCTTCTTATACGCCTAGATAGAAGTGTTAGTATATTGCTTTAGCTCTTATTTACGAAGGCAGAGCTTACTAGATTACTAGTATAAGCTACTGCGTTAGAATAGCTTATCACTACGGCCTTACGGCCCTTATTATCTTTAACGGTGTTAGCCGCCTGCTTCTTAAGCTCCGAGATAATGTCCTTAATACGTAGGCTTTCTATAAGCTCATTAAGGAAGTAAGTATATAGGTCCTTATCGGGCTTAGTTAGCTAGTAGAAACCCTTAATCTCCTTTATCGTAAATTCTATTTCCTACTCCTTAGTAGATAATAGCCCGTAGCCTTTAGCCTTTACGTCCTTGTTCTCTTTGTCGATAAACCTAGTAAGGGCATCGTAGTAGTTCGTCTGCACCTAGTCGCTTATACGAGTCGGTAAGGTAAGGCCGCTTCTGTCTTTAGATAGCAGAGTCGACAGGGTAGTTCTAATTCGTATCCTATAAGAGCTATAGGAATTTGATTCTTCCAAAACCCCTAGTAATGTTTATGTCTAAATCGATCCCCTAGGCAATGTTTCACTCTAGCTTCTGTATCCGTGTAGTTAGTTCATCGATGTTATCTCGACGTAGCTAGGTATTTATAAGGTCCTCCGCTATATCCTCTAAGGGTTACTTCTTCTATTAGGGTTTTGTTGCGTTAGATAGCTAGGCAGATTTGCATATCCGCAGTATAAGAAGGTCCCTCAACACTAGCATAGGTAATTTAGCTATTAGGATTTCAGGTTCCCTAAGGGAATTATTTTCTTTAAGGCTCTCCGCCTAAAACTTACTCGTAGCGACCGATTATCCTCTTAAAGCCCTCGCCTAGACTCTTACCTCTAAACTCGTTGCATGCTTCAACTTCTTTTCCTAGGTAGGAATCTTAGACTCTCCTTATTGCTACAACGACCTAAGATGTCGAAGACTCTAAACTATTTAACTATTAGCCTCTACGTTCTAGCGATTAGGGTGCCTATTACGAAATACACTACACATTTCGTATTACAGTTCCCGCTTAGCTTGTGAAGCGTACTTATACTGTTCGTGTATATTCTAAATTCCTCGTTAGCCTCGTCTACTACGATAGCTCTAACTAGAAGAGTGTTGTAGGTCGCGGTTTTCGAATTAGTCGAGCTATTTGCGTAAGGCCTGCCCTCTTAGGTCCTCCTAAGCTATACGGTCGTAATAGAGAAATTCCAGTTCTCGTAGGATATATAGAAACTACCCTTTAGTACGAATACGAGCTTCTTATATAGACCGAGGGGCGCCTTAGTAATAATTGGATTTTGCGGAGAGCCCGGATAGTTAATTCCTTTCGGGTACTTATCTACCTTAGGAGTACGGACGCGATCAGCCCTAAAGCCTATTACGTCTGCCTTTTAAAGAGCTTAACACTATCCATTTCCTCTTTCGCATTATCTATATTAGGCGGGCCGAAGCCGTACAGTCTAATGCCTAGCTCCTCGAAGTTCGTATAAGTAAGGAATTTCCCTATAGCGTCGGGTTTTAATACGACAGTTAGGCATAGAGCTACAATGCCTCTACGAAGCCTGAAACTACGCTATAGGTCGCGCTGCTCATATCTATAGGGGATAGAGAACTTATTCGCAGATAGGCATTCCGAATTTTCCGTACCCTATAGAAGGTATGCCTCTCTGTTATTTTCTTCTAATCGTAGTCTTCAAGTATATCGGCAATCTGCCTATCGAAAACGAAGACTATAAGTTGCTCTATAGTCTTGCCGAGACCTATAATGTCGCCTAAGATTCCCTAGGCTTCTCGAGTATACTGCGGTCGGCAGAACATAAGCTAAGCAGCTTTAGGCATATACTAGGCGTACAGCTTTACCTCGAAGCCCGGTAGGGGAATACGTATACACAGATATGCGAAAAGATACGGTACTAGTTATAGGCATAGGCAGATATATTTGATGTACGGTCCCTTTATCTGCTCTAGCTCGGTAGTATAACTCTAGTTGAGATCCCCTACCTAGGTTTGCTTAATACGGTCGAGGAGCTCTTTATAGGTCTAACTTAGAATATAAGGGGTCGCCTCTGCCTACTCCTCTAGGTCGTCCGGCTCCGGATTGCCCGTATCTACATTAACCCTAGACCGAGCGCGTCTAGCAGTCCTGCTATTCCTTATAGGCTCCGAGTTAGTATTAGAGTCGAGCGGCCTAGCACGAGCATAACGATCTCGTATACGTTTACCGCTATCTAACCCTCTTCCGTTTCTCGTTAGACTATTATTAAGACCTTTACTTAATCTATATATTTAGATAACTTTCTCGAGGAGCGAAGATCCCGGGTAGAGCTCCCGGCGCGGCAGTGTCTGCAGTCGACTCTTAACTATTTTCCTTAAGTCCGGAACTTTAAGCATTCTTTTAAGGCGTAGAGGTTACGGCTAAAGCATTCGATGCGGCAGTGTTTGCAGTCGACCCTTAACTATTTTCCTTAAGTCTAGAACATTAAGCATTCTCTTAAGCATTCTCTTTAGGATTCTCTTAAGCATTCTCTTTAGGATTCTCTTAAGCATTCTCTTTAGGATTCTATTAAGCATTCTCTTAAGGATTCTATTAAGCATTCTCTTAAGCATTCTCTTAAGTATTCTGTTAAGCATTCTCTTAAGCATTCTCTTAAGCATTCTCTTAAGCATTCTCTTAAGGCGTAGAGGGTACGGCTAGAGCATTCGGCGCGGTAGTAGTTGCAGTCGACGTATAACTGTTTACATTAAGTCTAGAACCTTAAGCCTGCTATAAAGATACCGGCGTAGGGGCAGGCGGTAACTCAAGATCTCTAAGGTCAACAACCTTCGGTAGAACTCTACCGGATAGAATAGGAGGCTTATCGTTAGGCGACGGTATCGATGCCCTCGATTGCGAGCCGGTATACTGCTATCGTAAAGCTTGCGATATCTCTAGATTGAATAGTAGCTTCTCTCTTAGCTATAAGTCTTCCGACTCTACTAAAGCTATAGCAGCTATAGCGATCGGACTGCTCGCATTCGTTTTCCGCTTCTTCTCGATATGCCTATTAATGTCTCGGCTAAATGTCGCGCGAGCCTTGTTATCGAATTTCTTGTTTACCTACTCGATAAAATCTGTCTCGTATTCTTATAGCTCCGCCTCCTAACCGATAAACAGCAGAATTTTAATAGTAGCGGTATCGTATCTGCTATACTTAGAGACGGCGGCTTCGAACTCACCGTTATCGGTAATCTTATTCGTATCGTCCTCGCCTAGGTTTACTACTGCTATTACGATGTCTAACTAGTTAGTAATATGAAACTTAGACTCTAACTAACACTAGAGGCTGTTATGCGACAAATTTGCGTATAGCGATCTACGATTATACAAAGGCATAAATGTCTTAGGAGTCGTGGAAGGCGCTTACCTAAGATTTGCTACCTCTGGCATCGCAAATAGTCTATAGAATAGCTGTGCGACAAGCACTATGTCTAACCGATCGACTACGGCTAGCGTAATAGTATAGGTATTCCCAGCCTAGTACGTCTTGTGTCTTCTAATAGATGCGATAAACATCGATCCTATTTATAGTATTAGGATTTTTCGACTAGTAGCAAAGTCTTAACTACCCTAATCCTATACGCTCTCTATATCCCGCCGCTAGGGGTTGCTTCTATTAGAAGGACTTCACTCGCCGCCTTGTTATTTAATGTTGTCTTTAATACGCTCGCTAGCAATATTGTAGGTCTTAGGCGGCGGCTAGACGATAGCGCAGGTGTTTAAGTAGGCTCGCGCTTAAGTATATCTTTAGGACCTGCCTATTGCTTGATAAAGACAGACTACCCTTTGCGGATATTGAATTACGATATACCTAGACTGACAGCGCTGCTTAGGTAGCGGAGGCAAAATTCTACGGCGGCGCGATGCTGCTCCTTCTTGTTATTATTATCCTTCTAAGGGCCCCAATTTCTTATATAGCGATTGAGGACTTTCGCTTCCTTTATAGGCTTGTTTTGCTAACCTGTAGAATCCTATTAGCTGTAAGCGTATGTAATGCTTTGTCGTGCTATTTCCTACTATGTAGTCGGAATAATTTGCGGGTAGCGCGTCGTTATTAGGAACAAATAACTATACGACGAATATGTCGACATCGTCCTCCGTAAAGTTATAGCGCTTAGCTATTGCAGCTAGTAGCGGCGTAACAGTATCCTGATTAGAGCTACTAACTTGTAAGAAGCTGCGACTAAAAGTTCTTGCCCTACCTAACTTTCACTTCAAATTTTCACTTAAAGTTTCTTCCCCTTACTCAAACCTTTTGCTCAAAGTTTCTTTCCCCTCACTCAAACTTTTTACTTAAAGCTTTTCCCCTTACTCAAAACTTTTACTTAAAATTTTTTCCCCTTACTCAAAACTTTTACTTAAAATTTTTTCCCCTTACTCAAAACTTTTTACTTAAAGCTTTTCCCCTTACTCAAACTTTTTACTTAAAGCTTTTCCCCTCACTTAAAACTTTTTGCTCAAAGCTTTTCCCCTTACTCAAAACTTTTTACTTAAAGCTTTTCCCCTTACTCAAAACTTTTACTTATTATGGTTTTTTTTTTGTTTCGCCTTACTTCAAACTTTTACTCAAAGTTCTTTTTTTTTCGCCTTACTGCTAATAACCACTACGAACAGATCCTTATCACAACTATAAGCATTTTAGACCTTTAATGTTACTCCTCACCCTTTCTAAATACTAAGTCTACCTCGCAATTAGGCTCTCGATGTTTTCTGTATACACTAGTAGTACGTACTGTAAAGTGCTTCCTCAACTGCTCGGTAGACAATCGTACAAGGTTGATACTGTATCCTCTGTCGTATAATAATACTTTGCGATTATATATTGCTCTTTTATCCGACATAATGTAATTAAGAACTATATATCGAATAAATGCTAGCCGATCTCCTTTAAAGCGGCAACCCTCCTCTCGGCACTCGAGGTACGGAGTAGTCTAGTCTATACTATGCAACAATAAGGTTGAATTGCGTATAGACATTATTGCGTTCGTTATCCCCTATGCATAATAGGCCTAGATAGGGAGTGTTATAGCGATAGTCCTTTCCTTTACGAGAGCGACCCTTGCTATTGTGATAGTACTTCCGATCTAAGTTTTCGGGCTGACTCTCTCTGAAAATGTAGAATAGATTGCTATAAGAATTGTTTCTATACAGGTATAAAGAGATATATTGAAAATGCGACAAATACATATTAGATTGGGTAACTATAGCTAGAAAGCATACTACGAATACAGTTGCTACCTGCAGCTTAAAATATGTATAGAGGCTTCCCCGTTAGCTTTCAATAGTAGCATAAAACCAAATTCGTAATAGAAGGTCTAGGAGCGGTTAGCGAGTGTAAACTGCTACAAATGCATCTTAGGTCGAACGCCTATATGTTGAAGTTATAAAACGAGAAAATTCCGGAATTGCTTGTAAAGCGTTTGCCGGCTTCCCGTCCCTTTTGAGTAGTAGTATACAGCCAAATTCGTAACAGAAGGTTTGGATCTTTTCGAAGTCGGCATCTGCAATCGCATGCTTACTACGATATTGCAGATTAAGGCCTAATCTAGAGAGGTGATATCCGAGGTACTATACCTATAGAGCGCGGTACCGGGAGGGATAGACGGGTCGCTAATTCATGTCTTCGCCGAAGAGCGTTACATTATCTGCAGAGGGTACGAAGGGCCTTGCAGTATAACTACGTCGCTCGTACTGTCGAGAATGTTCCGTAGGTGTAGTAATTGTAGCGACACTATCGCCCCTAGCCCGGTCGTAATGCATCTTTTGCTTAGAGTAGTAAGCTTGTATAGATACAATTGATGCCCGAGCGGATGCCCGAGCGGCTGCGCCGAAGGATAGTTAAGCGGACTAATACCCGCCGATAGTAATACGATCGCGGCCGGGAGCGATATACAAGCTCGTTAGCATATCTAGTATATTACCAACTGTAGCAGATGTTCTGTAAGCAGTTCGAAAGGGTTTTACTATAGGCTTTCGTACTAGCCTCCGCGGCGCAGGTTATAGGACTCTAAAGATATAAGGGTTAGTTATAGACTACTCTAAGTTTTTTATTAACGGAGGAACGTAGGTAGCTCTATAGAGAGAGGAAGTATACGGGCCGCTATTATTCTCGTTATGCGGCTAGAATAGGGATAACAGACTCACGTCGTAAAGCCAATCCTAGATAGCGCTATCCTATTTATACTTCTTTGTAGGAGGTATCTGCAATTCGCTATAAGTATCTACATCGCGTTTCCTACCTCGTGCCGTTATATAAGACCACTGCTATTATAAGCGTAGAATGTAAGGCTAGTTATCATTTCGAACCCTTATGCTAGCTTGTAGTCTGCCGCTAACTTGCTCGGCGTATGTATTAGCGATACGTAGTCTCTAGAATAACGGGGGCGGCTAGAATTCTAGACTATTATTAGCAACTAGAGCAACTCCCGTAAGATAGATAGGATCCTCTCTCGTTGTTCTTACTATCCTATACTTTTAGAGTATTTTTATAGCGGATACAAAATTCGATAGCGAGAATTCGGCGGTATAGTTGCACTTCAAGAAGCTCGTAAGCTTACCGAGCTGTATATGCTTATCCTTATATCGCTCTAATATATCGGTGATCGCATATATAAGAGCTATAACGGGATTACGTTTTGTTATTAGAGAGGCTATATCGGAACTAAGATATAACTCTATATCGGGTCGAGTTAGGGAGACGGGTTCTACACCGTCTAGCGATCGCTTCGGCTACTAACCGCGAGCAGATACTAGAGAGGGTCCGTTACGAGGACTGGAGGTGAATAGTAGGCGTCGAGAAAGTTCATCTCGCACCCTAGATATTAGGAGGTAAGCAGCTAACGTACTGCTATAAGGAGTTAGCAAATCTCGACGAGCATTAAAGTCTTAACGAGCTGCTAAAGGTCGAGGAGGCTACAAATCTTAACGAGCATTAAAGTCTTAACGAGCATCAAAGTATTAACGAGCTGCTAAACGTCGGGGAGGCTGCAAATCTTAAGCAGCTAGCAAATCTTAACGAGCATTAAAGTCTTAACGAGCATCGAAGTCTTAACGAGCTCCTAAACGTCGGGGAGGCTACAAATCTTAAGCAGCTAGCAAATCTTGACGAGCATTAAAGTCTTAACTAGCATCAAAGTCTTAACGAGCTCCTAAACGTCGGGGAGGCTGCAAATCTTAAGCAGCTGGCAAATCTTAACGAGTATCAAAGTCTTAACTAGTATCAAAGTCTTAACGAGCTCCTAAACGTCGGGGAGGCTACAAATCTTAAGCAGCTAGCAAATCTTAACGAGCATCAAAGTCTTAAGGAGCTAACAAGTCTTAAGGAGCTAATAAGTCTTAATAAGCTAACAAGTCTTAAGGAGCAGTAGAGTCTTAATAAGCTAACAAGTCTTAAGGAGCAGCAGAGTCTTAGGAGTGCTCTAACTCTTAGTAGCGCTTCGACTGCTAGAGAGGAAGCTACTCTTTTCTCGACGGCCTTAGCGCCTGCTCTTTTCTCGACGGCCTTAACGCCTGCTCTTTTCTCGATAGCCTTAACGCCTGCTCTTTTCTCGACGGCCTCGGTGCCTACTCTTCCTCTTTATCGGTATCGGGGCCGTGCCATTCTAGGTATTCTTCTGCTACCGCAGCACCAACATTCTTATAAATGGGTGCGCTAAAGTTTGTACTATGTAACTAAGTAGGCTAGGAAGGTTCTAACTCTTAAGCTCGTTGCTTTAGTTCGGTGGATAGAGGTAGTGTATTACCCTATACGTCGATAGCAGGGCTAGTCTTCCGTATATTAGTAAGCGGGTATACTAGTTCCCTAAGTGCTACTAACCTTCTTTGCGCTAGTACGTGTGCTTCCCGTCTGTAACGTGCGTAACTTCGCAGTAGCTTTAGAAAGTGACTGCTTTAGAGCCTCAATGTAACGTATAGTATCCTTAAACTAACCGGCCTTGTTCTAGTCATTTCTGTAGTTTGTAGCCTCGCGCTAGTTGCGTTCTAGAATTGGAACATTAAGGCTAAATAACTGTTGCTCGATGTTGTCTACTTGTTGCTTTAGGCGGTCGGCCTTTGCCCTCTAGCGCTCCTTTGTCCGTCGATTGTGTGTAGCTTAGTCTCCTGCCATTACGAGCAGCCGTTAGGGGTTATGCGTAGGGTAGTATTGAAGATCTGTATACAGATGGTGCCTCCCTAAGGTGTGTCTGCATACTAGCAACTCGCGCTAATTAGCTGAACCACTTTTGCCCTAGGCCCGCCCCCTCACTTCGAGTTGCTAGCAACTCCCCTAATAAATTTAATTGAAATGTGCTTCAAATTCAAAAGGGCTTTAGGAATTTAGTAATTTCAACTAAGGTCGCTAGCGACAACTAAATAAAGCTAAAGTTAATATATAGTATAGCTATTACGCTAGGTTCGGGGTATATCTACTTACTCTTATTCTTATTATCTATTACTACTATATCTACCGCTACTATATCTACTACCGCTACCGCTACTAAAGGTCCTACTATTAAATACTCGTTACTATTCTTTTAATAGAAATTAGTAGTCTCTAATAAAAATAGACGCTCTCTTATAACTAAGTTATAATATATTAATTAGCGACTACTATAGTATATACTATTAGAGGCCTAACGGCTACGGCGTATATATATTAGCAGCGACTATTAAGCAACGAAGACCGCTCGGTATAATAGGTATATATAGAAGTTGCTAATAGTAAAGTAGTATAGTATCTAAATGTTAGGACTAAAAAGGTTATACGTAATTAGTATATAACCGGGCTCGAGTAAAGCTAGGGTCTCGATGCCTTAGGCAGGGCTTAGCGCTTAGTAGTAGGCTAACTTGCCTACCTTCCTCCCTCTCCTTTTAGCTCCTTATTAAATACTACCTATACCTACTACTACCCTATCTACCTACTAACATACCCTTCTTATATAGTATTCGATCTACCTTTTAAGGGTAGTAGCTAGATAGTCCTTATTTCAAGCTTTTAGCGGTATAGCTACGAAAACTATCGATTTAACTATATTACGCCTAAAGGATAGGACCTATACGTACTATTCTATTAAAACAACTATACTAATTATTAAGCAAGGCCTTCTATACGGCCTATTATACTAAGTTAATCGCACTAAGCCGATATCTACTAATTCCGCTATATTCGTATCTTAGAGGCTAATAATACATTATTAGTATCGCCCCTTATAATAGCTAGTTTATTACGAAACAATAACCGCGGAGCCGCTAGTAGCGCTCGCCGCTAGCAATAATAACTCTAGCGGCATAGTGCCTACTAAAGTGCCTACTAAAGAGCCTACCGGAGAGCCTACTAAAGGAGAACCTACAATTCTAGGTAACGACCTAGAATTGCCTATTAACGACATTCTTAATAACATTGTTAATCGTCGATATAGCTAACTAGCCTTTAGTCCTTAGCTAGTAGCGAGACTTTAAGAAGCTACCTAAAATAGGCTCGCTACTCTACGTTAAGAATAATAGCTAAAGGACAACCTCCTCGAACTTCGCCGCCTTTAGGAAGCTCTAATAACTAAACTAATAGTAGGGCCTTCCTTACTAACTATTTAAAAGAAGAATACTAAACTTAAGGATTATACTATATTCGATAGCTCTAGTCGAAAACAATATAACGACTATATTCGTAACTGCGAGCTTAACTAGCGTAATATACCGAGAGCGCTACTAGATAACTATTCCTTAGTTGTCTATACTATATAGTATATTAATAGAGACCTAAAACGCACCTAGGACGACTATTTTAATTCCCTCGATAATTAGACCGCTATTTAGTAGCAAACCTATAAAACTATTATACTAGACACCCTTAGAAACCCTATACTAAGGCAACAACATACTTAGGACCTATATCTTCGAGCTAAGCAAAAGACTAATTAATCGGCTCGCTTATTTAAGGCCTATTTAAAGACCCTCGAGGATAACCTTCCGGCTAAGACTAATTCTATATAGATCTCGGAGATACGCCTAAAGCTTAGATAGGAGCTTATCCTCGAATTGGACCGTCGCCGTATATTCGAGCAAGCTAATCTAACGCGCATTTAATTCATAGTCGAAGTGGAAACAGCCGAACGGGCTGTTTAGCTCTAACAACGACTAGAATCGAGGATCCGACTAGCTAGTACTAACCGTAGCAACCGTAGCTACGGAGGAAACTAAGGTTCCTACTAGGACAATAATACTAATAGTAGGAATAGTAATAACGACCGTAGAAGAGGCTATAGCCGGCGGCTATATAGAGGAGGCCGCGATAGGGGCTATAGAAGGGGCTTATATCCCTATAATACTAACCGCTCTACTAATAATAATAATAGCTACGGTAGTCTACTAACCGGATTGAAGTGCTTCAATTGTAATAGTACTAGCTATCTACTAGGCTAATGCGACAAACCTAAGGACTAGGCCCGAATTAACCGTGCTTCCGCTAAATACCGAAAGTACCTCTTAGCGGCTAACGCTACCCCTATAGGCTAACCTTCGAAAAAAGAGTAAGCGCCGCACTAACTATTAGCCTTGTGCGGCGTAAGACTATCGATATTGTGCTAGCTATTACACGTACCTATCTCGTATCGGACTCGCATAGCACTAATTATAAAACTAAGGTTATGCTAGACCTAGGAAATTTAGTTAGTGCCCTTATTAGCTATTACCTAGCTAAGTAATTAGACCTTCGACAACTGCCTAGGACTAACCTGCTAACCCTTGCTTGGTTTAATAACGCTCGGCACTTAACCTATAGGGCCTACTATATTCCTATAGTTCTAAAGGACGACCTCGGAAATAAACGTCTACTAGACTTTACTGCCTACGTAGTAGATATAGATAACCTATATAGGGGAGCTACTATTATTATTAGCAACCCTATTCTTAAGCACTATGCTATCGCTATAGACTTAGGCAGTTAATAATAGCGAGTTAGAATCGCTAGGAAAGAGGATATTAAGTATATCGACGTTAGCGAGTGCCCTAACGATATTAGGGTCCTATTTATTAGCAACCTAATACTAGCCTCCGCCTTAGCCGACCTAATAGTCGACCTATTAGGCGATAACGATAAGCCTGTGCCTCCTAATAGTATAGACCCTAATTAGCTTGCTCGAATACTATAGCCTATTCGAGAGACCTATATTAATATATTTAAATACTACCTAGTATCGACATTGCCTATATTTAAAGAGACTAATTATAAGATTAATATTATAGAGGGCAAAGAGGTCCCCTTTAGGCCCCTCTATAACCTTAGTAAGCGTAAGCTTGCTATATTACGTAAGTACCTAGAGGAAAACCTAGCTAATAGTCGGATACGGTATAGTAATAGCCCTACTAGTGCCCCTATCCTGTTCGTACTAAAGAAGGATAGTAGCCTACGCCTATATATCGATTATCGTAGGCTTAATACTGTTACTATTAAGGACCGCTGCCTACTTCCGCTTATTAATAAGACCCTCGACCGCCTTTCTAGTACCTACTACTATACTATACTAGACATTAAGGATACGTACTATCGTATCCGCATCCGTAAGAGTAATAAATAGAAGACAGCCTTTCGCACTCGTTATAGCTATTTTAAGTACTTAGTTATACTATTTAGGCTAGCTAATACCTCTGCTATATTCTAGTCCTATATTAATCGGGCCCTATTAGGCCTATTAGACTACCTCTATATAGTTTACCTAGACGATATCCTAGTTTATACACATTTACCTAACATTGTAGAGTACTAGGCTACTATACGTAAGGTCCTCGACCGCCTATAAGCCTATAGCTTATACTACAAGCCTTCTAAATGCACCTTTGCTGCTAAGGAGGTAGCCTTCCTTAGCTTCCTCGTATCGACTAAGGGTGTTAAGGCTAATCCTAACCGGATTAAGACTATTACTAAGTAGCTAACACCTACTAGTATTAAGGAGCTTTAATTGTTCCTCGGCTTCGCTAATTTCTATCGTCGCTTTATTAAGAGCTATTTATAGCATGTAATGCCCCTAACTAAGCTTACTAAAACTAAGACTAACCTAACTAGAGAGTTCAAATAGACTAATAGAGCATAAGCCGCTTTTAACGGTTTAAAGCAATGCTTTACTAAAGTCCCCCTACTATACTATTTCGTACTAAGCAAACTAATCCGTATTAAGACTAACGCTTTATAGTTTGCTATTTTAGCTATTATGTCTTAGCAGTCGGACAAAGACTACTATTAGCACCCGATTGCCTTTTTCTTATAAAAAATAATCGATATAGAGCGTCGCTACGAGACCTACGAGTAAGAGCTCTTAGCAATCGTAGAAGCCTTTAAGTACTAGCGCTACTATCTTAATAGTGCATAGCATACTATTTAGGTCTATATAGACTATAACAACCTACGTAGCATTACTAAGGTTATAAGGGTTATAGGTCGATAGGCTAGATAGGCCGTCTACCTCGCTAGGTTCGATTTTAATATATTATATCGGCTAGGCGTAAGTAACCCTACTAATAGCCTATCGAGGCGACCTAATTACGATAGCGAGACTTAGTACATTAATTCATTGTTTCTAACCCTATAGTATAAGATTGCTATAGCCCGTATTATTAATAAGCAAGCGTAGGATAAGCGGACTTCCGGACCCTGCGGCAGCAATAAATACTATAGCAGAGTTGTCGTTCTTCTAGTATACGTTACGCTTGCGCTTTCGCGCGGTCTCTAGCGTCTCTAAGGGCTTATTAGTAGGAGGGACGGCCGGTATACGCTTAGTATCCTTACGTAGAACGTGCAAGTCTATTTCCTTAGCGATGCTATTATATAGGCCTATAACCTTAGCTATATACTTAGTAGTCTCGTATATAGTATCTAGCGTAGCGTTTAGTATACTATATTATCTTTTCTATAAGCTCTCTAATATCGATCGAGCTATCTTCGTAGCAAGCGTCTAGATCGGAGGTATACTCGCTTAGATATTAGTCTATTACCTCTTATAGGCTACTAATCTCGGCTTCGGTAGTATAGCCGATACTACTCCTAAGAACTAATAGCGAATCGGCTAGAACTAAGGCCGCGGTTAGGATTGTATTAGTAGTGTTATATAGGAAATTATCGGCGAGAAGTACTATATTCTACTTGCCCGTTTATAGTGCGACCTAGGCTACTATATAGTTTTATATAGCCGATACTAGTATTATATCTCTAGTAGCCTTTATTTGTATTATAAGATCGTTATAGTTCTTTATATAGTTAGAGAGTATCGCCTAGTTAACTATAAGTTAGAGGCGACCTATAGCGCTACTTAGGGTAAAAGGCGGTAGGGTTAGTAGAGGTAGTAACTTTAGATTAACGCGCTTAAGGCAGCCCGCTATAGTAGCGACTAGCTTATCGTTAGACTCTAGCGGCAGTTACGGTATATCGTAATCGTTACTAGTAGTACGCGTATCGGATATACGTAGTTAAGCGCGTAGTAGCTTCTTAGGCTATTTATTAATATAGTTACTTTACAGCCCGCTATTTTAGCTACGCAGTAGTACGGCCTAAGGTAGAATCTTACCGAAAGTAACAGCGTTAGTAGTGTCGTTCTCTTCTAGCTTAGAGGAATTATCTAGGACTAGGAAAAAAGATACTAAATTCTAAGTCTCGTCGACGTTATACTAATAAGCGCTCTTATTCTAATCTACGAGCGAATTAGTAATATTACCGCTTATTATATTAGGTACGAAGCCGTTAGGGACTAGTCTCTTATCTATTATCTTCTTAGGCTAATTCTTTATAATTTCTACTAATACCGTAAAGCCTACTAGTAGGTTGCTTATAATCTTATCTATATAGGCCTTAAATAGGGCGCTAATATAGTCCTTATCTCTAAAGTACGGCTAGACGATCGCGTCCTAACCGACGGCAATCTTCTTATTAAGACTAAGTATAGGGATTTTCTTAGCTTTAGCCTTAGCGTAGCTTATATAGTTACGATATCCTACTAGTACCTATAGGTAGCTATACGATTTATAGGTAACTATAACGTCCGATATCTTAGCTAGCTCGATAAGATCGGCGGTATAACCTTCTCTTTATAGGGAATAGACGCCGTAGACGTATATATAGCGCTAGTAGTAATCCTCGGTGTCCTAGGTAACTTCGGCCGGTTCGCCGAGCTAGCGGCGTTATAGTAATAGGAGCCCTTAAGCGTTAAATATCGTCGACTAGTAACGCTAAAGCTACTCGTTACTTATTAGACCGGCGACTTTTATATATAATATATATTAATATATAAACGTATTAGTTACTTATTTATACGTTTTCTAGTAGGAAATAGAGAGTAGTTAGTTAGCCTATAATAGGGTCGAATAGGAACTAGTAGGCTAGGGCGTTAGTAAGATTAGCCTTACTGCCTTTATCCTAAGGAATTCTCGTGCTTACCTCGTAGTTAGCGTATCGCTAGCGATAGATAATATCTAAGCTATTATCGGCGTAAGTATATAGAGCTAGTTATCTATTGCCTATAATTGCGATAATATTAGTAAAGGGAAGCGTTTCTCTTATTATCGAGTAGTTTGCTAAGGTATTTAGTATATAGTGCGCTACGCTACTACCCTTTAAGTTAAACTTAAGTGCTAGATTACTAATATATATGCCCTGTCTATTAGGCGTCTAAAGCTTCGATCCTATAGAGTAGACGATATATATACCGAATTTAACGTTACTAAAGTATTTAATGCGAGCGTATAACTACTTATAAGTTATCGGCTTCCGGAATAATAATAAAGAGGAACCTAATGCCTATACTCTCCGCCTTCGCGAAGATATTACGTAGCTAGCGGTTATTAAAGCCGCGATTCTATATAATAAGGATCTCTAGTAGGATTTCCTTAGAATCCTACGTAGGCTTTATACGTTAGCCTATATTAATGCCGTATAACTTTATAGACTATTCTACTTCGTTAATTAACTTTTTAGGAGCAAGTATATCGCCGGTTAGGTTCCTAAGTAGCGTATTGCCTCGATTGCCCTTATAGTTAATTATTAGATCCGACTACTTATTAATCTTCTAAGTCTAGTAAACTTAACGCTCTATAAGTTCTAGGAGCCCTTCTATAGCGTAATAGGTTTCGAATTCGAACTAGAACTATAGCTTACGCGAGGAGTATCTAGGACACGGCCGGATACTATAATTATACTAGTACCTACTAAGAAGCTAAATAGCGTTACGAAGTTAACTAAGGATTACTAGTAGGATCGGCAAGACGGAAGAGTCGTAGACTATTCTCTTTAGTACTAAGAGTTCCGGTAATAGATATAGTATTAGGATTTAGAAATCTAGCTACAAATTTAAGTATAAAGTATAGGCAATCCTTAGTTCGCGCGTATAATTTAGTAGACGGCTAAGCCGATTACGCGATATCGAAGGGCATTCTACTACGCGAAGAAATAATAGCTAGTAGGAGGCTAATCGTTAATATCTTTTAGTACGTAGTATAAGCACCCGCACTAAAACGCTACTAGTAATAGGAAGATACCTCTAAACTTGCTATCTAACGTTAAGAAATCGAGGAGATAGCCGTCGGAATTAAGGGCTCTACGTATATATAATTAAATAAGGTTATACTTAGCTTAAGAATTAGTATAGTCGGGTAGGTCGTACTCGTTTACTAGATACTCTTACTTTTCGATATTGTCTAGCGCGCGAAAGATAGAGTAGTCTAATTTAAGGCTACCGTCTAGAATACGAAAGGAGATAATATCCTTATCGTACTTACGCTCCTAAAGATAGACCCCGTAGTAGTTCGGGTTAGGTTGGTTTAGTTTGCTAAGCCGAAATTCTAGTTTAGTTTAGTTTAGTTTGCTAAGAAACCGGTGTACGGACTGGTTTGCCGGCCACGTGCTAGCTATAGACAAAAACCTATCCTAAAACACGTCTAAACAGCCTAAAACATAGATGCAATCGTGTAGCGTATATAATATAGGGCCCCCGGGCCCGATCCGAGGTCGTCGTATACCGTTATATATCGTCGCAGTTTCCTTAGAAACTAGCTTAGACTAGCGGGGTAAAAAACCAAACCGGAACCAAACCGGAGGGGTACCGCTAAGAAACTAAACTATATATGTTCTATAGTTCGCAAACCGAACTACTACGGGGTCTACCTAAAGAGTAGCGTTAGCGTTATATACTAGCTAGCTAGTAAGATAATATAGTTCGGCTAGGATCTATATACGATTATCGTAATATAATAGCTTTAAATAGAGTAGATATAGCTTTAGACGCGCCTAAATATACTCGACTTGCTAATCGTCGGGCTTATTTAGGCAGAAAACCTATAGTAAGGCGCTATACTAATTAAGTTTAAACGAAGCCTAAAAGATCTACTATACTCTATCGTAGTAACGGTTGCCGTAGAATTCCTTATTGCCTTAAACTCCTAAAAACCGAACCTTAGCTACTAAGGCGTTATACTCTTCCGCTTCTTTAAGCTACTAAATATACGTAGCTTCTAGTACTATCTCCGATTATCCGACGAATCCGCGTACTTTTAATTCGTCGATTATACGCTAATATTTAGTAAATTCGAAGTTGTGCTAGAACTAATACGCCTAAGGTCGAGGACCGGGACCTAGTAGTAAGATCTTAATAATTCTTATTATCGGCGTACCTAGTAGTAGTTTTAATCGCGTTTACTAGAATATAGAGGGGGCTATAGTAGAAGCCGTCTTTAGCGCTAATATAGGATATAGCGATATAGGTTATAGGCGAGAACGCGAGGATACTAGTTAAGGGCGAGATCGTAAAGCTAGTAGAGATTACGACTATAGGAGAGTCGCTTAAGATTATAGTTATAATATAGGTAATAGTAACCTTAGCGGTAAAGCTTGTCGCTATAATAGCGAAGGCAGCTATAGAGACTATAGAGGTAAGGTTAGTTGCTCTAGTAACTTCGGTAATTACGGTAAACGCGGAGATAAAGATAATTGTCTTATTAATAATAAGATTGCTAGTAAAGCTTGTAATGCTAATATACGTTCTATCTACAGGCTATTAGCTAGTAAACGCCTAGCTAGCTCGGAGTCCGATAGTCGAGCGCGTACTTCCTTAAGGGCGTCGTAAAGTGTCTTACGAGCGCCTTTATATCTAACTTTTAACGACTTTAGTATATTTAGGCCTATATCCTCTATAGGATTATACTACTTATAGTATATATAATACGCGTCGCCCTCTACGTAGTCGCGTAGGTAAGCGTAGTTAGGCCGGTAGCGCTAGATATATTCCCGTTTAATAGCGTTAATAGGCTCCTCGCTTTTAGATATAAAATCCTACTTATAGAGATATAGATTCTACGTCTATACTAGGTCGTCGCGCTAGATTATATCGATCTTCTAGAAGATTTAGTAGCTAAGAAGGGAAGACATCCCTTACTAGGTGCCGTCGAATAGGTAGGTAGCTAATATTATACTCTAATTACGCTTAGTTATAAGAGACTCGACGGGGGTTCTTTATCCTACTTTTATAAAGAAATAGATTAGATTCGCCGCTACGATAACTACTAGTATACACACTCACAAGCAGGCAAAAGTCGTATCGCGTAGTAATACGAGTACAAGATTAGAGAGGATTAGCCTCGAGTTCGCGATTAGGCGTCGCTATACTACGTTAAAATATCTATAGGTACGCTAGTATTATACGATCTAGGTTCGTTAGGATAGGCCGTAAGATAGTTCTCTATTTCTATACGATCGGCGTTATTTACTACGTCTAGCTCCTTATTCCCTTAGTCGTTCTACGGCTCGATACTATTAGCCTCTTTATCTATACTATCTCGCTTTATATCCTTTTACTCCTTTTCTAGCTCGCTACTATCGGCTCCTTTATTACCGCTATCTTCTTTCTACTCTTCTTATAGCTCGTTACCGTCGCGATTCTCTTCGGTTATATTCTATTTTATATCTTCTCGAACCTCCTTTTTCTAATATAAAATACAGGGGGACGGGATTCTCTTTTATAATACTAATAGGCCTCGTCGCCTTTATTAGTTAATAATAGTAGTTCGCGTACTACTATTTTAACTAGAAAACCGTTAGCGACTATTAGCTACGCTCTAAAGCCGTCTATCTATATTAGTAGGCTAGACCTCTTTATAATATATACTTTAATATAATTATAAGGAAGTAACGCGTATATAGATACTAGATATAAGACTTAGTAGGTTCGATAGGGAGCTAAGTCTATCTACGTAAATCTAAATAGTTTTATATAGTACGCTAAGCGCTAATAAGCGGGTTAGTATACCTAATGCCTAGGGCTAGTATCTTTTACCTAGGGCGTAGCCCTTTATATTATCCCTATTCTCTCCCTCCTCTTTCTTAGAAATAGAATACTTATTACGCTATTATATTCGACCTTAGATACGTACTTATCTAAGCTTTCTAAAGTAACGCGACTATAGTTTCCTTTCCTATACTAGAGATCTCTACTACTTTCTATTAGGATCGCCTTTCCCTAGACTTTAACTTCTATAGTTTCGTTTACAACTTCTAAGTCGATTACTTTTATCTACTAACTGCCCTCTAAACCGCGCTATAACTGCCCTTTTATAAGCTTTACTTCTAGCTATACCTTTCTATCTTTTATCGACTCTTACTTCTATATTAGCTTCTAGTAGTATTAATATTTTCTTCTTTTCCTTTCTTTTTCTTTTCTTTCTATATCCCCTACTACTACTACTACTACTACTACTACTACTACTACTACTACTACTACTACTACTACTACTACTACTACTACTACTACTACTACTACTACTACTACTACTACTACTACTACTACTACTACTACTACTACTACTACTACTACTACTACTACTACTACTACTACTACTACTACTACTACTACTACTACTACTACTACTACTACTACTACTACTACTACTACTACTACTATAGTAAGGTACTACTCTATCCTCTTACGACTTCCTTTATAAAATTAACTCTTTTAGATAGTTTAGAAACGAATCTGTTATATAGGTTAATATTAAAGTCTCCTAGCCGGTTGAGTAGGACCGGATCCCCTTCGAATAAGTCTAGCATAATAACGTAGTAACTATTTGCGGCGAATTAGTCGGCGATAAGTTAGGCGTTAAGGAATTTATAGCCGATAACATCGGTAAGGATAAGAATTGCGGTAGAGGATTTAGGGCCGACGATATAGGTTAAGACTTTTTGTTTTTTTATATTATTAGATTAAGGTGTTAAAGAGGGTATAGAGGGAGGGTCTTACTATTACCGATGTTCTCGAGCTTTCCTTTCGCCTCGCCCTCGTGCTTAACGCTAATAGTGTAGCATTTTCCTAGTAGGTTAGAAGACATATTAGGGAACTTAGAACTCCTAGTATTATTATTACGGGGGGATGGAGTTGTAGAGGATATATAATAGAGAAAGGTGCAAACAGGACTAGAGCATCTCTAGACATTTAGCGCGTGTTTTCGGTAGAACTAAACCTACGAGCCGCGTAGTATAACGAAAAGAAAAAAATGAACCGTCTTCCCTATTAGCGTAGTGTAAAAGGTAATAACTAAATTCCTATTAAGACCTCGAAATTGTTAATTAGAGCAAGTCGACACCGTCGTATTAGCCTCGTTCTTAAACCTGTTCCGGGCTATCTAAAACAGGAAACCTGTTAGTAGAATTCTTTAGAATCCTTCGATACTATAGACTGTCGCTTTTCTAGTCGGCGTCGTTATATCCTGTTATAGATTTTTCTTCCCCCTAGGTTGTTTACTAGACGTCGCTTATATTAGCTCGACGAAATAATGTTTACGTACGTATCGCTATCGTCGATCCTATCGCCGCTATCGGTGCTATTACTAAGAAGGGTAGTAGTAGGTAGAGCAAGTTTATAGCACGACGGCACAAACTATTACGCACAGCGCAGTTAATTACTTACGTAATACTGCATTGTCGGCGGTCAAATTGGCTTCGGTGACTTTATATACTAAGAAGTTATATAACAGTTATATAACTAAGCTAGCGTTACACAAACTCGGACCGTAAGAGAGAGGTCGCCGATTGACGTCGGCTCGCCGGAGATAGGCGTTAAGATAGCATTAGGTAGGCACGGTCCGTTCGAATGTTGTCTTTTACTTAATGTAAACTGTGTTGTATTCAGAAGAAGGGCTAATTACAGAAAGCCCAAAGATGAAGTGTGCATAGTTGCAGCCTTAGGCATTATGCACGTAATAGCCTATATATATACTCTTTAAGTCACCCCCTTATCGCGTACATATAGCCAAACAAACAAACCAAACAAAGGGGTATTAGGTATAGAAACAACTAGACTACTCTTAGGCTATTATAACAAAGCAATTAAACAAATACAAGCAGTTGAACTAGACAATAAACCTATATCTTCTATCTATTTAGTACTTAGTAGCAGGCTAAGCGGCGCTCTTAATAGTAGCCTTACAATCTACTAAGTTTAACTACTAAACAAAGAGACTATGCTTAAGCTTGTTAAGTAGCTTAGTAAAGCTATTAGCAATTTGGTCGTAAGTGCTAATCTATATAATAGTAACCGTGCTATTAGTAATCTTCTCCCGAATATAGTATACCCTAGCATCTGTATGCTTAGTATAGCTATTAGTTATAGACTTCGCGTTAGTAATAGCAATTGCTAACTCATTGTCCTTATATAGGATAATAGGCTTAATAGAGCCCTTATAACCTATTTCCTCTAATATACGTATTAAGGGTACGGCTTCCTTAGCGGTAGTAGTAAGCTAAACATACTTAGCTTTAGTAGATAACAAAGTAACTAAGGCCTATCGGCTAGACTTGTATAGAAGTAGTCCGCCTACTAGTATAAAGTAGAAGCTACTAGTAGAGCGGCGAGTAACTAGATTATTAGCCTATAAGGCGTTATAGTAACTAGCAAAGTTTAGTTTATAGTTGTACGTGCCTCGAAAGTATATACCGCGGCTAGAAGTGCCGACTAGGTACTTAATTAGCTATAGCAGAGCGTAATAGTGTTCTTTAGTTAGACTAGTAATAAATCGTAACAATAGGCTAGTAGTGTAGCATATATCTAGTCGAGTAATTATTACAGGCTATAGAGCCTCTCTAATGCCTTCCTAGTACTTAGCCTTAAAAGCAGTACTAGCTATATAGCTATTAGGTGCACGCTAAATGCTAGTCTTAACATAGCGTAGTGCTATTAGAGTAGCAGGCGCTATACGGCCCTATATACCGTACTTTTCACTAAGCCGGTTTAGATAGGCGTCCTATATAATATAAATAGTACGGTCCTTGCGGTTGCGAATAATGCGCATACCGAGATAGTAGTAAAGATTACTAAGCTCGCGCATATTAAATCGATCCTTAAGCAACTAAGCGACGGCCTATAGAGCTAATAGACTGTATGCAATAATAATTATATTATCTACGTGGATAACGATAATAGAGTTGCTAATAGTGTGTTTGAATAAACACATATTACTTATTATAGGGATGAAGTTAAGGCTCTTTAGGTACTTGCGGAGCTCTTTATACTGTAGTATAGGCGATTGCTTGAGTCTGTATAGGGCCTTCTTAAGCAGGCAAACTATGCCCTTGCCTCTACTACGATCCTTAAAGCCGTATAGCTGCTTAACGCAGATCTTGTAGTTGTCGCTAATTATAGCGTTTAAGAAGGCAGTAAGAATATCAAACTGCTAAGCCTCCAAATTATAATAGGCAATAAGACTAAACAAGGCTCGGAGAGTAGACGGCTTAGTAACGGCAGTATAGGTGTTATTATAGTCCTTACCCTCAACCTAAGTAAAACCCTTAACAACCTAGCGCGCCTTAAAGCGGCTAACCTCGCTATTAGCATTGCGCTTAATAGTAAACACCTATCTGCTATAGACCACCTTGCGGCTATTTAGAACCTCTAGCTTAGAAATATAGATCTAGGTAATGTTGTCTATAAGTAACTTATACTTAGCCTTATAGGCTTCCTTCTACTATAGCTAGTATAGTAATTCCTTAGCGTCCTTAAAGCTCTTTAGAATAGGAATAGTCTCTTTAGGCTTATTAGACTGTTCGGCAATATAGCAGGAGGCTATAAAGCCCTTTATATAGGCTATCGGCATGTTAGCTAGTTAGCGGCGCGCCTTGCGTTAAACACCGGCATTAGCTAGGTACCTACGTAAGAGGTTACGAGCTAACTTGTTACTTCGGGTCTTGCGCGTAGAACGATTACTAACAGCCTTAGCAGGTCGCTTAAACTTAGGCAACTACCCTAGCTCGCCCTTCTTAGCGTAAGGATCGTACGCTAGTTCTTCCTTAGCTAACTAAAAGCTATCTTTATTACTTAAAGGCGGTTAAACAGCTAGTAGGTTATCGTCGAGTAGCAACGGACTAGCGACCTTATTAGTTACCTCTATATCCTAAGTAGGCTCGTCTAGAGGCTCTTCTTACTAGGCTAGAAGCTGCTAGACTATACTAGCGGCTTCCTATAGTAACGGTGCCTCGTTGCTTGTAGAATTGAATAGAGCCGGCATAATAGACTCGAGTGTAACAAACTCGTTCTTAGCTAGGTTATTAGGATTGGCGTATAGGTTTATGCCCTCTAGAAGCAATAGCTCGCTAGCTGTCTTAATAAACTAGACATCCTTTAATAGAATAACCTTGTGCTAGTCTACCTCCGTTTAGGCCTTTATACATTAAGGATTACGTTCCGCGGTAGTAGTAGCGGAATAGATTAGCACACGTAATACAGTCAAATTTAGGGTTCTTTTACCGACTTCCGATCTACTAATTATATACTACTCCACCTAATCCTTTGCCTAAAGGCCTAAAGCTAAACCGCTGATTTTTATCGTAGATTCCGCTATTAAAACACGATCTCGCTATACCAACGAAGACTAGCATATCTAATACGCAGAGGTTGTAGCGCTGCTATTTCCGAATATAGCGATTCAAAAATCAAGTCTCTACGACGTGTATACGTTAAGTTACACTAATTCAGCCGAGCCTACTTCTGTAGCTATCCGCCTACCTAAACATACCGATTCTTAACATATCGTTTAAGGGTATACGGACCTACGGCGGAGCCTGTGCAATACTTAAACTTTGGAGCTACGTGCTGCTTATAACGTGTTTAAGAGATAAAGTAGTAGTAAAGAGATAGATACTCGAGGCCGAAGGATTAGTTTGCCCTACTAGATTGCGGCGACCGTTTAGGTTAGAATACAGATCAAATAGATACGCGGAGGTTGTAGACAGTACTAGAAAGGTGGACCTCCTACGCTTTGTTAATATATAAGAGCGTCGTTTGTCTAATAGTAAAGCATATAGGGGTAGGTAAACAAGTTAGTCGAGAGCAGCAATTTACGTTTATCGATAATAACTTTAGCATTTCTAAAGCGACTAGCTTATTAAAATAGCGGATATTCTTAATCGCTAAATTATCTAGGTCCCGTCTCTATAAAGTGCTATACTGCGACTAATAGTTGTTAAGCTATATAGCCTATTCGACATAAAATATAGTAGTAGTAACGCAACCTGTACCCGCTAGCAACGGTTTAGCTTTAGGCGCTTCGCTAGAATGAGATCTCGAATAGCGCTAAACCTAATATAGTATAGTATAGAAATGGAAGTTACGAGTAGCACACACACACGAATTTAACTACGAAGCGCCTAAATAGAGGTAGGTGCTAGTTAGGAAGATAAATTATATATTTTCCTAAGTCTACTAAGTCCTTAGCATAGCTAACTAGCTTGCTAACAAGGCCTCTACTATCTATCTTCTTTCTACGAGCAACTCCGTAATTATATGCAATAGTAGTATAGCTATAGGCACGAAGATGCTAAAGACGTAGCTGCTTTCGAGACTAATTAAGCTCCCTAGCTACAATAGTATAGGGGCTAAGACCTTCCAAGGTTCTAGGAGTGATATTAAGGACCTATATAGCAGTAGTGACTGTATACGGCTACAGGGCCTTTAGCAAATTGGCATAAAGCATTATCTTTCTCGCAGTCGTATATACGATATAATTGCTAGAGATGACTCCCGAGCCAAGTTGAGTTCATCCCAACATTGACCACAGCCGCGGAACCGCCTAGATGTCTTCCTAGGTACTTGCCGGTGAAGACATCCTTCGTAAGCGATGTATCATTGTTGAGTCGCAAGTCAAAGTCGGTGATTGTCTTCCACAAGGGCGGCAGGTAAACCAAATGACACTGCTGACCAAGGTATTCTTGTGCTACCTGCAGCTCGATGGCGGTGCTGGTTTTGAGTAGGTTGGCGAAAAGAGGTGACACTGGTTCTCTGACTTGGAAGTCAATAGGACCGAACTTGATCTGAACAACAACGTTGTCATCGAAGTCGCCATCGAGAGGTTTGAAGAAGTCAACGGCCGCTTTGGCTCGATCCGCCTTCCAGTCCGATTCGTTCAATTGGTTATAGACGAAAGCTCTGAACATGAGTACTCCTCCGTGGGGTTTCAGAGCTCGAGCGAACATATTTGCGCCCTCGGCAAGAGTTCGGTTGTAATGCAGTGGACCCGGTTGTCCTTCTGAATTCGCCTTGACCAGATAGCCAGCCATGTCTGGAATACGGTGGTATATCTGATCTGTCACGTTGTGCCAAAAGGCAATGACTTTTTCATCCAGCGGGTCGTACGTATCGGTGACAGTCAGATTTGCGGGTGATGCAAAGTAAAGAGACAAGCCAAGTTGGATGCCATAGGGTCTGAACACATCAGCAATCCGTCCAAGGCCTTCGATGTTGTCTGGTTTCAAGGTTGTGTAATTTGCATTGACATTGTTGACCACCACAGCATTGACACGGATGGAGGCTAGAAGCCGTGCGTATTCTGCTGCTCGTGTGAGATCTGATCTAACATGGCCGTTTTCAAAGAAAATGGACTTTCCCGCGAAACCACGCTCGATTGAGGAGTCCAGCTAGAAGCCGAGAGCAATAATGTTAGCATAGCTTTGGGCAAAAGTAGACTGGTGAAGTTTCTCACGTTGTCCCATTCGTTCGTCCATCGTATTGGGGCTGCCGGGTTCGTGATGTACTCGACATTCGAAAAGTTGCCTTGCGCAAGCATTGACAAGTATTCGAATGCGCCGTATAACGCTCCTCGCTCATTCCGTCCAAGAATGCGAACATGGTGGTCCTGAACGCTGAGTGAGAAGCCATCTTCAATAAGATTGAAATGGGGGTCTTGTCCGTGAAATGTGTTCATATATTGATCGACCGTGCCAACAACAATGCCGGATCCGAGTTCAATCGCTGCTGCATTGGTGGCGACCTTTTTGCCGAATATCTGTAGTAGTCCTCGTTGCAGTTCCTGTCCAGCGGTATACACAGGGCTGCCCTGAGTTCTATTGAGAACAAGGATGCTAGATGGTAAGCTGTTGTGATGGTATTCATGAGGCAGTGGAGCATATCGGAGCCAAGCCTGTAGGCCATCCTCTGCGGCGACCAAGGCAAGCAGAGAGAGCCACCAAAGCATATCCACTGTAGATTTCAGACAGACAGCCACGAATACGAAGCAACAGCAACAGGCTCATCTCTGCCTTTTCATTAAAACAGCAGCCCTACGCAACTCCTGCGGTTGGCAATGCCGATGTTGGCATCGAATTCAGCCTATAGCCATTTCCGGGCGGAGAAGATGGTTCATCACGGCAAACAGCGAGAGTTTTTGGCGATTCCGCCCATTGTAGAGGCAAACGGCGGGAATGTGCAGTAACGGCTAGCGGACATGTTGAGAAAAGAGGAGGAGCATCGGAGTTTTGAGACGCGTGTGGATAATGTCAATACAATGCCCAATATGAAAGTCCTCAACGACGTTTTCGACCCACGAACACGATGGCACTACTTGACAGAGGACAGAGAAGCATTGTGGGCAAGATTCTGCGAGAAGAGATGGGCAGGTCGTTGACGGACCTGGCAAGGTTGCGTGTCTGAGATGCAAGAGCCTGTATAAGGGATGAGATGGGTGATTGAATGAACGAGAACGGCACCATTTGAGGCCACAAGTATATCATATCCCGAAGAGAGCGATCACAGTTTCGAGATGGAAGCTGCGCACATAGCGGGAGAAGTGACTCCACAGCGCCTGCGAAGGAAGGACTTGCATCGTTCTGTCAAACGGCTCCGGGCAGTAGTCGCTATCGGCCTCTTCGTAACCTGCCATTATCCGCAAAGCCTCATTGCTGAACTTTGCCAGCACGCCTTCCAGAGCCGCCTCTCATCATGGCCCATGACGACTTGAACCGACTGGTGATGACGCTGTTGGCACTATCTTCTGGCCTTGAAGGTACACTCGCGAGCCAGATCAGGACCGAAATCGCCAAGATTCCGGCAGCACTGTACAGCGAACGCAACGAGACCGACAAGAGCATCGCAGCATTGAAGAATCAGACGAGAGAAGTCGAAAAGATGATGGAGAATCTGCGCCGAGGTACGATGTCTTCCCATTGATCATCTCGTAGCGGTACATCTTCCCTGACATTCCACTCACATAGAGAACGAGCACCTGAAGGAAGCTTATACACTGCTGGAGATGCCAATGGCTCACGTGCAGCCGGAGCTCCAGACTGCAAACACACCACATGCAGATACAATCTCCGCGAGGGGCTTCAAAGGCGGGTCGTGTCCGCCGAGCGAAGAGCGACGCCCGCCAGAAGCCCGAGCAAGCATCCGCAAGCGATTCTCGACGGGCTTCCACTCGAATGGCGATCACGAGAGTGAATGTAATGATCGCATCTCAGGAGCTCGCGACGAGAACATCCTGCCAACGCCATCTGGTAAAAGAGTATGGGTGGGTGGACTGGCCCGTGAGACGGACGAAGGAGCGCTGAGGGAGTTTTTTGACGACTTTGAGTGGTGGGACAACCGCCCGAGATGCGAACATTGCTAATGTTCTCGGCGCTAACCTCGATTGCAGCGTCTCTATCGCATTCCATACCACAAGTTCGAAAAACAGAATTGCCTTCGTCATCCTTCCCACAGCTGCCGAAGCTTCGCGGGCTGTCCGACAACTCCACAACAAACGCCTTCTCGATCGCATAGTGTCAGTGAAGCATGCGATTCCGAAAACCAACCCTTCCTCTGAAGATGCTGACTGCTCTGACGTGCCCGGGGAAGGCGACTTTCACTTTCGGGGTCGATCTTCTACCAATGCCGTAGAGCTTTTTCCCAGATTGGGGGCGCGATCACAGGACAATCCCGCCAAGCGAGCGAAAATTTCGCCAGCTTGATTGCGAACACTGGAAAGACAATCATGTGATGCGTGAAAGAGCCATAATACAGAGAGCTTAACATGGCTTCCGAGATTATCCACCACTGCAGGCAGAATTGATCTGGCTACGAGATGGTATAGACTTAGACGTAGAATGGCGAGAATTTACCACACTACTCAACATGTTCCTTGGCGTGTAGTCGACTCCAAATTCTCCAATTTCCATGGAGGGACGGTCATCGTAATCTCCTATGACGTAATCTTTGAATTGATCGAATTTTCATCCACAGTCCAAATGCTGGAGTCGATCACTCAACTCGACGATATACGGCATTTGCTGTGTGTGCTGAATGATAAGACGTGCACTGAAGAAAGAGAACCGTAGAATACTGATCTGCTTGTAGGCGGAAACCTTCGAAAAATTCTACGTGTGCCCGACTGGAATGGAACCGTTGTGGCAAAAAAAGAAAAAGAAAATCTTCGAAATTTGGAGGAGGCGGATTTGCTGTGTTTGACAGTTCCGGCTACAAGCAGATTCGAGCCTCCGGAACTGAGTACTGATTAAAAAGTCAGTCAAGGCCTCTGCAAAGGCGATGACTTGTTCTTGTGGTATACAAAAAGAGGTTGTTACATTTGATCAAAAAATGATCTATAGGTTCTATTCTGCCCGGAGTTAGTAAAGCCACGGACTCCTATTCTATTATTCTAACTGACCGGATACCGGGAGTCGAACCCGGCGCTGTCCGGTAACTCTGATTGCTCAATGAAAGCGGACGATGTTAGCTGGCAGGGGGTCAGCATGAGTCCGACTGTTGACATTATCGATGTAATGGGTACTAGGAGACTAACCCGATACACCTGCTCAACGGTTAGCCGTTGCTCATAAGTGAATGGACAGGAAGACGAGCCATATCCGATTGCCTGATTGGCTGGTGATGAGCATGGATGAGCTCTACAATAATATATACATAATACGTTATGCTCATATCGGATATTTTCGGCCCGACTCTGCCCCCGATCCTTTCCCTCACTTGCTCCACTTGTCGACTTCATCGCAACGCCATCAGGTTTTCTTCGATGGTAGAAAGGTCGCTCACATCTGGGAACAGGTCTTGATTGCTAGCCGTCCGGCATCATTCAAAACCATACCAGGGCTGTTTTCACTCATCACCTAAAGGGCTCGCGAATTCTACAACCCTGCAAGTTTCTCTTGCAATCTGGACATCTAGCAGTTCTTGCTCGGGAAAGAAAACTTGTATAAAACTGGAATGGCTCAGAAAGACTTTAAAGAGCTGTCGATCTGCATAGCCGCTCTGCATCTGGTCCACAAGCAGACCGAAAACAATATTCAATCAATTGCATAGCCGGCGCCACCGAGCGCGACGAGAGCAGTCATTGCAAAACCCGGACTTCCTTTATGAATTCAGCGCATTCTCGGCTGTATCGGGCTACTCTTGCTCAGATAGACCGGCTCGATGGACGTCTAGAAAATCCAGGTCCCAGTCTCCTTAGGCTGTGACTCGAAATGTTACGAACTCCAATCAGCATGCTACGACAGGAATGATACTGCAGCAACTTGGGTCCAAAGACGACAGCGGTCTGGCCAAGGAATTCGGGTATTGGACCATCTATCAGGCTTGGTTCTTGCGGCCATGCAGGCAATTCCGAAGTATCTATAGAGTCTCGGCTGCACAAGGTCGATAGGCTTGAGCTCAAAATTCGAATGGCTTCTTAAGACTCCTTGGAAGCTGTGCTCAATATGTGCTTCAGCTTAGGATAGAGTCCTGCTAATGCTAGACCGGGCGAACGTTGTGGAACATGACTGACTTCCTTGGAGCACACCCAGGAGAGACCACATGAGACTTCCCAGAGAAGTATTTCGGGCAAATGAAGGTCAAGGCCGTACCAATGGCAGTCTCCTCCATCGAAGCGGAAGCCATATTACGGATGTCACTCTTGGGACAGCATAATTGCACCTATCGAGTGCTCACAGATGTTCTCCCTCTATAGTGTGACTCGTACAATCGGATCCAGTCTGGACCTCGCGACTGTCGAGATGTTGCACGAGCCGGAATGAGGCTCCAAGTCTGGGAGAGCACAAGTGCATCTATGAAGTGTTTACGGAAGTCCTCCCTCTACGGCGTGATCTGAACAGTTGGAACCGGCGCAAACCTAACGAACGTAGACATATCACACGAGTCGCAAAGCAGGCCCTAAAACTTTTACTAAGTGCATCTCATGGTGTGCCCACGAACGTCTCCCTCCATGGAAAGCACTCGTAAGACTGGATCCAGTTTGAACCTCCCGACTGTGGATATATCATCAGACTCGGAGCCAACTCACCGAACCATTCCACAGGTGCATTGCTAGAGTGCTCACTCTCGCCTCGCTCCCTAAGCTGATACGTCCAGCTGGATCCAGTCCAAACCTCGCCCCCGTGGAAAACTCATACGACTCGGAGCGAAGCAACTGAAGCGTTCCACTATTCTAGCTCTAGGGGTGCACAAGTGACCTCCTGAATGTTCACCTACCTAGGCATAGCTCTTCGAGATCTTGAATACGAAGGAGCTCAGTTCAAACATCGAGTCTTCAGGGACACTACGCGGCCTAGAGCGAGATGGCCGAACCCTCTGATTATACTTCTCCGAGGAGTGTATACGTGCACTTACGAATCGCTCACGCTGATGTCGCTCGCAGAATTTTCGCTAGGATCTGGGTCCTGCTCAAACCTCCGGACCATAGAGACACCACGCGACGTAGAACGAAACCACATCCAGCAAAGATGCCACAGACGGTGAGCGATGCGCAGAGACTCGCCTGGTCTGACATCTAGGCACCTCTCCAACCTGTGTCTGTCTGCTAAAAGCTCAGAATGCTTCACGATATCACACTGAGCACGATAACAGCGAGAGGCACGTAGGTGGACCACAGCGCAATCTTCACTATGGCAATATCGCGCAAAAAGAGGCAGGAATGCGTCGGCAAGACCCGCTAGCGTGATTCTCACGAGGATCTAAAAATTTCCTTTCCTCACACTTCGTTCTACCCTTTGCGCACCACAACACCACCCGGCGCCGACCAAGGTCGCTTTGCCACAACAAGCACGCCAACCCGCCTGTCTACATTCTCTGAACACCCGATCAAGACCGTTTCCTCGAACCGCTCTTAGCACGGCGCTGAGCTAACCGACTTCAGCGGGTTAGAAGACGATGAAGACGACCTCACTCCAGACGACTTACTCGTTCAGGCAGCTCAGGAGCAGACCGCACTTTTGATCGCGATCGACTCCGGCGACACGACAGCACAGACCTGCCAGCTGAACATCCCGGTAGAGATCGACGCGCGAGGAAATACGAAGTACTCCGTCTACTCTGTCCGGCTTGGCAAGACCCTGACCGGCTTGATGGAGCTTAGAAAAATCGACATGACGCCCCAGGACTACCAAATCCTGCACGGGCTGTCGGTGGAGACATTGCACGATGCAATGACGCTGGATGAGCTAAAGCACCAAGTTTCAGCGGATCATCCACCCACCATCGAGCAGCTTCTCGGCGCCTTGCCACCAGTTACAGTTGTATGGCATGCTGGTGACTACCTCATGTTCATCCTGCCAGATCTGGAAGCCGTTTGAGGAGGAAGTCGCAACTTCAGATTCTGACTCTGATTCCATAACTTTAGAGTCTGGCCACACTGTGACTTTCGCATTTGACCACAGGGAATTCCTTTAAGCGGTTCAGCCACACGAGTCGCGAATAGCCTAAGCTCACCTGGAGTCCATCTGCCTCCTCGATACCTTGGAATGTCTAATGGCGCTGAGCGAGCTTGACATGACATACACGCACTACGAAATTCTGCACGGCCTTTCGGTGACTACCTGGCACGAAGCACTGTCGGCCATCATCTTTGATCAGACGAAGCACCTTCTATCAAGTCTTCGACCTCCCACGGTAGCCCAGCTTCTTGCAGAATTGCCATCGGTCGAAGGCGAGTGGCGTGCTGGTGACTACCTGATGTTCATCTTACCCGACACCGACACGGAGAGGAGTGCGAACTTCATGGACCGGTTCGTGAACTCAGAAGGTGATGTCGACGCCGATCAAGATTTGAACACCGATTTCCCCGTGCGTTCGCAGCAACACAGCACAGGCCGGAGGCAGCGGCGAGCGTGAATGGCGTAAGCTCACCTTGTTGTGGATCAGTCAGCACTGCCAAGTGCCAAGGCCTAATTTCCCGTTGATATATGTGGCCTCTGGCTCAGACAGAAGCTTGTTTCCTTTCCTCATGCAATTCTATAGTCAATCAATCAATGACTTGTTCTGCTCAGCTCAATCACAACACACCTACACCTATACCTTGCCTGGCGCCTCCATCGCTCTCGAACGTCAGAGCCAGCAGGGTGTTTTCCGGATATATCAATATCAGCACAAATCTGGGAAGAACATACGGCTGGGAACGTACACAGATGGTGGCCAAGGCGCCTTCTAAGCTAAGGGTGTAATTGGTAACGCAGCTGCCAATCTAGACACCGCGCGCCGAAATTATTTTTCCTTGCAAGATAATGGTAATGATCTTGGTCGGGAACTACAATCGGATGAATGATATAGCTCAGTGAATGAAGTATGTACGTCTTCATATAGCTAGCATCGGTGTTCTGACTGTGTCTGTATGCAGTCCTGTCCTCTTTCCGTTCACTCATATTTCAATTTCCCATTAAGTATTCGGGTATAGCGCTTCCTTAGCCGAAATCGGCCTGTGACTAATCTCACTCGCGGCATTCAAGTTTCAAGCATCACCTTCACCAAACAAACCCACCTTCCAGTCCAACCAATATCTCCCACAATGGGTCAATTCTACGAAATCATCCCGGAAAACATCTACTCATGGATTCTGCAACAACAAATGCTCTGGGTGTCGACTGCCCCGCTGTCAGCAAAGGGCCACATCAATGTCTCACCGAAAGGCGGCCAGTACTTCGGACTCGTCGATCACAAGACTTTCTGGTATATGGATTTGAGTGGGAGTGGCTGTGAGACCATCTCGCATTTGAGAGAAAATGGAAGGATTACGGTCATGTTTAATGAATTTAAGGGGTCGCCTAGGATTGTGAGGTTATGGGGATACGGTGAGAAGATGAAGACGAGAATGGGGAGTTTTTCTTTTGCTGCCAGTACATGTGGCTGACTGATGATCGATTTGCAAGGTCGCATTCTGGAGCGCGAAACGACAGAGTTTAATGACTTTGTCGCACGAGAATCTATCACGACTATTCCCGCCACGAGGTCGATCATTGTTGTGGACGTGCATCAAGTCGGATCGTCGTGCGGCTACAGTGTTCCGTTGTACGAGTTTAAGGATTATAGGAAGACTCTGAACCAGGTGTTTGAGAAGCGAAAGGAGAAGTTTGATGGTGGGAAGAAGGAGGAGTCGATGGAGAGGTATTGGGCTTATAAGAATGCTTGGTCGATGGATGGTTTGCCTGGGATGCAGGCGGGGTTGGAGTGTGGAGTGAGGGAGGGGGTTGAGCCGATTGAGAAGATGGTGAGTTTATATGTTATGTTTTCTGTGGTTGGGGAGAAGCACGACTGACTGACTGTGGGTTGTAGATCGGTCCTTTCGCTCCTGCTGCTCCTTTCGGGCCTAAATCGCTTAAGCTCGGCAACCAGATTCGGTATCAGATGGCTAAGTTGAGCACGACTCGGATCCAGCTCCAGAGCGTGCTGCTGATTGTGCTGCTGGCTTTTGTGATGGGTATGAGTGTTGCGACGTACGGGCCTGGGATAATCGCATGGCAGAGGAGCAAGATGAGCAGAGTAATGATGTGAGGTCAAAAAGTCAATGCAGTCGAAGTGGAGTCTTCCTACTACGGGAAGTCTGTCTTGCTCAGGGGAAAGTAGTTGGTATTTGGCGTTGGACTTGAAGTGTGTATGTCGATGTTCCGATGTTCGATTGCTAAATATTCTACGCTGCAGCGCGTGTGCACGGACCATGGTTCTTTCAAGTTCTGGAGGCCATGCTGATGATGATGAAGCATAACTCCTTGAGACGATAATACGAGATTCATAACTTGCGGAGTGTTCTTTCCAGCATATATAAGAGCAAGGAGTTCAGTGCTACTTCGTTTGTGGTGATGGTAATGGTGATGAAGAGCGCCTATGAAACCTCGGGTTCGAAGAGCTGCTGGAATGAAACGGGCATGTGAATGAAGTCAATCACGGCATACCGGTATCAAGCCAGCCCCTCTGCTCTCACAAGCTGGCATTACTTACTGCCTCTCGCTGGAAGCGCGAATCTGGCGATACTGGTCGATATATTGCGCAAAATATGTTCGGGACCTTTCACCATCCGGCTCGAGCAAATTCGAACGAACGACATACGTATCACCGTGGCGCAGTCGCGTGATGGTCTGGGATTGCGATGGAATCTACGGCTGCGAGAATGCCTCACATAGAACCTTCTCTGCGTCATCCTCCCCGCTTGCCATGCAGCTCAAGTCACGGCCAGAGCTCTAGACAGCTTCGAGCTTCTTCGGGAAGAACCACGGCCAGGGATCATTCGTGCATGAAGCCGACGGCAGCTGCTATAGTCTAGGTTGCACTTTGGCCTTGGCGAGTTCTTTCCGTGGCTGACCATACAGTAGAATACCCTAGCCGACCCGCTGACAGAGGCTTACTGCATGCCTCGATCCCTTGGGAGAGCAACACTGATACGCTCGTCTTCTCCCGCGCTTCTGTTTCTGCTCGCGTACAATCAATCCTTTGCCCACAAATAAACGAACGACATCTCGGCCATGGCAACTATCGAGCCTCCTCACAACACACAATCAGGACTAGAAGTCGATGGTCTATTGAGAGCCCAAAGTCCTGTCAAAGACAAGAAGCCCGCCCTCGAACGACACATATCTCATATCCCTCAAGACGACGAGGAAGACAACGCGGCGGCCGATGATCACTTGAAGCCTGAGGGAGGTTTTGCGAACAGGATCAAGAACAAACTCAAGAAGACCGTCTCGCGCGAATCACGAGGGGACCATTGCGACGAAAAGACTCGTCCAACCTCACCTCGAAAAGGCCATACTCGCTCAAGCTCCGGACTTGAAGTATCGGGTGTGATGCGCTTTGACCCTGATCATGAGGAGCCTGAGGATGAGCATTCCAACAAGCCAAGTCTGATTCGGAAGCTCACCAAGTCACCACGGCAAGACGAGCAAGCACGGAAACCGAAAGCTCCATCGAAACTTGAGCGCACGATTTCTTCCATTCCGCATGACGATTATGACAGCGATGGCGAAGGACCGATTTAAAGGAGCGGAAGCAGAGGTCGAAAATCAGGTAGTTTTGGGCAACGAACGCAATGCAAGCTTCACTTTTTGTCGCATCTGAAAGCGTCGTCGGTCGACATCTCTCTCTCTCTCTCTTGGGCTATCATTTCGTGTATTGATCTCACGCCGTTCATGGACGCCACAGATCGGATGGCAGCAAAGCTTGATATCTGTGGAGAGCAGTCTCGGGGACGGTGTTTTTGAGTGATAGATTTTGTAAGACTGCTAATTGGGGTTCAAGCACCGCTTTATCAAACCCTGACAGAAATCACAGATGAGTGAAGAATTCTCGGCCGAGCTACTATACAGTCTATACCGAGATCCAAGCCCGACTATCTAATATACTTTATAGTTGTAGTAAGCGTTTATTCCGAGTATTAGAATATCTATCTTCTATATAAGCGTTCGTAGTAAAAGAAACAGCTAAAATGCTATCTTAGAGCCTTTTTATATAATATAACTACTCCCTTTAGGATCTTTTCCTTTACCTAGGCCGCATTCTTAGTTACTTAGCGATAGCGAGCTCTTAAACTTAAGCGGGCCGAGGATATAGGTAATATAAATATCTATACGTACTTTTATATACTTAAAAGCTTATAATAGCGATCTACGAATAATACCGCTCGAACTTAGGTTCTTAAGATTAGAGCTCTTAAAAGACATTATAGTTAAAATCTCGTAAAGGGAATAGGAGGACCGGGGAGGCCGATCGTAAGACCTTATACCTAAAGGTACTAGGGAACGACTTTAGTTAACCTCTTTTCTACTAAGAATTTTAGTAAAATAGATAGAATTCAGTAGTAGTAGCTCGATGTCTAGTACCGGTAGAGGTCCCTTTATCTCGACGCTCGAGAAAGAAAAGAAAAGTACGCCCTAGATATATTTCTCTATTAAATTTTGTTTCCTCGTATATACCTAAGTCGTTACTTGAAAACTTGAAACGGGATAGAGAGATTTAAGCAGTAGGAGTAGGAAAGCTGCAGACATTCTTGCCTCATAGATCTGAATTTTAAATAGTAAGAGGCTTTTTCTTTTGCCTTAAAAGAAGTTTGTTGCCGCTTTTTGTCCCTTCCCAGAAGTCCATCCATGATTGTTGAGGCATGATCATCAAGGAAAAGCCCCCTTCGCTCTGCCTTTACGCCTCCCAGCAGCCAGCATGATTGAAAAGTTCTTTCTTTCCCCTACTTTGAAGTCCAGAGTAATGCCGTTTCGTTTGCCAGCCGCTCCAAATACGACTTGTAGAGCAGTGTGTCGCAGTTGCTAATGTGTTCTGTGGTCGCACTCGAAGTCATCTGGGGAAATATTAGAGCTTGAATGTCCTCGCTGTGGGTACCACTTACTACACAACTTCAATTATTCTTCACGGAGATACGCGTTGGCTCGCTTGCGGAAGGCTTGGCGGAAAGCCTGCAGCTTCTCTCTGTCCTGACGCTTCTCTTCAACTTGCTCCACATCCTCAAGACGATAGCGCTTTTCCCTCCTGAGCTGTATGATGTCGAGTGCGCGCCATTTCCGACCCTTCGCTCTGTTTGTAGCCTGAGCCACCAACAAAAGGCCTCTGACAGCGTGGTCCAAAACCTCTGCCCATGAGGACACATCTTCGCGATCCTGTGCCTCGGAGCGCAGCACCTCCAGTACAAAGCTGTCGCTCAAGTACATCCTCCGCAATCCATCAGCACCAAAGAGAGCGCGCAGCGCCTGATCAAATGTCGTTAGGGAGCACGCTCTCAGGCGAATCATGGTGAGGTGCTTCAAATTTGCACCGATCGTCTTCGCAAACGAGCGGGCAATGGGATAGCTTTTAATGTCAAAGCAATTGGAGCCGTATGCGATGGGGGTTGCCTCTGCATTGATTTCCTTGTTGACGAGCAGGAGACTGAATGGGCTTGGCTCTCCACCCACCCACTTTGCTTCTTGTTCTTCCCACTTCAGACCCTTGTGCCACGGCGATTTGTCCGTTCTCTTGAAACCCTTCGTGACACACTTTTGCCGGCTGCGGCGAAAGTCCGACGACCACCAGTTGTGCGTGTCTAGAGTGACGCAGCCTGTCTCTCCCAAGATCAGGACATAGCCGTAGATCCTGACTTTCAACTCAGTGGGAAGATCTGAGAAGCGAAATGGTTGTTCTGGGCAGGCTTTGCTGAAATTCGGAACAATCTCGAGAAGCGTACGTCCTTTGAGCGTGCCATGTGGAACAAGGATCGTGTTGAGGCGGAATTTGTCGTTGTATGCGCCTTCTCGCTCGCAGAATTGCTTCGCAACCTCTTCTGGACTCATCGCTCCTGCTGCTGAGGCGTGTCCGTGTTGAACGTCCAGTCAACGTGAAGCGCGAGCTGCTGCTGTGCTGTCTTACCAGAGGCCGTCGCATGTATGCGGTATGAAGAAGATGAAGTCCGACTTGCAGTGGATAGTCGCGTGTGTTTTTGGTGTTTGTGATGGAGTTCTTGTTGGAAGGTGTGGACGGTTCTTAAATTAGGACGTTTGCGCAGCAGATTGAGTGACGTGTAATGATTCAACGACCAAGTGAGGTAGTTGAGGCATGATATGAAACTTACTTGGGCCCCTCAGTTGAATGCGGTGAGATCGGAAGTCACGCCAGGTGCGTCGTGTATGGCCTGCCCGAGCACATTTCTAAAGTGAAGTTGTTTTCAATGTCCGCAAGGCGGCCGAGGGAAGAAATGCATCGCGCTCTTTTGATACAACATGGCTATCGAATGCAGTAGTAAAGGAAATGTATGCAGATCCCATCCCGCTCACTCCTTTCCCGCTGCGATCCCTATCGCTCAAAACGAAGCAGCCACGAGAAGCACTTTCCTCGCAGACGTGGTGTTGTCGCTCACTGTACACAAAAATGCAATCACCTGTCCTGTCTTCATCGGCTCAGCTTGGTGGAAGCTCGTCACGGCTCGCTGCTGATCCGGCCCTCTATAGCCTGTCGTATATTGCAGCTGGGTCCAATGTCTTTCCATAGTCGTCTTATAGGAGAAGCTCCAGTGGATTCTCGATGACCTTCTTCAACTCTCTCATAAACTCACCGCCAACGGCACCATCCACAACCTTGTGGTCAAAAGAAGCAGTAAGGACGATTTGATCGTCGAACTCAACTGCTTCGGTGCCATCCTCGAGCTCCTTTGGCACTGCAACCTTCTTTACTGCTCCGACGGCGAGGATAGTGGCTTGTGGTGGGTTGATGACGGCGGTAAATCGGTCGATGGCATCATTCATGCCCATGTTCGAGATGGTGATGGTGCCACCCTGGTATTCTTCTGGCTTGAGTTTTCCGTCTCTTGCCCTCTTCCCAAGATCCTTGATTGTAGAAGAGACGGCTTCAAGGCCAGTGCCTGTCACGTTCTTCACAATCGGTGTCATAAGGCCGACTGGGGTGGCAACGGCAACCGAGACATCGACAGCGTTGTGCTGGCGGATGAAGACCTTGCCGTTCTCCTCACGCCATGAGCTGTTGGCGGCTGGGACCTTGCGGGCGGCATATGCGAGAGCCTTGACGAGGAAGTCGTTGACTGAGAGCTTGTACTTGCCATCGGCGGAGGCATTAAGAGCGGCGCGGAGCTTCATGAGCTTGGTGACGGAGACCGAGGATGCCACGAAGTAGTGTGGGTTCTGGTTCATGGATTGTGTCAGGCGGGAGGCGATGGTCTTGCGCATGCTTGTGGCTTCGATATCTTCGTAGGATGCGGCAGCTCCAGCGCCGGCGATTGCAGAGGCACCAGCAGATGGCTTAGCGTTCTCGACGTCCTTTCGTGTGATGCTGCCACCTGGGCCGGTACCCTTGATGTCCTTGAGCGAGACGCCCTTCTCGAGAGCAAGCTTGGCGATCGCTGGACCAACGACCGGGCCACGTTCAAGCACTGGCTGTAATCGCTCACCTGAGGATTCCGATTCGTGTGACTTTGGTGCTTCACTTCCCTTTGATGCTGGTGGTGCGGTGCCGGAGCTAGAGTCTGCTGGCTCCGAAGACTCAGCGGCCTCTTGGCCACCCTGCTTCTTGCTCTCAGATGGAGCCTTGTCACCACCAGCATCCTCGACGGAGAAATCGGCGAAAGCCTCAACATCGCCGGCGTCCTCAACCAAAACGGCAATTGGCTGTATCCATTTCATCAGCATTGCCCGAGCGTGATTTCAGCTGCTCGTTTCCACTCACATTGCCCACTGCCACATCCTTCTCACCCGAATCCTTCAGAATCTTTGCAAGTACACCCTCTTCTTGAAACTCGAAGTCCATCTGTGCCTTGTCGGTCTCAATCTCCACCAGGACATCACCGGGCGAGAGTGTGTCACCAGGCTTCTTCTGCCATGCGCCAATGTTTCCTGCTGTCATCGTTGGCGAGAGCGCCGGCATTGAGATGAGCGTATGTGATGGGTAAGCTGCGCATAGCGTTAGATACCAATGCCTTTTCTCGATTCTCATCGGAATTACGAACATTTGGAGGCATAGTATCTGGCGAGGGCGGAGAGGGCGGGTATTCTGCTTCTGAAGGCGGGCAATGTATCAGCTCTTGTCCCATCCAATGCCTCGTTATATCCATAGAGCACCACTCACGCAACAGTCGGCTGTGATCTGAGCTGTGTCCATGCGCGTCTGGTCGCAGCACCTCTCGAGGCGCGCGAAAGCACCGAAGCGGCTGACATTGTGGTTGATGTGTCCGGGGCCTGAGTTGCTTGTCGGGGTCAGGTAAGGCCAATGTCACGGCAACGACGCTCCAACGCCGCGCAATGAATGCCTGGGGGTGGTCTCAAGGACGATGAGGAGGGAAAGGAGTGATGGGGTCGTTGCGGGCTTTGGTGAGAGACGTTGAACAGCTTTCTCTGAAAATAGTCTACGGAGGGATTGAGCTCAGTCCTCCGCTTTCCGCTTTCCGACCATGCAGTCGCCGGCCGTTCTCTCACTCTCGCTACTCGCAATCGCAATCGCAATCGGACAGCCACATCGCTATTCTATGCTTGTAGCCTAAGCGTAAACTCTCATAGATATCGCGTGGCATTTCGTGGCTGTTTGACTTTTTGACATTGCCCAGGCGTGGCGTGGCTGCTGGCCTAAGGACAAAGCTGTAATGTAGTTGTGTCCCTTGTACCAAAGACTATAGCTTCGACGCCAACTGTGCACACCACCACTACCTGCATCGCATCGCATCGGTTGTTTGTACGATGCTGCGAGCGTAGAATGTAGTGCCTACAGTGCTGATCAGGTGATGCGACTGCCGCCTCATACACAACACTACCTCTGACCACCATTGGAAATTTGGCATGGCCGAGCCAGCGCCAGCACCAGCGCCAGCGGCCTCTTCGGGAATGCCATCCACCCATCACGAGGACAACAGCACATTCGATGCCGACTACTCGGTGGCGATGGAGGACAACTCGGAAGTCGTAGAGCAGAATGAAGATGCTGTTGCACAGAATGGATCTGCATCTCAAGAAGTTGAGGCAGAAGAGTCTGAGGTGATGGTAAAGGAGCATCCTCCGCCAGCTGTCGACAATGATACGCATTCGACGCACCATGCCACCACAACGCCTCCCAGCGAGCCCAATGCACAGAGTGCACCAGCGAGTGCGGTATCGCCGCCTCCGACGAGCACTGCGATCCCAGACTCACCAGCGACTCGTTCCACAGCAGCTACTGCTATCCGCCCACGATCAGATTCTCAATCAACCACTGCGACTACCGCAACCCGCGCATCCACTCGATCGACCAGGAGTAGCATGGTATTTGTCGTTGCTGCATTAGAAAGTATCGCAGCTTCTAAAGATGCACGCAAGCGGAAGGTGCTGGCAGACTCGACACAGCGGGCCCTGTCAGCCATCCGAAGTGCTCAAGGAGATGCTACGCAGATCGACCCAGAAGTTATGTTTGCGCCTCTGAACCTGGCCACCGAGGCTTCAACAGTTTCAGTAGTAACGACAGCTCTGGACTGTATAGGAAAGCTGATTAGCTATTCCTACTTCTCTACGCCAGCTGTGTCGGAGGCGCAGAGCGAATCTGCAGAGGACAGACAAAGGCCGCCGCTTATTGAGAGGGCCATTGACACGATATGCGATTGCTTCCAAGGCGAAGCCACTCCTGCCGAAGTGCAGATGCAGATTATCAAGAGCTTGTTGGCTGCTATTCTCAATGACAAGATTGTGGTACATGGCGCAGGATTGCTTAAGAGCGTACGTCAGACATATAACATCTTCTTGCTGAGTAAAAGCAGTGCCAACCAGCAGATCGCTCAAGGCACTTTGATGCAAATGGTCGGTACGGTCTTCGAGCGTGTCAAGGTCAGACTTGCGAGCAAGGCTTCGCGGTCATCTACAAGTCTCAAGACGAATGGCGCTGAAGCTGCTTCCGATGTGTCGTCCGTTGTGGGAAGTGACGAAACACCATCACTTGCTGGTGCTCCTCAGACGCCAGATATCGAGAGGGATGAACCAAAGATGACTTTGCAGACATTCGAGACACGTAAATCTTTCGACGACACGAGGATAAACGATACCGCTCCAACTATGGTCACGAAGAACAAGAAGGCCAGCAAACGGCCTTCAACTTCCGGTTCTGGTGCCGATGTGCCATCTATCACCGTGCAGGGGGAAGGGAGTGACGCGCTATCCGAAGATGACGAGGAAGATGAAATCTACATCAAAGACGCATTCTTAATCTTCCGCGCCATGTGCAAGCTATCGACCAAGCCATTGCGAATAGAGGATGCGGTCGATATAAAATCGCAGGGAATGCGATCAAAGCTTTTGAGCTTGCACATCGTCCACAGTGTTCTCTTCAACCACTCCGTCATCTTCACATCTCCGCACGCAACCATACGAAGCTCTTCAAACGGTGATCCGACTGGTTTCACGCAGGCGATCAAGCAGTATCTTTGCTTGAGCCTTAGCCGAAACGGTGCGAGCAGTATCAGCAAGGTTTTTGAAGTGGCTTCGGAAATCTTCTGGCTGATGACAAAAAACCTGCGTTCGCAAATGAAGCGAGAATTGGAGGTCTTCTTGAAGGAGATATACATCGCTATACTGGACAAGCGGCAAGCTCCAGGGTGGCAGAAATCATACATCATTCAGCATATTTTCGGTCGCATCGGACAGGATCCTCGAGCGCTGGTAGAGATTTATCTGAATTATGACTGTGACCGCCAAGCTATTGACAATATGTATCAGCGCATGGTAGAGCATGTCAGTCGACTAGCAAGTCAACCGGTACCTGTTAGCGGACTTCAGCAACAAGCTTACCTGGAGAGCGTGGCGAGGCAAAACAGCAGTCTCTCCAATGACTGGCGTGAAAGAGGGACACTCCCACCAAGCTTGACAACTGCGAGCATGACACAACCGCATGAGTCTGAGCAAGCCTTCCCTCAAGAATATGCTATGAAGATGCAAGGACTAGAGGCGTTGGTAGAGACTCTGCGAAGTATGGTGAATTGGGGTCAACAGACACCCGCAGAAGTAGCTGCGAGCACCCTGGCTGACGTTGATGCACGGTTCTCACTGGATGACCAACAGCGAGAAAGCTTAGACACCAGGGCAATGGAATCTGCAGGCCCAAGTGGCGCGTCAACTGACGGCATTCCAATGACACCTCGAGAGTTCGATACACCAGTTGCGGAAGACGATCCAGAAGAGCTTGAAAAGATCAAGCAGCGAAAGACAGCACTCAATGAGGCTATACGCGCGTTCAATTTCAAGCCGAAAAGAGGCATCAAGATGCTCATCGCGAAAGGCTTCATCCTCTCCGAAGATGCACAAGACATTGCGAAATTCTTCTTCAACAACGAGCGTGTGAACAAGAAATCTCTTGGTGAATTCCTTGGAGAGGGTGATGAAGAGAACATCAAGATCATGCACGCTTTTGTAGACCAGATGGATTTCACACGCACCCGATTTGTGGATGCCCTGCGCAGGTTCTTGCAGGCATTTCGTCTCCCAGGCGAGGCTCAGAAGATCGACAGACTGATGCTCAAGTTTGCCGAAAGATACACCACCGGCAACCCGAATGCATTCGCGAATGCCGACACTGCATATGTACTTGCATACAGTGTGATCATGCTCAACACTGATCAACATTCTGCACAGGTGAAGAAACGCATGACTGTTGAAGACTTCATCAAGAACAATCGTGGCATCAATGACAACGCAGACTTGCCTGATGAGTATCTGCAAGGAATCTTTGACGAGATCGCACACAATGAGATCGTGCTAGATACTGAGCGGGAACAGGCTGCTAATCTTGGCCAACTACCACAACAGCCTACTGGACTTGTCGGTACCTTGGCAAATGTCGGCCGTGACCTCCAGAGAGAAGCATATGCGCAGGCAAGTGAAGAAATGAGCAATCGCACAGAACAGCTTTTTAAGAATCTGCTTCGGGCACAGAAACGAGCCGGAGGTGCAGCAGCCGCTGTGAGCAAAGGCAAATTCTTGATTGCCAGCTCCTACAAGCACGTTGGACCCATGTTCGAAGTGACTTGGATGAGCTTTCTGACCGCGCTTTCGGGCTCGGCACAGGAGACCCAAACCCTCGAGACAATACGTCTTTGCATGGAAGGCCAAAAGCTTGCGGTGCGCATTGCATGCCTGTTTGACCTCGAAGACCCAAGACAAGCTTTCGTTTCAAGCTTGAGCAGGAGCACGAACTTGTACAACTTGTCCGAGATGAAGGCCAAGAACATGGAAGCGCTACGAGCCTTGATCGACATTGCTTACAGCGAGGGCAACCACCTGAAAGAGAGCTGGCGAGACATACTCACCTGCATCTCACAGCTTGACCGATTCCAGCTCATCTCGAGCGGTGTCGAGGAAGGCGCGATACCTGACGTGATGCGAGCGCAAGGAGTGCCGCAGAGTCCACAGGTCAACGGAGCTGGACGAAAGAGCTTGCAAGTCAGCAGGCGGCCGACGACTCGGACTACTCCCAGTGGTGCATATCAAGCCGATATTGTTGAAGAGACAAGGGGTGCAGACATGGTCCGCAGTGTCGACCGCATCTTCACGAACACAGCCAACATGTCAGGTGATGCGATTGTGCATTTCGTGCGCGCTCTGACGCAAGTCAGCTGGCAGGAAATCCAATCTTCCGGCCTCTCAGACCAACCACGAACATACAGCTTGAATAAGCTTGTCGAGATCTCAAGCTACAACATGACCCGTGTGAGGTTCGAGTGGACAAATATCTGGCAAATCCTTGGACAGCACTTCATCGATGTCGGATGCCACAACAATACACACGTCGTGCACTTCGCACTCAACAGCTTACGACAGCTCAGTATGCGCTTCATGGAGATTGAGGAGCTCCCCGGTTTCAAGTTCCAGAAGGACTTCCTCAAGCCTTTCGAGCTGATCCTTAGCAATGCCTCACAGGTTGCTGTCAAGGATCTGGTACTGCGCTGCCTCATCCAAATGATACAGGCTCGCGGAGACATGATCCGATCTGGGTGGAGGACCATGTTTGGCGTCTTCACAGTCGCCGCCAAGGAACCATACGAGAGCATTGTCAATCTTGCCTTTGACAATGTAACGCAAGTGTACAATGAGCGATTCGGCGTTGTGGTGTCGCAAGGCGCTTTCGCTGATCTGGTCGTATGCTTGACAGAGTTCAGCAAGAACATGAAGTTCCAGAAGAAGAGTTTGCAAGCCATCGAGACGTTAAAGTCTTCCGTGCCGAAGATGCTCAGAACACCGGAGTGTCCTCTTTCACTGAAAGCACCAGGCTCGAAGGATGCTCCTCAAGCCGAGAACATCCCTAAGCAACCCATTCGCCAGACACAAGAAGAGCAGTACTGGTTGCCTGTACTGTTCGCTTTCCATGATGTGCTCATGACTGGCGAGGATCTCGAGGTCCGCTCACGAGCACTCAATTACCTCTTCGATACCTTGACCAAGTATGGAGGCGACTTTCCAAAAGACTTCTGGGACACTCTTTGGAGACAGCAATTATATCCCATCTTCATGGTGCTGCAAGATCGCAAGGCCATCAGTCACGAAGCCGTTAACCATGAGGAGCTGTCGGTATGGCTGTCGACCACATTGATTCAAGCACTGCGAAATATGATCAGCTTGTTCACACACTTCTTTGAGAGCCTGGAATATATGCTGGATCGCTTCCTGGACCTGCTTGCGCTCTGCATCTGCCAGGAGAATGATACCTTGGCCAGGATTGGCAGCAATTGCCTTCAGCAGCTGATTCTTCAAAATGTCAAGAAATTCACACCACAGCACTGGGAGAAGATCGTTCGCGCATTTGTCGATCTGTTCAACAGGACAGAAGCCAAGGAGCTGTTCTCAGCTGCAACGTCGAGCAATTATTCCAAGGACAATTCGTATTCCCACGAAAGTCCATCGCGACCGAGAGGCATATCGACTGCCGATGATGCTTCGATTGCAGAGAACACGAACGCCTTGAAGATTAACGGTTTGTCCGAGGATGATGACACAGCTACCACGAATGGCGACGGGCACGTTGAGACGTCTTCGTTGTCACTGTCTTCCGACCACGATCGTAGCCCATCACCGGCCCAGACACCTCGCAACAAGCGAACAGAACTTGAAGACTTCAGCAACGTGCAGTCCAAGCAGCAAGCGCCAATTGTCGTGACAGCCGCGCGAAGACGATACTTCAACCAAATCATCACAAAATGCGTCCTTCAGCTCCTGATGATCGAGACGGTATCCGAGCTCTTCAACAACGACGCAGTCTACTCCTCCATCCCATCCCACCTCTTGCTCCGCCTCATGAAGCTCCTCAAAACCTCATACCACTTCGCCAAGCGTTTCAACGAAGACCGCGACCTCCGCACGCGCCTCTTCCGCGAAGGCTTCATGAAACAACCGCCCAACCTCCTCAAACAAGAAAGCGGATCCGCCAGCGTCTACGTGCTCATCCTCCTCCGCATGTACGCCGACCAATCCCCCGAACGCGCCGCTTCCCGCCCCGAAACCGAATCGGCCCTCATCCCCCTCTGCACCGACATCATCGCCTCCTACATCTCGCTCGACGAAGAAACGCAGCAACGCAACATCGTCACCTGGCGTCCCGTCGTCATCGACGTTTTGGAAGGTTATGTCGCGTTCCCTGACGCAGAGTTTGAGAAGCACGTTGAAGTTTTCTCGCCGCTTGCTGTCGGGCTTATGAATCGTGATATGGGGCCGGAATTGCAGAGGGCTGTCCAAGGGCTTTGGCAGAGGGTTTGTGAGGTTCGACTGGGGTTGAGATTGGATGAGGCGCTTTTGCCGGTGCAGACGCCGAGTAGTCCTAGGGCTGTTAATGTTTTTGGGACGAGGAGGGGGAGTCGGGGGTCGGTTGTTAGGGTGGTTGGTGGGAAATCGTAAGGAACTATAAATGCTCGTGGTGAAGGGTAGTAGGTAGTATGTATGGTGTGGGGGTAGAGTTGTTGTGGAAATGCAAATTTTTTTTTGCAAATTTTGATCTTTTTTGCGTTCTTCTATCTTATGTTCGGTCACGGGTCACTCGGTCAGGTCCTTGCTGTGAGGGGGTGTGGCTCAGGCTGCCATTGACGCCAAGACAAACGACATTGGAAGAACTTGACTCTCGCTCCAAATTCCTTTCTTGGGGGGGGGGGGGGGGGGGTTTCCAAAAACGGCCTTCGGATGGGTTTAAAGCCAGGCTGGAACGAGACCAGAGACATTTCTCGAGCCAGACATTCATGGTATATTCTAATTTCCGAGACATGGGCGCGAGGAAAGAAGTCTATTTTTTCTTTCAGGCTGTAATGAATGTAAGTCGTGAGCGAGACATTCCATCAATTGCCGAGACATCTCACTCCCTCTACTCTCATCAGTTCCGACGGGTTTGGTGTGATGGTCGTATTTTCGAGTCATCCAATGTGTCGAAGCGCATGAAGGTTGCTATAGGGAGATGATCGGAGCGGATTCCAGCATAACACTCGCTGTGGCGCGTTCCAGAAGGCAAGTGAAAATAGCTCTTTGAGGCTGCAGATGAGGGTGGTGGTTGTTGTTGTAGTACTGAGGAGATTGGCGAGACGTCGCACAGCATCGTAATAGGAGAGATGTGAGATGTTGTCTCACGTCACATCCGGGACAACGCACGCTTACTTACACCCGAGCTGGTTTTTGCGGCTTGCGGCTTGCAATGGGTGGTACTGTACCGCAGCTTTTATGACATGGAAGGGCTTCGAGAAGTCTTCGAATCTTGACGCGTCTTGAGGAAGTGGTGAGGGGCTGCATTGTTGTGTTGGTGAGGACGGAAAGAGCGGCGGGCTTGACTCGCAGATGTGGTCTCGTTGCCGGCAAGTTGTGTTCGATGAACTGCTATATGCGATTTAGGAGGTATAAGATCTCGGTCGTTTCGCTCGGAGGCAGTACAGTACCGAGGCTGCGGCTCTGACGTGTAGATCGTCAGTGGACAGCACAGCGCGGTGGTGATGCTCTGCGTCGGCATGCTGTATCAACGATTAACACATATGCAGGCGCAGACGATTCTGATGTGTAGCAGCCTTATTGGTCTCTTGAACTGGTTTCAGAATTGAGTTTCCTGTTGACGCGATCTTCCCTGTTCTTATTGAGGAGCACGCGCAGCTGAAGTGCAAGGATCCCTAGGGGTATCGGCGTTGCTATGCATTATTATTCGCGGTAGAGACATCGAGAGGCGTGTCGTTCCGCGCATCACATCGGAAGGTGCTGTAGCATTCATTCATTGTGATGGCACGACCGGCGAAGATGCCGCCGCTCAAGTCCGGTGCAGCGCGAAGGCCATTGTTGTTCGCTGCGTCGCGTGGCTGGCTGTCGAGTGAGATGTCGCAGGCGCGCAGAGGAGTGCTTTGCGGCGGGAGACTCGAGGTTGGGAGCGTTGCTAGACGCCCCGCCCCTTGCACCAATCACATGCGAAGACGGGCAGGATGCGGCGCCACCAAGGCTTGTTTGACTTCACCACTTCTCCATCGCGCAGTCGCAGTCGCCGCAGTCGCTACGCCCAGTGAACGCCTGCCACGCCTGCCACGCCTGCCACGCCTGCCACGCCCGGCGTCCAGCCATTGAGATGCGGGACACGCCAAGTCCGAGCGCTCCTCATTCGCCGCTCGGTGAATGAGAGGGAGGGGAGGGCGGCGTGCTGCGACTGCGAGGCGTGCCAGGCCAGGTTTCAGAAGCGGCTGCCCGCGGCCGTTCTGGTGCGAGGAGCAGCAGGTGCAAGTTCTTTCTTGAATCTCGCCGACGAAATGAGATGGACGCGGCCAGAAGACGTGAGCGTCGGGCTGGCGAGCATGTGACACCACAACTGTGCCTCTCTGGACCCCATTCGCTCGACCGGCTGCTACTTCTTCCTTGCATGCTGCATCTGCAAACTATCTTTCGCTCTACACCCGAACCGTTCCTTTTTAATTATCCGACGACTCTTCTTTCTGCTGGATACTCGTTGCTTCTTCTTTTCCAATCAATCTTCATATGCACAGTGCCGTGTAACCATACACTTTTACCGTCTCTTTCGTTTCGGTGGGTGGCTCGAATTTGTCTTCATGACATCTTGAATCGACGTCAATGAGCCTCTTCGTTGACGGAGATGGACATTTGCGAGGCTGGCTGGCCGCCTTGCTATGCTGCTGGGCCGCGGTAGGCGACGACGAGTACGAATTGGAGAAGAAAAACACAAAAGGTTTGTGGAGCGCGTGGCATGACATTATTCAACACTGACACCGCTCTAGCCAAAATTTCACGCCCAACTATATATAATGATCAACCTACACAACTTGAAATGATGTCGCCGCACGCGTCTAGAAACCATCCAACTTGGGAGCACGCAGGATTCACAGAGGAGGATCGCGTGCGACCAATAACCGAACGACCGCCTTCCATCAAACCATTGGACTTTGGAGACTCTTCGTTGATGGGCAAAGTGTCCCTACATGGCCGAAGGAAGAGCTCGACGACCTTACTCAACTTTCACAACTCCGCAAAACGGAACTCATCCAAGTCATTGGCAAGAACAAGCATAGGCCAACCGACAAATTTCCGTCGCCTCGAGTATACCGAGAAGCAACGTCGTTCGTTGAAGCCACTGCAACTTGAGCCAGTGGTATTGAGAGGAGATGTCCTTGCCATCCCATCCGATCACGACACCGCTGTCCGGCATGACGCCTCGAAGTCTTTAGATGTGGATTACTGTCTGGCCACTGCTGCCAAAAGATCATCCTATCGCGAAACTCGAGAAACACCTTTCGAGAGATGTCAACAAATGAGTGCTACAGCGAAGCGAGATCAATCTCCAACGACCACGAAAGACGAGAAGAGTCTCCAATCAACCCTCTCCACCAAATCCTCTTCCAGCTCAATGTACTCTCTCCGTCGCCAGCCCTTCGAAAGCAGCACTTCCAACACGCCATCCTCATCCCGCCCATCGACCGAAAGAACACGTCTCAAGCGGAAAAGATCCAATCCAACCACCCGCATCCCCTCATCCGAGAGCAACGACCTCGACAAAGAAATTCTCGAACTCAACACAATCGTCGAAGAACGCCGAGCCGAATCCACCCGGCCCCTCAGTCCAGAAGCAACCCAACACGTCCCTGCCATCGCACCCTCAATGACCGTACGCGCAAGATCTGAAACTCTGACAGACATCGGCTCCGCTTTCTCCCGTCCTCTCCACCTCAACACAGATTGTCCGACCACAACCATTGCGGAAACTTTCTCCTCTCCTGTCAAGTCCCGCTTATCAAGACCCTTCACCAACATGCCGGATTCCCATCTAGAGACGGTTGGGGTTGTTATTAGAAGGCCCTCTTCGAGGGTTACGGGCTGGCTTACGAATCTTTGGTCTTCTTCTTCTTCTTCTTCCCACATTCCGGATGAAAATCCCGCGCCTCACCAACAACCTTTCTCCTCCTCCTCATCCTCCTCTGCACATTCCCGTCATCGTGCCCTTTCATCATCCGAAACAACTTCTTCGAGTTCCCTCTACTGCACTTCGTCGATGAGTACGACCACTTCCTACGTGTATTCTAAACCCTCTGTGACTCCGCCTTTCACGGCTTGTACGTCGGAGGAGAGGGAGAGGGAGAAAGTTTGGTTGAATTTGAGTCCGAGTCGGGTTGGGTTGGCGTTGTGAATTGATATTTGATTTGGTTTTTGTACATATATATAGAGATACCCTTAGCATTGACAGGGAGGGAGGGAGGGAGGGATGTATGAGTAGGGAAAGGAGGAGGTGAGGTGTAGGTGAAGAAGATAGATGGAGAGAAAATGATCTCGCGCGTCATTTTGAGGAGAAGAAGAGATATTTCTTTTTCTTTCCCCCCTGTCAAGTTCCGAATATTTTATTTTTTTCCATGTTGCTATCTATGTCTTGCCATCGGTCGGGGTTTGACCATGTTTCTTCTTCTTCTTCTTCTTCTTCTTCTTCTTCAAGTTTCCCTGCCCTTTTCATATACCATACCATACCCATGAGTTGAATCATTCCTTTCCCGTCTCCCCAACCAAAAACTCCTCGCTAAATCTCAAAACTTTTTCCTCAAAGTTTTTTTTCCTCTCACGCCTTCGCATATTCTTGCAAATACGCAGTCAACTTCTCCGCCGCAGCTACAGGCACAGCGTTGTAGTTGCTAATTCTGATTCCACCAACGCTACGATGACCTTTCAGTCCCATCAGACCTTTCGCTTCGGCGCCCTTGAGGAAAGCCTTCTCTGCGTCAGCGTCGCCGCCTTTTACGCGGAAGCAGATGTTCATTCTGCTGCGAATGCTCTTGTCTGGGACGACCTGGTAGACTTTCTCATTCTGGTCCAGCGCTTCGTACAGCATTTTGGCCTTCTGGTTTGACTCGGTCGCTTGGCCGGCGATGCGTGGACCATTCCCGGCTGGGTGGATTTTAAGCAGTCTCTCCATTACTTGGCCTGCGATCCAGACGTCGAAGATGGGGAGAGTGTTGTATAGGCTGTTGTTCTTTGCAATCGTGGGCCAGTCCAATACAACAGGTCCATTGGGCAAACCAAGTCTGCGCAGAAGATCGGGCTTGGCATATTCTGCATGAGGTGGGAGGAAGGCATTGGAGACAATGGCGATGGTGATCCCTGTTGTCCCGATGTTCTTCTGAGCACCTCCAAAAATCGCGGCGTGCTTGCTGACCTCCACAGGTCGTGAGAGGAAGTTGGAACTCATATCTGCCACCAAGTTCTTGCCAGAAGGTGTTGACTGAAACTCGACTCCATCGACCGTCTCGTTATCGCAGTAGTAAGTGAACGCAGGCTCGCCACTGCTATGGCTCCACGTCGACTGCTCTGCAATAACGCCAAATTTTCCATCTCGGTGCTTCCTCGAATCGCTGACAATGTTCACATGATCCTGTCCCACCAACCGGGCAGCTTCTTGCGATGCCTTTAGAGACCAAGATCCGGTCACCAAGTAGTCCAATTTCAGCTGTTCCTTGACGACCAGTGCAAGTTTCGCCTCATCACCACCCACAGCTTTGAGTTGCTTAGCCACCCAGACAGAGACCAAGTTATAGACAACAGCACTGAATTCTCCCGACCCGCCACCTTGCAGGAAAAGAATCTGGTATCCCTCTGGTCCTTCGGATTCAGGGATTTCGAGGAGCTGTCTCAGGGCTTTCTGTGCGTTTGCCAGCACCTCGTTCGCATCGGCACTTCGATGCGAGATTTCGGTGATTCCGATGCCAGTGTCTTTGTAGTTTAGGATGACTTTTGATGCCTCTTCCAAGACTGGAGTTGGCAGCGGCGCCGGGCCTGCTCCGAAGTAGTGGATGTCGTCTCGTGAGGGCATTTTGGATGTGGAACTTGACCGAGTGTTTGGAGGAATTGTCGTGGTTTGTTTGTTGACAAGTTTTCGTCTCTCAATGACTGTGATGAAAGTGGGGCGATGTCGGAGCTTGGCAGATTCTGGTGAAACACGATTACTCCCTCGCGCGCCATTGGCTCCGTATTTACATCATTCTAATCATTTGGCAGGCGCTCTTCCGTGGATATATTGAGGATTCAACGAGCATAGAAACGCCTTGGAGCAGATCGCCGCAATGGCGGCATTGAGAGCCGGTGCAGGGAGAAGTCTGCAACGCCTACTTCGAGCACGCAGCGTGAGCGGGAAACGCGAAGGGAAATGGAAAAGAAAGTCTCCGTGCTAAGAAATGTTCAGAATGGCATCGCATCTTCTCGACAATCGATATTCGCCTCGCGGACCAGCTCGGCAACAGCCACACCAACTCTCACACATCTCCACCACCGCCCGCGGTATGTCTCGACTACTCGACGCACGCGAGCAGAACTACGCGAAGCCTTTCCTTCCCAGCTCGACAATGCGCCTCCAGACTTTCTGAATAAGCCATCGACGGCGCCAACGACCCCTCAGACGCTCACCGAGAAGATCGTGCAAAGATACTCGCAAGGGCTGCCGGACGGAAAGTTCGTCAAGGCGGGCGACTATGTCACGCTTAGTCCGCACCATTGTATGACCCACGACAACTCATGGCCTGTGGCGACCAAGTTCATGAGTATTGGCGCGACCAAAATCCACAACAACAAGCAGATTGTAATGACGCTGGACCATGATGTTCAGAACAAGAGCGAGAACAATCTGAAGAAGTACGAGAAGATTCAGTCGTTTGCAGAGCAGCAGGGAGTCGACTTTTACCCAGCAGGACGTGGTATCGGGCACCAGATCATGGTCGAAGAAGGCTATGCCTGGCCAGGAACTATGGCGGTCGCGAGTGACAGTCATTCGAACATGTACGGAGGTGTGGCTTGTCTTGGTACGCCGGTAGTCCGCACAGATGCTGCTAGTATCTGGGCGACAGGCAAGACGTGGTGGCAGATTCCTCCCATCGCCAAAGTCACTTTTGCGGGTATCCTTCCTGAAGGTGTCACGGGAAAGGATGTGATCGTGGCGCTTGCTGGTCTTTTCAACAATGATGAGGTCCTCAACCACGCCATTGAATTTACTGGTTCAACGGACACCATGCGAAGTCTGCAGGTCGATGACAGACTAGCAATTGCGAACATGACCACTGAGTGGGGAGCTCTGTCGGGACTGTTCCCGATTGACGATGTTCTCAAAGGCTGGTTGCGATACAAGGCCACTGAAGCAAGCATGTACCGAGAGCCGTCGCCCACAGCTAGTCCCACTACTGATAGATTCAACCATGAGAGGCTTGACGAGCTCTTCGCCAACCCATTGAAGGCCGATGCAGGAGCGACATACTCCAAAGAACTCTTTCTGGACTTGTCGACGCTCTGCCCCTACGTTTCCGGCCCGAACTCGGTCAAGGTTGCTACTCCGCTGAACGAGCTGGAGGCGCAAGACATCAAGGTCAACAAGGCTTATCTCGTGTCTTGCACAAACTCTCGACGCAGTGATATCAGCGCTGCTGCTAAGGTGTTCAAGCAGTTGGCTGACAAGGACGGCAAGGTACCCAAGATCGCTGATGGCGTGAAGTTCTACATTGCTGCAGCTTCACTTCCCGAACAGCGCGCTGCAGAAGAGCAAGGCGACTGGCAAGCGCTGCTTGAGGCTGGTGCGGAACCTCTACCGTCTGGATGTGGTCCATGCATTGGTCTTGGAACTGGTCTGCTCGAACCTGGCGAAGTCGGCGTATCCGCAAGTAACAGAAACTTTAAAGGTCGGATGGGAAGTACAGATGCCAAAGCCTACCTTGCAAGTCCGGAGGTCGTTGCTGCTTCTGCACTGCACGGCAAGATTGCTGGCCCCGGCTGGTACGAGAAACCCGAAGGCTGGTCTGGCGTCAGACGTGGTGAGGGTGATGGTGTCGCCGATGAGCACCGCATGATTAGTATTGAAGATGCCCTTGACAAGATCATTGCACAGGCTGAGGAGGCTATCAAGGACGGCGAACAGAGATTGGCACAGGAGGCTGGAGAGGGCACTTCTCAATCGGGCTTTGCTACTCCTCCAGGAGAAAAACGTTCTAGCGGCCTCACTGAGATCCTACCAGGCTTTCCCGACAAAGTAACAGGTGAGATTGTATGGTGCGATGGCGACAATGTCAACACCGATGGCATCTATCCTGGCAAGTACACGTACGACGATGCATTCTCATCAGACCCGGCCAAAATGGCGACCGTGGTCATGGAGAACTTTGACAAGGACTTCGCCAACATCGCCAAGCCAGGTGACATTCTGGTCTCGGGTTTCAATTTTGGCTGCGGATCTTCCAGAGAACAAGCGGCAACCGCAATCCTCGCAAAAGGCATCCCACTAGCTGTTGCCGGCAGTTTCGGCAATATCTTCAGCCGGAACTCGATCAATAATGCTTTGATGGGTGTCGAAGTGCCCAAATTGGTCGAAAGACTTCGAGCGACTTTCAACAACGATACATCTGCTGCAACTGGTCAAGCGGGAAAGGCACCTATCACAGAGCCCAGCAAGAACGCTGACAGCCTCGATTCTCCTCCACCTGCTCCAGTAAGCAAGACTGAGAAGAAGCTCACGATCCGGACTGGCTGGACGTTTACCTGGGATGTCAGAAGAAGTCAAGTTGTCATCCAAGAAGGCGAGGGTGGCGAGACCTGGACACAGAAGGTCGGCGAGCTGCCTCCAAATGTGCAAGACATTATTGCCAAGGGTGGTCTTGAGAAATGGGTCCAGGCTCAAATCTCGAATGCTTTGCAGTAAACATCTCGTCGCATCTTGTCAGCAAGGAATGGGAGGAAAAGTTGAATGATACCCAGGATCAGAGCAGTTCAGTGTACATATAATTACATGTCATGTAAAGTTACCGATACTCACAATCAGCATCAGCATCACTCATTATCACTATCCATCAACTCGGCCAACTCTGCCTCTTCCTCCGCCGTCAGCATACTCCCACCCCCCTTCTTCTCCTCCTCTCCCTCCTTCCCCACCTCCTCCTGAAACCTCCTCATATCCCCCCTCTCCAAACTCCACCTCCTCACCGTCCCATCAATACTAACACTCACAACCTCCTTTTCCTTCTCCCTCTTCACCAAAGCAGTCACCTCCTCAAAATGCCCCTGATACCTACAAACCAACTCCCCACTCGCAATTTCCCAAACCCTGACATCCTCATCCCTACACGCCGTCACCACCAACCCAAGATTTTCAAAAATTACCACATCTCGGACGAAATCTGGGTGTTGGAGGACAGTATCTGCTTCGAAATTCCGGCTCCGCACGAGATGTTTGCAGGTTTTGTCTGCGGAGGCGGTCCAGAGGCCTTCGCCGTCGTGGTCCCAGTGCAGGGCGTAGATGGAGGTTTCGTGGGGACGGAGTGGGGGGTTTTCTTCCGAGGGAGAGAGGAGATCCCAACGGCGGATTTCGCGGTCGCTGCTTGCTGTGACGAGGATGGAAGGGTTTAGGGGATCAAGGGTTAGGGAAGTTAGGGCGGCTTTTGTGGGGTTGGAGAGTTTTTGGAGGAGCTGGCCGGAGGAGATGGACCAGAGGATTATTTTTGCGTCGGCGGAGCCGGATATCAGGATGGGGTCGTTGTTGAGGGTTGTGGTGCAGAGGCATTTTATGAAGTCGGTGTGGGATTCCAGGGTTTTGGTTTTGGAGGGATTGGAGAGGGGGATTGAGTAGATTGTTTTGTCCCAGGAGCCGGCGAAGAGGGTGTTTGTAGTTGGGCAGATTGCGAGGCTGGTTATTGGGGCTTGACTTGCGTTGAAGATGCGTTGGACTTTTTTGTCCTGTTGGAGGTTAATGTCTTGCGGTCAGAATGAAGGGTGGATATCTTCGTACACACTTCCAGGTTTAGGCGCTTCACTTCTCCCGCTGCTTCGGCGACATACACGGCATTGTCGTCTTGAGGATCGGCGATGGCATACAAGATCTTTGACGGAAGCTTGATGGGGTCGCCATGCTTGTTCTTCGATTTGGCTGCTTTTCGTTCCGATGTAGCAAGTGCTTGTGTAGTTTGGAAGTAGTGGCCAGGATCGTTGGACCTCGACATGGTGTTGGATGGAAGATCGGATATACTGAGTGTTCACCAAATTCGAACATTGGTGTTGTCTTGGAGCAAGTCGGGGACAAAGTCAATCTTGCGGCCAAAGTTCTGGAAACGATCTGGCGAAACTCTATGAACTTGCCAAGCAGCGAATCAATTGGCTTGGACAAGCATCTCCTCAACCTTCCTTCTGACATGCACCCATGTCCACCACACCATGGCGTCTGGCACATCTGTTCAATGACAGGTTACACGACAGCCTGAGAACCAACGCCACACAACACGACATCATCGACATGCTCGGTATCAAGACACTGCATGGAGAATGCCCGCTGCCCGCATGCGCACCCGCTTCCTCGGCAAACACGCACAGCTGACGCAGGAATGGTGGCTCTCCGGCAAAAAATCTTGGCTTCTGATTGCACATGCAGTAGCGGCAGCCATGAATGGAGCCGCTGCCCACGCGACGACCGTGCTGTGGGTGGAGCGTACTAAGCGTAGGCGAGGTGTAAGACGTGACCTGATTCTTTTGCAATGCGCTTTCACTTCTCCTCCACCCGCCTTTGCGCAGAAGAATCCCCTCTCGTAGGATGGCATCGCCTACGTCGTCATCGTCCTCGGCGCAGCCAGCACATATTTCGGAAGATGTCACAACCAAGACCAACGTCTCGAGGACGTCGAAAGAGCTGGCAGCGTTTGATCGAATGGTCGATGATGGCGAGGACTTGGACTATCATGGCCATCTCAAGTCGTCGCGGCAGGGGGACCGAGGCTTTACGAAGAATGATCGGCAGGATATGAAGAGGATGGGGAAAGAGCAGGAATTGAGGAGAAACTTCAGAGGCCTGTCGACAATCGCTTTTACTGTCATTCTACAAGGAACGTGGGAAGTGCTGTTGGCGGCGTCTTATCAAGGCATGTACAGTGGTGGGCTGGCGGGCTTGTTCTGGTCATACATTTGGACGTTTATCGGCTTCTCGCTTGTCGTTGTCAGCTTGGCTGAGATGGCGTCAATGGCACCGACTAGTGGAGGACAGGTGAGTTGTTTACGTGCCTATATACTGACGGCTTGTGCTGACTGTGCTTGTAGTATCACTGGGTATCTGAGTTTGCTCCTCCCAAGTATCAGAAACTCCTCTCCTACTTCACCGGTTGGATGTCAACCCTCTCATGGCAGGCAGGAACAGCTTCTGGACCTTTTCTGGTGGGCACGCTCATACAAAGTCTGGCATACATCAACCACCCCGAATATAGCGCGACTAACTGGCAAGGCACTCTCTGCGTGTGGGCCATTACTCTGATCGTACTTCTCGGCAACGTCTATGGAGGAAATGCCATGCCAGTCTTTCAAAATCTGATGCTCATATTGCACGTTTTCGGATTCCTCACCATCATAGTCTGCATCTGGGTCCTGGCACCACGAAACTCCGCAGAAGTGGTCTTCACTCAATTCTACAACGGCGGCAACTGGTCTTCGATGGGCCTCGCTCTTATGGTTGGCCAGATTTCCGCCATCTACGCTTGCATTTGTAGCGATGCTGCGGCACACATGTCAGAAGAGATCAAAGACGCAGGCCGCACAGTCCCGAAAGCGATGATAGGCTCCTACGTCCTAAACGGTGGCCTCGGAATCGTCTTTCTGGTAACATTCCTCTTCAGCGTCGTAGATCTCGAAGGCGCTCTCAACGACGAAACCGGCTACCCATTCCTCTACGTCTTCAAAAACGCCTTCTCCCTCCCCGCCGTCAACGCCCTCGCCTCAATCGTCATAATCCTAATCTTCGCCGGAACCCTCTCCTACAACCTCAGCACATCCCGCCAAACCTGGTCTTTCGCCCGTGACCAAGGCCTCCCCTTCTCGAATTGGCTCGCAAAAGTCAACGTCAACCTCGAAGTCCCCGCGAACTCCGTCATCTTCACCTGCGGCTTTACCATCGTCCTCTCCTTCATCAACTTCGGCTCCGACGTGGCTTTCAACGCCATCATATCCCTAAACCTCGTCTCCCTGATGATCACATATCAGATCTCCATCGCTTGCGTTCTATATCGACGCATCTACCAACCGGAACTTCTCCCCAAAGCGAGATGGAGTTTGGGGAAATGGGGTGTTGCGATTAATTCTGGGGGTTTGGCGTATAGTACTTTTTGCTTCTTTTGGTGTTTCTGGCCGAATGTGTATCAGCCCAGTTTGGTGGATTTCAATTGGAGTGTGTTGATGTTCATTGTTGTGGCGATAATCGCGGCGATTGATTGGGTTCTCAGGGCGCGACATGTGTATAAAGGACCAGTCGTACTTGTCGAGGGATGGAGGGAGCAGTAGTAGTAGTAGTAAGAGGTCTCTCTGTGATGTGTATTATGGATGTTGCATTTCAGCGAGCATTGTACGCATGAGTTCTTTTTTTTTTTAAGTATACACACTCTCCGTAATAGAATTAACCTGCAACCCCCTCTCAGCAAGTTCCGCCCCCTCCAAAAACCTGAGAGGCATCCAAACCAAATGCCCCCGAATCTTATCCAGTTCCTGCCTCACCACCTCCACCGGTTGAAATTCATCAAACACATGTCCAGCTTTCCTCGACCCCTTGGATCCCAGAAACTTATCATACTCCTCAAAAGTCTTGACGTTATCGTCCGGGTCGGCGTGGAAAATGTGGCGAAAGACTTTCGTGTTGATGGTGGCGTTCTGCGTCCACATTTCCCAGAGCGAGTCCGAGAGCGGGTCTTGGATGAATTCGTCCCATTCGTCGTTGTGGTACCAGTCGTTGTCGGCGTCGCCGGGGGGTTGGGCGTTGATGTCGTTTTCGGCGTCGAGGGGGTGGGGTGGTAGGAGGCCGAGATGTTCGCGCCAGAGCATGCGGCGGAGAGTGGCGGCGTGGTGGCCGGCTGTGAATTCTTCGCCGTTCATGCGGGATGGAAGGGGTAGCGTGTCTTCCATGACGATACTGAGCTCGGAATCGTGGAAGCCGATTTGACTTCGGTCGTTGATGTTGGATGAGCCGCAGATGGCGATTCGGTCGTCTGCAATGAGGAGCTGGGGTGGGTTAGCTTGCATAACATAACCAATGCCGATGTCGCCGCGCGCGCACTCACCTTGCTGTGGATGTAAAGCTCTTCTTGCACAAAGTTCTCCAGCTCTTGCTGCCGAGCATCTTCACTCTCCTCATCGTCGCCATCTTTGCTACCATCTTCCTTACGACCGGCATACTGCTCCTCGCTCGGCTTCTTCTGGCCCAGCAAAGCATCATGAGCGATACTGTCCTGACTCTGGACATGATCGTCCATGTTTTGGTGCTGGTGTTCCTCAAATCTTCGCTTCTTGTCTGCGAGTACAGTAGCGTCGTCATTTTCATCTTCTGGATGAATTTTGTCTTTCTCGTCAAGGTCCAAAGACGTTCGTCTTCCTTTGTTGAACAGGGCCTTAAAACCACCTTCCATGGCGGTCTTTCGAGCGCCGACATTGGCGCTACCCTCCAGACTTTCACTTGCATGGACGCCCTCAGGCATGATCTCCTCGGCCTGAGCGCGCTGAACCTCCTGATATGTGACACCGCTCTTCTGCTCCTGTTCTTTGAGCTTAGGTGTCTTGTTGAGACGGTCATAAGAGCGCAGGTTGAAGCAGTACATGTACTGAGTTGGGTCGACGCCTGCAGCCTTTACCTTGCCGAAGATACTTTCGTCTCCACGACAGATTGACTTGTACTGGTAGTCCATGATGGCCCGGGTACCAGCTGCGGCGTTGTCTCGTAGATCACCAGCGAAACCGGGAATAGCAGGAATCACGATGATGACCCGGAACTTTCGGTTCTCCTTGGCCGCTGAGATGATGGCATCCGCAATGGCTCCACCAATTTGGTTGTGAATCGGCGCCTGGTTTGGACCAGTCGCAGTGATGAAGAATTGGTTCTCGATGTAAACATAGTGTTTTGCTTCCCTAATGACCTGGCAGTATGCGTTTTGAATGCTTTGCTCGGCGAGAATACCAGATGACCAATCGGCAGATGATCGTACCAATTGAGCATGAACCGTGCCTTGTGAGGTGACTATACCATGATCGACCTTATCGGAAGGTCCGTAACCCTTGCTCTTCTCAGCCATACCACCTGAAGCAGTAGTTGTGCCCTCCTTCTTCGGATCATTGCCAGTGACTTTGGCGTTCTCTTGATGTTGGGGCTTCAAGTGATCTTTGACAGCTTCTTGCTCGCCGCTGTGATGCGGCATGTGAACTCCATGTTCTCGCAGCTGCTTCTCAAGGCCGTGACCAAACCCATGCTGGTGTTTTGTATAACCATGCTCGTCAACTTCTTCCTGAGCATCTAGAAATTCTTCAGATTCGTCCTCCGCGATTGGCTGCTGTTCTGCGCCGCCCTCAGACGGTGGGTGCTGTCGTGTCTTGCCCTGTCTCGGATTGCCTCGCTTGTTCTGTAGCGGCGATAGTGGATGGCGTACGTAGTCTCCGACCGGATGCTTAGGTCTCTGCACACCGATGAGGTCCTCGTCTTCGCCGGTGCGTCCTGTCAGAGTAAGCCAGTCGTATCTTTCATCGCGCTTGTACTTGTCACGCTTGCAAAAATTCCATCGCAGGACAAAATGCTCGGCGATATCGTAAATGCAAGGTCCAATGACGCCCATAGCCACATCATGCCATGGCATCCTACCATAATCCGCTTTCGAGACCTCATTGCTCTTCCAATCTTGCACACTCTGGAAGTCCATGATGCGATTGTTGTTGAAGTCTTGACCCGGGAACATCTCATTCTGCACACCAGCTGGATGTGCGTCGGCAAGCACATGCTGGCGGTTGTCCCATCGACCGAAGCAAAGATCCAGACCTCCAATGAATGCAAGATCGTAGTCGATTACGATGAACTTTTCATGATGAGCCCAATAGAACGTCATATCAGAAGCATTCTCCAGGACGTTGTGGTCGGGATGTCGCATGAGTCTGATATTGCCATGTCCCGGAGTTCCTTCGGGGCATAGCGCCATCAGAGCCTTCTTGGTATGCTCGGAATTGCATGTCAACGCGTGTTGAACCTCTCGGTAGACGATGACATAGATTTTGACGCCTCTCTCTGCAGCACGCTTGAGCACGTTGTCCAATCGCCATTGCTGGTTGTGGTAGGGTGGTCTTCTCAAGAAGAGTTCCGGGCTCAGCCACCAGTCTTCGATGTAGATGGTTTCCTTGGCTCGCTCCAGTGCCACCGATACGGCATGGAAGTAGTCGCGTCCGTCAATGTACCACTTGATCAGATTGCCATCTCGCTCAGGCGCAAAGCTTTGAAAGCGATGGCGCTCGGCAATCTTTGTTCGCTTGGCATCAGTCCTCTGTTCGTGTTCCTCATCGTGCCGGTGATTTGTGTTGACCAGATTCTGAAACTTTCCCAGGCGATGCTTCAGATGGATGGCAGAGACCTTGGCATCGTGAAGCTTTGTATCTTTCAGCTTTTCACGCAGCTTTGCAAAAGTGCCTCCCTTCTCATGATCCTCGCCATCCAGATGCTTCTTCTGCTCTTCCGCGCTGCCAACATCGGAGGTCTTACCAACCATGCTTGCGGAAGAGCTGGGCCGAAGCAATGTGCAATGTTATCAGAGCGACAGGACGTGGTCGTTTTGATCGCACGGCATAGAGTTTTAGTGACACTGCCAGGATAATTCCTGATGTTCCCTGCAAATTCGGCATCCCCGCCATCGGTGACCTCATAGCGGGGCCAAAAGGATCACCAAGATTGAGTTTCAGCACAAGTTCGGTATCCCAGATCCGAAGAAGAAACTCCACGCACGCACCATGCGATGCGAGCCATTCATTGCCTGGCCTTCTTCCGTTCTTCTTATCTGGACAGCGAGGTTGTACCTGCCTGCAGCAACGACACATATTCCGTGATGAAGGGCTCGGATGTGATGTCCTTCACTCAGAATCCAAAGCCACTGCGGTCATCCCCCACTGCTGTCCCTGCTCCGACATGTCAAACTCAATTCTTTCCGCCGTCAAAATTTGCCCATGTCTCAGCACAGGCTTCTTAACCGCCTTACCATCGACTTTCAACCCCTTCACATACGGCTTCGTAGGGGCGCCAGGCGCAGAAATCGTAAGCGTATGCTCCTCGCCACCGATCCCACCCGTGGCAGCTCCGGAAGGGAATCGAATGGTGAGTTTCTCGAAAAACGGGGCACCGACGATGTACTCATCCGAAGCAGGGTTGACCGGATAGAAGCCCATTGCCGAGAAAATGTACCACGCGCTCATCTGGCCCAAGTCTTCGTTGCCGGAGAGTCCGGCGGCGGTAGCGTTGTAGTTCTGAGCGGCAATATCGCGGACGAGGGTAGCGGTCATGCCAGGATATCCGATTGCCGAGTACAGGTACGGGGCATGGTGCGAAGGCTCGTTGCTATGATCGTTGTGGCCGCCGCCGAAATATTCGTCGAGTTTGCTTCGCATCTTTGCGCGGCTGCCCATTAGCTTGGCAAGGCCTAGGGGATCGTGCATGACATTGAATGTGTAGATCCAGTCATCACCTTCAGCCCAGCCTTGTTCGCTGCCTGCCCACGTGCCGTTGTCATTCTTCGCTTCCATGAACCCGGTCTCGGAATTGTAGATGTTACGGTAATTCATGCTTCGCTTGTGCAGCTCTGCAGCGGTCTTCTCATCACCAGCATGCTGCGCGACGATCGCAGCCGCGTGGTCATCGAACGCATAGTCGAGAGTCCTGCTAGCACTTTCACTCCACCTATCATTTGCGACATAGCCTTTGCTCAGGTACGTCGTCAGTCCTGCTCGTACCTCGTCAGGAGTGTATGCTTCTCGATCGTAATAGAGCAGCTCCGTGTCGTTGATGGGCGGCTCATAGGCATTCTTCTTCACGCCCTCCCAAGCCTTCTTGACATCGAAATCTTTGAATCCTCTGGCAAGTGCATTTGCAAGCACTGCATCAACATGCGTTCCGATCATGATGTTTGTCTCTACCACATTGGCCCACATCGGCAACCGGCCAGCCCAATCATAGATCTTGACGAGAGATCGCATCATAGAATTGACACGCTCTGGCGCGAACATGGTGAGTAAGCTGTGTTCCGCGCGAAACGTGTCCCAGATTGACCAGGACTGGTAATACGAATCTGCTTCCGAATGAACACTATCCGTGTACCCGCTATAATACGTCCTTTTGCCCTGGCCTTTCGAAAATGGCTCCGAGAAATCGGAAGGATATTGCAGAGCATGGAAAAGGCCAGTATACCAAATCGTCCGTTGATCATGATCCCCATCAGTCTTATTGACTCCTTCAATCGTCACTCGTCCAAGCTTCTCAAGCCAAGCGTTCTTCAAATCGTCCACAGCTTGTGCGAAAGTCACCCGTGCCGGCGCCTCAATCTCAAGATTCGCTCTAGCCTGCTCGATACTGACGAAAGAAACCCCCGTCCGGACTTCAACATATCTCGTCCCTTTCGCAAATTTGACATAAGCTCCTAGCACATCTCCTTTCCCCTCGACCTTGCCGTCATGTTTTTGCTCTGCATTCGCAACTCCAAACGACTCAAAAGGCTCCGAGAATCGTGAAACAAAATACCCAGAGAATCCATCGGCACGAAGAGGACCTAGAGCGGAATCTTGTCGTTGCGGATTGCTGCCAGAAATTTCTTGACTTTTTTCATCCACAAAGATACTGCCGGTCCAGTTCTTACGAGTAGCTTGAACGAATACGTAAGGCTGGTCTGAGCCTGCATTGCTGAAATCTACCAGTAGCCGTCCAACGTGGGAAGTAGCTGTCATTGCCACTTTAATGAGACCAGGTCCTGGATTCGCATGCGTGTAGGAAGTCGGCGCAACGGGCACATCTCTTCGAATCCTCCCATTCGCGCCAGCTTGCACAACATCTGGAACATCTCCCGCCCCTCCAGGCACAGGCGAAAAAATACTCTCCGTCAAATTCCAATCCCCTTCAACAGCAACCGCCTCCATCTCCACCTCATAAACATGCGGCGTACTAACCTCATCCCTCTTAAAAAACCTCCTCCCCCTCTTCACAAACCCCGTTTCCACCTCTCCAACCCCAGGGCAAATCACAACCTGTCCAGACTCCCCCATCCAAATCGCAGGCTGATGCGTCGCTTGAAAACCATGGATATATCCATCCATCTCATGATACGGACATTGACTGATAAAATTCTTCACGCATTGAAATCAGCAGTCCACCTCATCATCACACAACCTTGCATTACAACTCAATGTATCTTACTTACCTCCCTCGTCTGCGCCACCCACCTCGTCATACCAAAAGGCATCCCAACACTAGGAATCATGCCTCCATTTCCATTCGGCGTAATCCCAAAGGTTCCGATTTTGGGATTTACGAATTTTAAAACTCCAACGTTATCGTGGTATTGATTTCCCGGTACCGCAGCAGTCGTGGCAGAATCAAAGAAATATGAATGTAGAAAATACACGCTTGAGAAGAACATGATGGCGTAAGATGTCAGACGAAGAAGTCTGGTGGAGGAAGAAGACATTGAATGCATTTTCCTTCTTCTTCTTCTTCTATGATTGGAATGGCCTGCTGTGGTGGTAGAGGAAGGCGAAGGATCATCCGTTGCGGGGAGGTGCAGCAGGGTAACATCGTCGTGGCATCCTGCAGAAGTGGCGTGGCACACAGTGCAAAGATGCGACTGTCTGTCGGCGAATGTGTCGCGATGTGGAGGAGATGGAAGAAATGATGATGAAATTTGGAGAGCGATGATGGAGGATTATCGAGGAAGAAGACGTCTACAGGCAAGATTGTAGAATACAGCGCCGGGATGGCCTTGGCATGGCCTGACAGGGTTCCGTCAGCAATACATTCATCTCAGTACATACAGCAGCAGTATACTGCTTTTAGAACAGCCCGTCCTCTATCTGTTTCAAATCTAAACATCTACAAGCACCACCGTCACAAAGCTGAACCATATTTCTCTCAGGCGGGAGGTCTTTCAGCAGCGCATTACGGTTTCTCAGCCACTCGCTGTTCGATCCGCCTCCAATACGGAGGATGGTGTAGTTGGGTCGCACGGTCTCGCGAGCCTTCTTCAAAGCTGCTTCCGCCGCATCGCCCTCGCCAACGATCATGAGGCCTTTCATTCCCAGCTTTGATGCCACAACGCTCGACAGCATGCCGCTAAACAAGCCAGGATGCTGCTCGATTTCGACTTCGAAGCACGCCACGACTCGTCGACCCATCTTCTCGTATTCCGCGTCATTGAGCAAAGACCCCAAGCGGAACAAGTTCGCAGCACTAACCCCGTTGACGCTTGGCTCGGCATTATCCATTGCATCTTTGGTCCGGATGAGAATGTCAGGTTGATCGGCTGGTGTCGAGAAGAAGCCATACTTCAAATCATCCCAGAACAGCTTGTTTTGGGTCTTCTGTAGAGTTTCGGCGAACTCAAGCCACCGGCTGTCGAACGTGGCCTCATAGAGATCAAGCAATCCGGAAACGAAGAAGGCGTAATCGTCAGCGAATCCTTGAGTTTCTCCGGGCCCTTCGCGATACACTCTCTTGAGAGTGCCGGTTGCCGGATCGAATAAATGCTCTTGTATGCACGTGACCGCTCTGACCGCGCTGGACAAATAACGCGTTGCCTGAGCCGGCGCACTTGATTGCAAGACAGCACTCGTACGCGCAAGACCACCAATAGCTAACCCGTTCCAAGATGTCACGATTTTGTCGTCCAGTGCAGGCCTGGGCCGAGTCTTTTCCCGATGCGCAAGCAGTTTCTGTCTACCATCCAGAATCATTTGTTTCACTTCATCCTCGGGCAGTCCAAGCTCCTTGGCTAGATCCGGAATGTCGTATTGTACGCACAGTGTATTCTGCCCCGCGAGCTCGCCTTGCGCATCAGATCGCTGATCGATGTTGCCCTCAGGACGGACATTCCAGTACTTGGCGCAAATATCGACTTGAGCATCACCCAGCACCTGTTTGAACTCGTCAAAGGTCCAGACATAGTACGCGCCTTCGCGCTTTTCTTTATCGGAGACGGTAGGTGAAGAGTCTGCATCCTCGGCGGAACAAATGCCCCCGAGCGGAGACTGCATTGGGGGGCTCGTCAAATAGGTGGCGATGTCAATGGCAGTTTCCAGGAACAAGGGCGATTTTGTCAATAGATAAGCGTCCAGATACACAGGTAGCAACTGAGCATTATCGTAAAGCATTTTCTCGAAATGCGGCAGGCTCCAGTCCCGTGTGACCGAGTATCTCGCGAATCCGTGGCCAATCTGATCTTTGATACCGCCCTTCGCCATCGCCGCAAGGGTATTCACGGCCATTGCGCGCGCCTCTACGCACTCCTTTTCCCCAACAATCTCGCGCACCACACTTGGATAGGCTGCAACTCTGAGCAGAGGACGAATATGCACCGGAGTCGGGAATTTAGGCGCTCCTCCAAAGCCATGGTGCTTGGGATCGTAACGCATCTTGTAGTGCTGGAAGGCATCATCGAGCAAATCCAGCTCCAGTTCGTCTTCATCGTCTGTGCGACCGTTCTTACCGCCAATGCTGCCTTCTTGCGCAAATTCGCGAAGCTGTCTGGTGATCTCTTTACCACTCTGTCTTACTCTAGCTTCTTGCTCTTTCCAAGTTGTTGCGATCTTGATCAAAATATCCTCAAAGCCTCCCGCTGCCTGCAATCTCTCGCTCTTAGGACCAGGCCAGTATGTGCCTCCAAATACGGGTTCGAGATCGGGAGTGACAAAAACATTCATAGGCCAACCGCCGCCGCCATTGGTAGCCTGGAGAAAGTCCATGTACTGCCTGTCAATGTCCGGACGCTCTTCACGATCAATTTTCACAGGGATGAAATTTTCGTTCAGCAATCGTGAAATACGCGGGTCGTCGAAGCTCTCATGGGCCATGACATGACACCAATGGCATGCGGAATATCCGATAGAGACGAAGAGCAGTCGGTTGGTCTTTCGCGCCAGCTCGAGCGTTTCTGGATTCCACAGTTGCCATGCAGTGGGATTGTCCTTGTGGCTCCTCACATACGGGCTCTTGCTCTCGCCGCAGCGGTTTGTGAGCGAGAGCGCCCTGTCGAGAGCGGGCGGACTGGCCATCGTGGAATATGCGGGTTGATGTCTGGGTGCTATCGAGAAGCGATTTGTGCGACTGGCATAGTTCGACTTCGCAAAGAGCAAGGACCTAGGAAGCGCAAGACCTCTGCTCCCGAGTGTTCGGCGCAATGCAAAGAGCATCCACCAAGATCATTCAGTTATGTAAAAAGAGATGGCTTGACCTACCATCTGTCGCGTGGAAGCGTGAAGAAAATCTCTGCCTCAACGCCGAAGCTGCAGCATTTTCGCTCGCCATTCTGTAGCTTTCCGTAACTCGAGACCGAAAGAATGTGCTTGACGGCTCGCGTGAGGGGGCGCATGACAAGATAACCTTAAAGCGACTGCGCTCCTCATCAGGCTCAACCTGCTTTGTTGACGTGATCTTGTCGTCTGCGAAGACTGAACGATGTTGTTCGTATGGGGGCCATGGAGCGGACTCGCTCTTCTATTGGTTCTTGAGGCAGGGTAGTCCACTGGCCACGGTACCTCATCTCATAGAACCGTAAATTAAATGACCATCACAAGGCTTCAAGGCTTTAATCAAAAGATACGAGCCTCTAGCACGCTACAAACGAGGCCGTCGAATGCATAGGTTGATATACTTACATCTCGCAAGCACAGTGAAGGTAAAGTCTTGGACGCGCGGCGCCATCAGACGCAATCGTGAACCATTTATTTCATTTGGGAGCGTGACTGTCATTGATCGAATCGAAGCTTTGGGAGTGCCACAAACCATCCCTCCCCTACACTGAAAGAGGAAACTATGCACAAAGAAGCAGAGGGGTAATAAAGCCAATGAGCCATCAGGCCTCTCGTCTCATCTCGGTCTCTGTCCAGCAGATGCAGCGAGCTATCCCGGAAGATATGCAAGAGCGCTCTGTCGGGTATGACAGACAGAGAACAGTGGTTAGGAAGGCAAGATGTGCTCTGGGCGCCTCAACGAGTGTAAATGCCGGATTCCGCACTCAAATCAAACGCCACCGATGCACGCATTTCCTGGAAGACCATCGCTCTCGGTCGCGTCGTAAGTTCTGCAAGGGTCCCATGCGGACTGTAGAATGGAGATGCTGTCAAATGCGAGAAATCTATGACGAGCCGCCGTAGTTCCACTGAACAGAAGGCATGCCCTTTGGCTTTGGCACGTTCGTAGCATACTCGCCGGCGTAGTTGCCTGTGAGAAGTCAGTATTCAATCACGGTAGTTCATCTGAGATGGGGAGTTCTTACCTGGGCTCTTGTAGTTGCAGACGGTGAAGTATGGAGAGACGCCGCTTCCGGTGTTGGCAAGACCGTTGGGGCAGTGGTGAGTGGCGCAGGCAACGTGTGTAGTACCCTTCCAAACGATCTGAGAGAAGTGACCCCACTTTTCGAAATCGGTCATGTCTGGATTGTCCTTGCCGTACTGGCTGGCGAAGTATGGCTCTTCACCGTTGTAGAAAAGGTCGGTAATGATAGCGGAAACATTGGCTGGCTCAACGCCAGCAGCAATGTTCTGACCGTAGCCACCGCCGTTGACCTGGGTGTTATGGGCGTAGACGCAGCTCTGGGCAATTAGCAGAGCGGTGTTGTACAGGTCGTCCGACCACTGGACGTCTGGGCAGGAGTGGTTGGCACGGTGCAGGTTGTGGTGGTAGACAACCAGGCCGTTGTAATCGGTTGGGGCAGCACCAGTGCCAGCGTTTGTGGCAGGTGAAGACGGCTGGGAGGATGGGGCACCGTAAGTTGGAGGAGCCTGTTGAGTTGGTGTAGTCGAGGTTGATGGCTGAGGTGTCGGGGTGGGTTCCGGTTGCTGCTGAACAGTCGTGTATGCAACCGATGGGTGCCAGTTGTTGTGGTGGCCGTAATGCTGAGGAGCTGGTGCAGAAGAAGACGAAGACGAAGACGAAGGGGTCGGCTCGGCTGGAGGGGCGTAGCCAGCGAAGACGGTGACAATGTCCGTCACATAGACGACGTCGTAGGCAGTTTGGACGACTGCACGCTTCTCGTTGTTGAATGGGACGGCGAGCGCACCAGCGGCGAAGGCGGCGAGGGCAATTGAGGATCGCATCTTCCAAACGAGTGATGATTGATGACGGGTTGGTGTGGTGTGGAAGTTTGTTGCTTTGTTCGGGGATCGCAGATCCGTGAGACCGTTGGTTTAATGACTGTCGCAAGGTGAATGTTAGCCGCTGTCTTGCCTGCAGACAAAGCTGTCACAAATGAGGGTGATGGTAGTGGTGAAGGAATGTGGTGGAGTGTAGTGCAGTGTGATGCCAGCGTCAGTGCCTGTACTTATGTAGGTAGCGCTGACGGTGCAATGCGACGCTGACTGCCAAGTGAGGGAGGCGGCGGCAATGAGGGCGCCTGTGAAGGTGTTGTCGTCTGATTGCTTGCAGAGACTCACCTGACGATGCTCCTCGCAGAGGGCTGGGCTGGGCGGGTGGAGGGTGCAGTGGTGTGCGACTGCGTGGCGCGTGTTGATATTCTCAGAAAGAACGTGGTGCAGAGACTGGCTGCTGTCGGTGGTGACGGTGTTGTGAGTCGGGGAGAAGTCGCTGAAGAGACGGACGAGGATGGTGGTGGTGGTTTTGATTAGATGCGCAGGGTTGCGTGAGGAAGGAGCCGAACTAAAAGCAGGGGCGGCTGCCCGAAACAGCCGTTGGCGCGCTTGCTCGCACTTGTCACTTGTGACGGTTAGCTTGCTTGGTCTTTGTCGGATTGGCCAGAGGCGTGAAATATGGCTCGGGAGCAGAGAACGGCGGTGTTTGTTCACTTTGTTGCAGCACTTTGTAGTCTATAAATGTCATTGTACGTTGTGAAAGCGGGCATTGCTGCAGATTCGCCTGCCCAGACAATCACTGGAATGCGTGCGCTGACGCCATGTCTTGACTCTTGACATTCGACCTCTTTCTGCGTCGAAACGTTTGTGCGATTACGAGATGCTGTATTCATATGATAGTTCTATACTGCGCTGGCGGTTTCATGGCGCTTCTGGCTTCCGGGTACCTTGCATACCCCCCGCATCGACCAGTAACCGATGAGCGCCACGTAGTAGCGTCACCGTCACTGTCAATCAGGGGTGATGTGATCAGCAGTAGGCCAATCATCCAAGCCGATGAGCCGATGCGCGCGAGCCGATTCTTCGCGCGCATCATCAGAAACGCTGCCACACATTTCTCACACCTGCACCTGCCACAGCCTGCAAGCGGGCAATAATTAGTCGTATCTCGGTATGCCTCCCTCGCCAACCTCATCACGCGGGAAACAGGAAGAGAAATCCGAACGAAAAAGAAGCACGCAACTACCCACAGCGAAGATTGCGTGGGGATGTTTTGTGTCGCAGTCATCCCAGGCGACGATCGCCGCTGAATCACACGTGCGCCGTGTGATCCGTACCAGTGCTCCTGATGAGCTGCTTCGACGTTCCTTCGTGAATAATAATAATAAGAATCAGGGCGAGTCGTCCCGGCGCTAACGTTAAGATAGTTCTACCCTTATACCACGCGACCTGAGAATGGCGTTTCCACGGCGCCTGTTCCGATCGTGGCCATGACGGAAGACAGCGGGGACGAAAAGTCTTCTGCATCTAGGCCTGACGTCGTGTCTCATCAAGGGGAACCCAACAATTTCTGCATGCTGCCGCAAGTCGCACGTCGTTTCACCATTGTGAAGTCCTACTGCTTGTCACACTCAGCGCCGGGCTTGACACGAGTGCGAACGAGGTCTGGGAGGTTCAGCTAAGTAATGCATACTCAATTCTGATTAAGAGCACATCGGAAGCACAACGCGACAGCGCTTCTCTTGTTGACAGCCTGCGACCACAATCACGAACTTCCGAGAGGGTTGTGCGCAGTGCCACCCACCAGAGAAACGGAATCGTGCATTGCAGATGACTTTCTCCGCAAGGAGGCACACGTGTTCGCAGTCCAGACTACTATCACGGTGCATCGAAACAGATCACATCCGTGGGCCAACCACAAGAGGAAATGCATGTTTCGCCACGGACCAGATTTGCTCGCCTCGCCTCGCCTCACCAATATCACCTCAGAGCTCATGCTGTCTTCGCCAGTGGCAGACCAAAGAACACCCTTCTGGGCCATCGCACGAAAATATTGATTTCTGACGTGAATGCAGCGAGACCGTCTCCACCTTGCTGCCATGCGACCGTCGCCAACGCACCCCATCCTCAAGCATGCCTGCGCTGGGAATTGCGGAGGTGCATGCTGTACAGTATGCAGCCATCCTCAGAAACACGCTACATGTGCGACAAAACTTGCACCACCGCTCGAACAACAACCGTATATTCTAGACAACACCGAGGTCTACATACAGCATCCAACTGACGATTTTGCCTAGCCGCCTACTACTACCAACTAGCAACTGTCTAACTTCAATCATCATCAATAATACCCTTCTCATCAACGTGAAGATCTTAGCAACCGCAAAGCAGAGAATCTTAACAACCATCGTCCGTTGACCATAGTTCGGCACTTGTCAACGCTCTGATAGTTCTAAGGTATTGCCAAAAATTTCGTATCATTATGCCGCGGCGTATATAGGAAGCCAAGCCTAGATAGAATAGTGATCTATCCGTAGTTCTTCTACCCGAAGAAGGTGATCGATAGCTCATTTCTTTCTTTTTTTTTCTCGCCAAAAACATGTCTTACTCTTATGATGATCGTGAGTAGATGAGGAAGTCTTGTCTGTGCTCGCCATGCAGAACGGTTAAAGAAAAAAATCCTTCCCAACTTCTCCACGCATCATTCGTGATTCAAACATGTCTCGGATGCTCCAGCAACGCCTTCCAACGCTAGGAGAAAGAAGGAATTTCTACAGTAGTAGTAGTTCAGAAACGAAGAAAAGAGAAACGGAAGTTCCAAGTTTCAGACGTTCCCTTCGCTCTCGCGCGCTTTTGATTGGAGAGGCTTTTCATGTACTATCTAGAAAAACCTCCACCGGTTCACAACCGCGAAAACGAATTCAGCCCTTCATCATCACTGGTATCATCATCACCGTTCCATCACATTCACACTACCTACGCTACCCCTTGAATTCCCTCGGCGCCAAGCCAAAACACGAAATGCCACATGTTCTCCATGTTTCAGCTCCCGCTTTCCACATGGCCCCCAGCATTATTCAGCCTTCACCCCTGCATGACGCTCTGCAGCGCCGCTTTGCCTTGGTCATCGAGTTTCTCGTTCACGAAGCGCCCAATGCGTCCCGAATGCCTCTGATCAGCTTCTCGCAGAGTCGTTCCGACCCAGGCTTTCACATCTTGGACCTCTGGCCAAGGGTCCTGGGTAGGACGCTTGCAGGTGTTTAATTGGGTGAAAGCTGCTCCAAAGCCGAGCTCGTCGACGTCGCGGTCTTCGATGACGTTGTCGTCGGCTGCAGGTGGGAGTGGTGGGTTGATGAGGAGTTTGAGAAGTGCTTCGCAAGTGATAGTCCAGCCGCGTTTGGCGTATCGATCCGCGAACGCTTGCGAGTCGGCTAGTGTGCGAGTGAGAGATATGCATGCAGTCTTGCGATCGTATGGTCGGGCCAGCTTTTGTGTATCTGGAAGGATGATTGAGGTGTAGACGGGCGTGAAGACGTTGTCTTGCACCTTGTCCGATACGGCGATGAAGAAGTCAGCACCGAGTCCCTTGTCTTGAAGAGCCGATACTAAGTGGTAAAAGCGCACGAAGCGCAGAGTGAAGTGCTCGTTCTTGGAGTTCTGAAGGCGATAGAACATGAGCTTGAGTATCTCGACCCAGTAACTCTCCAGCGCCGTCGACGAGAAGTTCTTCACGACTTCTTCGATGAGATCCATGGCATGACCTTCGTAAGCTTTACTGCCGACGAGCTTTTGGAAGATGATGAGAATGGCTTGTGTCTGGTTTGCAGCAGCCATTTGCTCGGCTCCTTTGGGTATCATAGTGGTAAGGAGGCGTGTCAAAGCTGGCACATTGCCTTTGCTTTCCCACATACTTGGAGTGAGCACAGGTGCAACGAGCTGCTGGAAGTTGTTGGAGAGTGTTGGTGAAGTATTGGTCGCAACGATTTGTGCATACAGCTGGAAGATGTATGGTGTGAACTCTTCGACTGAGCCTTGCAAGACTTCCATAAAGACTGGGAACAGACTCTGCTCAATCTTGTCTGGTTGCACTGGTCCACCGAACCGAATCGTTGCACCAATACTTTCGAAGTGGTAATAGCAGAATCCTGGATTTGAAGGGTTGTGTCGAATGACCTTGGTGATGTTGACCAGATTTAAGAGTATGAGGTCGAGAATTTGGTTCAGACCGTCTCGAATGACGATGAGCACTCTCATGACACACTTCATCAAGAATTCATTCTCTTGTACCTTCTCCGGCTTTGTGTCCTGGGTGATGAGTTTGAACAGATGTGTGAGCAGGTCCTTGGACAGCGGAAGAATGCGGTCTTGTGGGATAATTGGCTGCTTCTGGTCGTTGGTTAGGTATAGTGCTCGATCCACGGCAACGGCTGCGTATGTGTAGACGACGTAGTTGGATGAGTTGAGGTGCTGGACTAGCAGAGGAAATGCTGCTTGCCACTGCTGGGCCGAAAGAATGCTTCGGAAAATGTACAGGTACTTGATAGCATCCACCTTGAGTAGAGGTTCGGCATTCGCATTCGTCAGGTCCTCGGCGATATTTGTTTGGAAGAAGTCGATCACGTTGACATGCGGGTTGACGCTCAGCACACCCTTCGCAGCTGTGGCGGCCCCTTTCGCAGCAATGGAGGAGAACAAGTGCACTGCGGTGTCTTTGGACTTCCAATTCGCGCTCCTATCCTTGGCATATTCGGACAGGAAGTGGTTCACATAGCGCGTGACCACATCGGTCACCAGCTTTTCGAATTGCTCCATGAGTTTGCGCAAGAAGTTGGTGGCAGCTCGCCGTCGAGTGTCTTCATCTGAGCCTTCCAGGTCGCGTCGGATGTACTCGATCGGTTCATCTTCGAATGTCTCGATGTCGGACTCTCGTAAGGACAGATTGGGGATAACGACCTTTTCTGTGACTTGACCTAGAACGTCGGCGTTGTTGAAGTTTTCTGCATGCTCTCGTATGCTTGCAACACTTGTCAAGAATTCCAACGCTCGGCTGACGACCAAATCATACTTTGCTTCGGGGCCGATGTTGGTGAGCAGCGTCCATGACGTGCCAATAAATTGTGTCAGGTGCGGTTTGAACTCCTCGTCGTATTTCCTCGTGTACAACACCAAGACCTTGAACACGCCAGCTCTTACATGCTCTAATGGACCTGCTTCGGCATCATCATCCGTGTTCAGCGCAGCGTTTTCGTAGGTGAGGTATTTGTGCAGAAGTCCAGATATGGCACCGAGCGACTCTTCGAATTGCGGGGGCATGTCGTGGGTGGAGAGATCGTAGACGAGCTTCATGATCAGGTCGAGCGTGGCATAGTGTGCCTTGAGCACTTCTGGGTTGCTCTGGTTCTGAGTGATCTGGCTGTCGGTGTGTTGCCATAGCTGCAGGAAGGGAGCGGCGAATTTGGAGAGGACGTGGTTGATCTCGGTGTAAAGCTCGTCTGATCGATAGAGAGGTTCCCATCGCTTGAAGATGGAGTGTGCGACTTGAAGTACGCCATTATTCACAGTGGCATTGTCTGGAGTCAGTCGCGAGACCAAATCGTCCACGAGGGTGTCCCATCGTTCCCAGAAATCGCTGTCTGCAATGACGCTGATAGCATCACCGAGCTGCGCCTGGATAGTGGGTGGGACTCTGACCATGAGCCCAATCAATTCGCTCTTGATAGTCGTGACTTCGCTGTCTGGTAGCTTGTGGCGGCCATCTTCGTCCTGCTTGCCACATCAGCCGTGTCCTCCACCAGAAGTTTGTTCGTCTGTTGACGTGCCACCCAATTTCGCCGCACAAAGTTCTTGAAGAATAATGCGCTCGCGAGTCTCGTCTGTTGAGGGAAAGTGTCGGCGGCGACTATCTGTAGAAGAGCGAGCGAGAACCCTGGTTTCGTCTCTTCGGCCTTGAGCGACTGTTCGGCTGGTCGTCAGTTAGCAGCTTAACATTTCTATTTGAGCAACGGCTTGGTCCTTCTCACCTTGCCGATTCTGTCGAGGATCTAGAGATGCCGAGAGTAAGTCGGCGACAGACTGAAGACTGACCGACATGGCGAGTGTCAGCGCAGTGGCGGAGGGCGTAGGGAAAGAGTGAGAAAGAGTGAATTGTCTCTGTTTGTGGTTGCTTAGAGAAACACAGACAGAGCTTGGACCTGCACGATGGGGGTCAAGCTTTCGTTTCGGCCCGCACACGCGATGCTAATGCGATCGAGGAAAGGATCCCTGGACGTGGAGTCGACCTGGCGCGTTCACATAACGAAGTAACGAAGTCATCCTATTCCTTCACTTTCCCCAGACGTCGAGAGAAAGCCTCATTCACGGCCTGCAAGCCTGAATATCTTCCAGGCATCCGTTCCTTTGACCACTCGAAGCTTCTTGCAGAGGCGCAGTTGGAACTCACGAAAGAAAGGCCAGCAGGCAGCTCAGCCTTCGCCTTCGCGTCCGCCACCTACCTACTAGTAGCTTCTCCCTCATCGAGAATCACCTACGTTAGAGTCCACATCGATCGCCACATCTAGCAACCGCGTGCTACGCAAACATATCAACTTGCTCACGATGAGCTGATCTATCCTCCCCTCGCACGACGAACATCCTAAGTCATGGCGGCTTCCACGAATCTTTCGGCGCTGCGAGCGCAGACGATGCAGGGGGAAGACGAGGAGGCCGTGACAGTGAACACGCGAGCCTTGATCGATAAAGTGCTCGCTCGGTATTCGGGAGAATGGACAACATTGCGTGAACTGATCCAAAATGCTGCCGATGCTCAAGCGCGGAAAGTCAGGATCCAGTTCGAGACACTCCCTTCTGCGACAGTGCCCCTACCGCAGAGTAATGATTCGTCTGAGCTGCTCAAGCACACTCTACTACATCACACGGTCAAGACCTTAATCGTGTCGAACGATGGCGAGCACTTCAAGGAGACCGACTGGCAGCGCTTGAAGCGCATCGCAGAAGGCAATCCAGATGAGACCAAGATCGGTGCTTTTGGTGTAGGCTTCTACTCCGTATTTGCCGATTGTGAATCTCCATTCGTGACATCCGGCAAGGAGACTATGGCCTTTTATTGGAAGAAAGATAGCCTGTTCACACGACGAGGAAAGCTGCCGGACAGCGAAATACAAGGTACTACCTTTCTGCTGGACTACCGGAGTCAGACTACGCCTGTGCCACAGCTACTTAGCTTATGCCAGTTTCTAGCGACCAGTCTCACCTTTGTCGGGCTCGAGTCAATCGAACTGCATCTGGATCAGTGGAACATCCTTACACTTACCAAGAAGATGGCCCCTGCAGCAGCTGTGAAGATTCCAAGCGACGTCAATCCGAAAACGAAAGACGGTCTGATGAAAATCAGCGACGTCGAGTACCAAAGTGCACAAATAGATGCTAGGTGGATGAATGTGGTTGGGTGGAATCGTAAGACGACATCTGCAAGCCTCTCGTCACAGCAGCAACAGCAGAATGAATCTGGCGGTTCCAGCTTAAGAAGCTTCTTCGGCAGGTTCACGAGTGCAGCTACAAACACAACTGTGCGCAAGGCACAACGAGAGGAGGAGGTCTTCCAGCAGACCATTCTAGACGATTTGGCAGGCTCTAGCTCTGCGACTGTATTCCTGCGAGTGAGCACTGTCAACATCTTGACTACTGTCAGCAGGCAATTGTCACAGGAACTGGAGCGAGCTACCAAGAAGCCGCCACCAAAGAAGACCCGCATTTCAATCCTGACATCTTCCTACGATGAATCTACAGCTTCAATGAGCACCTCTGCGGGCAGCTCTTCCAAGAGAGCGACGGATATCTTTGCGTCTGTATTGCCTTCGAAGAGTGGCAAGATCTTCATAGGCTTCCCGACAGCTCAGACGACTGGTCTTCTTGCGCACATTTCCGCTCCAAGTGTCATCCCAACAGTCGAGCGTGAAAGTATAGACTTGAATGCACGATATGTCCGAGACTGGAACATCGAAATGCTGCGCGTAGCTGGTATTGCCTGCCGCATAGCTTACACGGGCGACATGGCCGAGCTCAAGGCAAGAATCGATCGCACCAGAACTGCGGATGGACGCAAGAAGGTCACTATGGAAGACATCACATCAGCCATGCCAGCTGCTGCACATGTGTATCGACAGTACAATTATGCAGAGTCGACGCCATCCTCCAAAGTCGGTCAGTACATTGAAGAAGCCTTCTGGACCTGCAACACACAAGCCAGCATAGATGTTTTGTCGACAAGAGGAGTTCTGCCAAGCCAACAAGTACGTATTGCTACTGAGGAACTCAGCTTTGTGGACGGCATCCCTGTGGTGCCCGACGAATTAATGGAGAAAGGTCACGAATTCATCAGCAAGCTTCGGGACTATGGCCTGCTTTCCGATATCACAACAAGTGACATCAAGAAGGAGCTGGAGGCACAGGCACTTACCGAGAAGCAAGTCCAGGAGCTCGTGAAATGGTCATGTACAAAGGTATCCCGACAAGAGATGGACGCTGGTGCCGTTCAGCTTCTATTTGACGGCACAGTCGCCAGCATCGATGAGCAATTCGTCGGCACGTCCTCAAGTCCAGTGCTGCAACTTGGTCAAATCAGCAATTTTGTCAACGCCGCAAAGATACCATCTGATATGCCTACGCCGCCACAGACGATTCCATTCAGACTTACCAAAGGTCTGTCGCCTTCACAGCTCGAGTCGATCGGCTGGGATGAACTGCAGATCGTTCCATGGGTGCGATGGATCATTGAGAGCGACGGCCAAGGCTTCGGACAGGGGATTAGCTTGACGAATTCGCCTACTGTCGCGTCGCAAGTGCTCCCGGTGGTCTCGAAATCTTGGGAAGCGCTATCGCAGTCATCTAAACAATCTATACAAGAGCTTTTCATCCCCCGCACCGTCATCCCAACGAAGCTTGGCATGCGAAGGCCACCGCAGGCATACTTTGGAAACGTCAAGCTATTTGACGACTTGCCGACCATCACTGGCCTTCAAGGAGTCAAGGAGAAATTCTTGGGCTCGCTAGGTGTGCGAAAGACCGTTGAGCTGAATGTCGTCTTTGACAGGCTCATGGCCAAGTCCGCTCTTGGTTCCACTACCGAGGAAGGCAAATGGAGCCATGTCGACCTTATCAAATATCTGCTCAGCGTCAAGGACGATATACCACCTGAGGATATCAAGCGTCTACAACAAACACCAATCTGCCCTGCCGAGACACTGTCAGCCGACCAAGTCGACAAAGGCAAGTTGTACCGCGTTTCAGATCTGCTTGAGCCCAATGAGGCCATCAGAAAGCTTGGACTTCCTATTCTGCAGTGGCCAGGCCAGTATCGTGCCAATGGCCCTGAAGGCAGATTCTTGCGATTGCTGGGGTTGAAGCCGTTCCCTTCGGTCCCAGACCTTGTCGGCATCCTGGCACAGGCTCCAGCGGGGGGCGCGCTTCAGGAGAGCACTATCAACTACTGGATTGTTCACGAGTACCAGCATGGGTACAACAAGTATCCAGTAGCAGAGATAGACGTCGCATTCCTGCCCGTCCAGCCTTTTGCAGGCGAGGGATCCAATCTTGTTGCCAAGCCCAAGCAGTGTTATGCCAATCCGAAATGTGCTATCCTACGATTTCGCACTTTGAAAGACTACCTGCAAGCACATCACACAACGTTTGGAGTCGCTCTGGATCCGCCAATGGAAGCATGCGTCGAACGCTTGATCAAAGGACCACCAACGAACTTTGAATCAGCCCAAACACTGTTTGGCTACTTCGCCAACCGACTTGGTGAGATAGGACCCAATGGACACTTGGCTGAACGACTAGGCAACGCACCAATAGTGCCGGTCGTTGATCGGAAGCTTGGAGAGAAAGCCGGTCAAGCTCGCTTTGTACCGCCACGCGCAGTATTCCTCGGCCAGAGTGATACGTATGGCGACATTTTCGACTTTGTCAACTTTGGCCCTGAAGCCAACTCGTTCCTCCTGCGTATCGGCGCGAAGCATGAGCCTAGCGCATCTGAGCTTGCAGCTATGCTTGTCCAGCAGCCGGCTCGCCTGCTGGAGACTCTGGGCGCTGAAAAATACCTCATGCTGCTGCGAAAGATTGCGGAGAGTGCTGCCAATCTGAAGAAAGATAAGACACTTTGGAGCCGGCTCAAGAATTCTCCTTGCTTGCTTGCTGTGAAGCGCGTTCGAGCTGGTGAGAAGTATGTTGACGAGAAGCGAGAGCACGATGATGAAGAGGTGACGATTGATGAGTACTCCCTTGCCAGAGCATCAGACATGATTGTCATTGACGACATCGTTCTTTATCGACTTTTCCAAGCCCACCTGCTTGCAGCGCCCGAGGAAGAAGGTCTCGAAAGCTTGTATCAATCACTTGAAACGCCACGGGTGAGCCAGTTGGTCGATAATGATCAGCGAATGGGGTCGCTTCTACGTGACCAGTCCGCTGCTGGCACTTTGAAGAAATTGCTCGTAGAGCGCTGCCGGCTGTTCCTTGACGATCATCGCGCAGACGACATTAGGCATGATGCCACGTGGTTGGAGAAGAACGTTTCCATTCAGGTTGTTGAGTTCCTCCAGATTACGAGAAGACTGAAAGGGTACCGTTTGCACTACACAGAAAAGAAGACCGCTCTACTGCACAGAGAAAGTAAGCGCGATGCCATCCTCTATGTGACTGCTCGATACGATCTTTACGAGGTCAGCCGAGCCATAATGGGCTTGCTTTTGAAGAGGTCCAAGCAGCAGGACTTCCTAGCACTCGAAATGATACTGGAGAGCGACCTTCGTAGACTGAAGACGAAAGGATACAACGTCGACCGGATCTTGCGCCAAAAGGCAGCGGAGTCACGCATCGCAGAGTCAGAGAGACAGAAGCGCGTGGAAGAACAGAGGAGGCTTGCAGAAGCCGAAGCAGCCTCGATGGCACAACAAGCTCCCGCTGCAAGGGCCACCACAGCACCGCCGTTAGATCCCACTCCGGCCTCTCCAGAAAGGGCGCTGTCGATGCCAGGTGCCTTCGATTCGCCGGAACAGAGACCCAGCTCATCAGGTCGCGGCAAGAAGTCGACTGGCTTGTTTGACAGCATCCGAAATCAGCTCGGCTTGACTACTAGCTCACAAGCAAGCAATCAAATGCAGCATCTCCTGGCTGGCGGTCGGCCCTCGATCGATGCGCCCCCACCATACCAGGCTAACGATGCAGTTGGCGGCCGCAGCAGCATCACTCCTGGCACTGAACGCGTGACGTCCTCACGCGACACACAGGCCAATCTCGACTCAGCCATCAAGGCTTGCCGCGAGTACAATTCTTCGTCGGTTTTTAGCCTGCCAGAAACCAAGGAGATCAAGGAGACGCCTTCATACTGCGACAGCAAGCCTGGCCACGATCTGGAATACATTGCAGAGCTCAGCAATGGTGTCAAGCTATACCTGTCGCGCAATCACCCAGACCCGAATGCGTTCTTGCAGAAGTGTCGCGAGGCACTCGCCATGTTTGTCTTCACGCTTTCCGAGGTGGCAAACATTTTCGACTTGCCGCCACAGACGGTGAATGTCTTTCACGATGAGACCGGTGCCAGCATCGCGTTCAACAGCAGCGGATCGATATTCTGCAACTTGCGTTACTTCATGCAGTTGCACATGGGGGGCATGACTACTGCAGAGGGCAAGATCGATGCTCTTGCGTACTGGTGGATCACACTTTGCCACGAACTGGCACACAATCTCGCCCAGGCTCACGACCAACAGCACAGCTATTATACCGAGAGCTTTGCGACGCACTATTTCAAGCGCATGCTGTGGCTTTGCGGGAAAGTCATGACACAAGGTTAGGAATTTGATGGCGAAGACGGCGGCGCAGAGCAGCGCCCTCCCTCGCCTTTCGATACATCGCGCAGGCGGTCGCGCTTCCGGCGGAGGAGCACACTGCGGCGTGTAATGGAGGGAAGCCAGTAATTTAATTTGCATGGCGTAGGAGCTGACATGGTGTTGGCGTTGCTTTGGACGAATTACGATAGGATAGAGGGCTCCACGGCTCAGTCACGAAATGTACTACATGTAGATACCCCTAGAATTGTACATCATTCTGATCGTCCCCGAAGAATGTTGCCTCTCAATATCATCAGTGATTCATGCCTTTCAGCCTGACGTCCACTGTGGCTTCACGATTGTGGACGTGGCGGAGCAAACTTTCCATCTCATCTTTCAACTTCGACGTCGCCTCGCTGCTCCCACCATGTCACTCTATCATGAGGCCGCCGAGATCCTCAATACCGCGAACAAGAGCGGAGGATCGCTGAAGTCTCTGGTGTTCGGCAAGAAGAGCTGGAAGAGCGACCCGAAAGCACTTTTCGCACTCACGGCTGAGACTGCCAAATGGAGCGACATTTTATCCGACGTGCTGGAGAAGAGCGGCGTGCTCAAGGCGGAGAAGACACTGACGCCGACACTGGCCCTTCTGCTCGTCCACGACCTTTTCTTGAGCAAGAAAGGCATCGCCCTGCCGCCATCTCATGGCCTCCATTCAGCCACCAGCCGTCACAAAGTGCGCCTTTCTGCCGAGTTGACGAAAGCAAGACTGCGACGTGGATTCAGCACTCTAGACGGCCTGCGAAAACATGTTGATGCTCAAGCGGCCCGTGGACAGCGGCATGGCAGTGATGGTGGACCTCCTGCTCGCCACCCTCGATGGATGCGGATCAATACTCTGAAGACGACTCTACACGACGAGCTCAACCACGGCACTTTTTCAAACTACACACAAGTCGCAACATTGCAAGAAATCATCCAAGCACATCCCGAACTGCGGGCAGTCCATATCGACAAGCACATCCCAAATCTTCTGGCCGTCGCAAGTCCGGATGATCCGACAACGTTCAAGGCGTACAGGACTGGAAAACTCATCTTGCAGGAGAAGGCTTCCTGCTTTCCGGCATGTCTGCTCGACCCGAGGCCTGGTGACAGCAAAGCCATCGATGCATGTGCGGCACCTGGAAACAAGACCACACATCTGGCTGCCATCTTGGGAGAGAACAGTCGCGTCATTGCATGTGAGAAGGATGCCGAGCGGTCAAAGACGCTGGCCAAAATGGTTCAACTGGCTGGAGCAGATGGTATCGTCGATGTGAAGGCAAAGCAGAACTTCACCACCCTTGATCCGAATTCTGCAGAGTGTGCTGATGTGACTGACCTTCTCCTGGATCCCAGCTGCTCGGGAAGCGGCATTTTTGGAAGAGATGAAGCTTCAATCACAGTCCACTTGCCATCTGCTGCGAATGACGAAGCTGCTCCTAAAGGCAAGAAGCGAAAACGCGGAAGCGAGCGGAAAGCTGAAGCAAACCCCCACGAACAAGATGCCATCGTGGAGGAGACAGTTGACGAGGACCCCGTCGACGCAGCGAAACTCAAAGACCGTCTCCGAAACCTCTCAGCCTTCCAACTCCGTATCGTGCAACACGCAATGTCCTTCCCATCAGCCCGACGCATCACATACTCCACATGCTCCCTGCACGCCGAAGAAAACGAGCACGTCGTCATCAACGCCCTCCTCTCCGACATCGCAGCAGCGCAAGGCTGGAAGGTTTTGAAGCGCGAGCAGCAAGTGGAAGGCATGCGGAAATGGCACAAGAGAGGTTGTGAGGATTTTGTAAAATCCGCGATCGCATCGGAGACGGCTCGGGAGTGTGATGTTGATGTGAAGACTGTGGCGGAAGCTTGTATTCGGTGTGAGAAGGGGGGAGAGGATGGGACGATGGGGTTTTTTGTTGTGGGGTTTGTGAGGAATGGTGAGGGGTGGGAAGATTTCGAGGAGGAGGAGGAGTGGAGTGGTTTTAGTGATGGATGATGAGACATAGACCACCCAATTTGACCATTTTTTTTTCTGGCTGAGCGAGGCTGAATGGTGGCCTACCCGGTATGTTTTGTTTGTGATGGGACACGAGTAAAGGTGATATTTCCTACCCAAGCATACAATAGCTTTCCAAAGTCCGCAGAGCAAAATCCCAGCGTTCTGTACCCCCTAGTGTCCAAGAGAACGAACAAAAGACTCTAGCACCCCACACCTCCAGAACCCACTACTGCTTCATCTTCACCCTCTGAACAACACACTCAAACCCAACTTCCCCAGCAGACCGAGCAGGTTTCGAACTCTGAAATAAAATCTTTCTCCCCAGTTCCCCTTCCCCCTCCTCCTCCTTCACTTCCTCAAACACCGGCTCCCCGGGAATCATCCAACACTCCCTCCCCAACACCTCCAACCTCTTCCTCAACCTTTCCAAATCATTCCTCAACACACTCTCCTCATACCTCTCCCTCTCCCGCACCCACTCCTCGGAAATCAAATCCCCCATTGTCGCCTGACTCGCCTCCAACCCCGATTTCGTCGCTTCCTCTCTCCCCTCCCGATAACGTCTCAGATGGATATGTACGCAAGCCGCACACACGAATTTCTGCGTCGTGATTTTTCGGAGGGCGAATCTTGAAAGTTCGGCTTTGAAGTCTCGCGCACAGTTTTTCCCGCAGGGGGTTGGGGTGTGCGTGAGGATTTTGTGGCCGCAGGGTTGGAGGCGGTGGGTTAGGGCGCCTTGGATGCAGGGTTCGGCTACTTGGACGCTGATGAAGGGAGATGGAGTGGGGGGAGGGGAGTTTGGGGTTTGGAGTTGCTTTGGTGGTGCATTCGGTGTCTTTGGCTGCGAATTCGGGATTGGAGGAAACTTGTTGATAGGTGTGGAAACCGCGGCTTGACTGTGCCTGTGATTCTTATTCTGAATGGCAGGGGACTTGCTCTTACTCATGGAGCTGGGCTTTGGTTTGGAGCTTTTGGTGGGAGGCTGTAATCTGATAGCAGGGCTCTGCGAGAGGCGGCTGTCTTTAGATGGCCTGGTCGGATTGGGGGCCATCGAGGCTGGCGTCCTGGACGAAATGGGCAGCGAAGATCTGTTCGGCATCGGCGTTTTCAGAGTAGTACTGGATCGCCTGCTGCCTGCCAAAGAAGCATTGCTCGGGGTTGATCTACCTGAACCACCAGATTTTCGTGGCCCTGGTACGGGGATGCCAGATTTCCTAGACATGGCTTAAGTTTCTTCTCGAAGGTTGACTGATTGTGGCAGAGGCCAGCTCTGCGCGATGACATTAACACTTGCTATGCAAACGAAAATTGAAGTGTGCATACGCATTACACTCGTCGCTCCTTTTGATTGATCTTTGCCGTTCAAACCAAGAATCGGCTTGCCATAACGGCTTTGTCGCGGCTTGGTGACGCCTGTTCCAAAAAAGGTCTCAGACAATGGCGTTTGTTGCAACAAAGCTTCTGCGAATAGACGCGTCGCTCCAAACAGGTTGCGTTGATTTGTGACGAAGAGTATGCAGGCGCGAATTCCCAAACGGATGAGTTCGATGCTTGAAAGCTTGCAGAAGTCGGCGTTGCGATAGTCTGAACAATATTGAATACGAGTGTATACTCTTGCGCTGATCTTGTATACCCCCGGATTTAAGATGCCGTGCCATCCAACGATCATGGCAGTGCTGATAGAAAGAAGAAGCGACTCCCAGCAGGTTGACGGTGGCAGTTACAAGCACGATGGTAGGTTGGCGGAAAGTCCCGTCTTGCGTTTCGAAGGAGGAAGGAGCAGGTTTGTGGCGCAAAAGGTGAGTGAATAGAAAAGTCGATAAAGTCGGTGTTGATCAAGGCGACAGCATCGACGTTTTCGCTGATACGTCATCTCGATCGACTAGCATGTGAAGATGGTCCGAGCGTTGCTGCCTATTGCCGTAGCAACCGCAAAGTGAATGCCCTCCAGCTGCGGCGCGATAATGATCCGACGCGTCCCCATGGCTTCGACATCACCTAGGACGGATGCATACAAATTTGGTACTCTGATACTCCTTCGGAACTCGAAGAATCCTAGTCCTAGAGCTGTTGCGCATCTCTTACTATTGAAGGCGTTATTCCTTCCAGACTCCCGACGCCAGTTGCATCCTTCGAGTCGCAAATATGGCGCTGAGAGCACAAGACACATCTGGGTACGATGGCAAGATCATCAAGCCTGAACCCATGGACGAAGATGTCGAGATGACGGACAGCCTCTCCATACCTGAAGCGCCTTATGAACGAAGGCCTGCTGCGGGCATTGCAGTCGTGCTGGTAAGCAGTAGCTATGGCGGCTTTCTGTACGAAGCTCGTGGTGTATGCACGCCCGTCATCGAAGGCCGAGCAAATCGTCGCCGCAGTCTCCAGGCCTGTCGATGTCGCTGCAGCATACCGGTAGATGCTTCGTAGCCTGCCTGATGATAGCGTATCTTGAAAGAAAAGGCTCAGCTGAGGGATGATGCTAGGGATGAAAAGCAGCGGCTCGGTCCGTCAGGAGAACCTTGTTCGTTTTGGCCAGGTCCTTGCACGCTGATCACGTATCGTACAACTACCCAGCCCATCGACCTTTCTCTGCGAGTAGGATCAACATGCCGACGGAGCACGACCATCATGGCCCAGCGTCGTACTTACCTACCTCTCTGGACTTCATCAACTTGCCAAATCCCATCCAGCCTGCTCCGCAGCTCCAAAGGCATCCCCTAAACGGCACGCCGCATCTTGAGAAAGCACGGCTTGAGAATGGGTCTAATCAAGATCGAGACCTATTCAAGCTGATCTTGCAATCTCCTTCAGAGAGACCTTCGAAGAGACAGAAATCAAGTACCGAAAACCCTCAGCTCGATCTGCCAAAGCTGCCAGCTCGACACAATGCCAAGCGCCATCGCCTTCCCCCGACACTGTCTGGACTGCATCAGCCGCCACCTGACTCCGGACTTCTACCATCCATCAATACTGAGCAACCAGAAATACCCCCGCCAAGGCTGATTGAAAGCAGTAATCAAAAAAAACCCACAGATGAGCCAGCTCTCGCCCCGCCACTTATTGCCACTGCAAGTGAGGAACAGCCATCGTCGCAAAAGTCTAATCCGAAGACCGAGAGAGGACGGACGAAACGCACACGATGGTCCGATGATGAGACGCGATGTCTGCTGAAAGGAGTCGAGCAATTTGGAATTGGCAGCTGGACCAAGATTCTCAACTGTCCAGAATATACTTTCAACAACCGTACAGCCTTGGATCTGAAAGACCGCTTCCGAGTCTGTTGTCCTGATTCGTACAAGCGCACTAAGATGCCGAACTATGCAAAGAATCGCCGATCCGACAGCGAGGCTAGCAATGTGCCCATACGTGGTCCAGCGCAACGCACGACAACTACCGCCGAGGAAACAGGCATCGAAGCCGTTTCGTCTGCCACGCGTGAGAAGTATGGCGTGAGCGAGCCATTCAAAAAGACTGAACGCAGATCCAGAACTGGTTGGAGCAAAGCGGAAGATGAAGCCTTGTTCCGAGGCTTCAAGAAGTATGGCAATGAATGGGCTGCCATGCGAGATGATCCTGGTCTCGGGTTAGGCCATCGGCAGCGAGCAGATCTACGAGGTCGTATGCGCACGCGTTACCCCCGGGAATATGGCAAACCGGGCCTTGGAACGAAGAAAGCTGAAAAATCCGCTGCATCCGGGACGACGCAAGATGAAGCTGCGAATGAAGTCGGCGTCGCAGAAGAATTTCCCACTTTGGTGTCAACGACATTCTCGGAGACAATTCTCAGCAAAACTGTGCCTGCACCTTTGAAAGCAGCAGAAAGCAAACGACCTCCTCAGCCACGCCTTTTCTCCTTGGACGATCTCTATCTCGGTCCATTTGGTATCGACGATGACGATGTAGACAACGAGCGGATCGTGCTCGATCGAGGGATTTTAGACTGGGTACCAAACGACACCTCGCGCCCTTCAATCTCGGCCTCAGTGGCGGATGGAAATCGCAGTCATGGCATTAATCCTCAAATGACTTTGAAATTACCGAAACCTAACCCTATTATCATACCGAGCAGCAGCAGCAGTAGCAATAACAATGCGACTACTACATCTTTACCCGCGCTTGCGACATTGCTGCCACCGGAGACTGTTGATCCTGATCAGCTTGAGCTGCCGCCGCTTTCGCAGTGGTATGATGAAGGCACTAGGACTGCGGGGATGACTTTGGAGGAGATCTTGAGTTAGGAGCAGAGATCATTTTGAGCTCGACATCATGTCCCTTTCGTTGAATCATGTTGTTACATCGTCAATCATCCATGCCTGAGCGCTCCCGACAAACAAAAGAGAGCCACGTTGTCTCACTGCGAAAGCAAAACCTGTGCCGACCCAGTCTGTTTTCCACCATCCCTTCTCATTCTGCTTCACACTTACCACCTCGCGCTCACGGTCTCGCATTTTCAATTTCCTCTTCAGTCAGCCCTCGGCTCAACTGTCCTGGCTTCAGCTTCCGAAGATCGACTTTGCCGTGAGGAGGCACGCGCTTCGGCTCTCGGGCTGAGCGACGTGGGCCTGGAGTGACTGCCTCAATGGCAGGCTGTGTCGAAGCTCGAGGCAGTTCTGCTACTATGCTTGGTGGAGACTCTGGAACTCGCGGGGCCATCGGCTGCGTAGCCGAATGCTCGGGAGCTGGTAGGTTGAGCGTGGCTGATTTTCGCTCAACAGCAGACTTACCACCACGCTCGGCGCGGAGGACTTCTGCGCTGTCGCGACCATTCTCCAGTGCCTCCAGGATCTTGCGAGTACCTGGGCTCTGCAGCGGTAGCTCACGAGACGCACGACGATGAACCTGAGCTGCTACGAGGACGATTTCATCGCTGCTGCGGTGCTGCTCGTAGAGGATGCCGCTTTCGCTTGAGTGGCGTTCGTGACCTGCTTTGAGGTCTTGTTTGGCTTTGCGACGCTTCAGAGAGGCTGGTACAGAATCGGCACGCATAGCGTTGGAGTCAATCGCCTCGGCGTCAAAACTTGCACTGTTTCTTGCGAAGGCGGTGCGTTTGCGGTTCTCTTCCTCTGTCGACTCGTCCGGGAAACGGTTAGGTGAAGTGTTGCCGTTGAGGGTAGGAGATGAAGCGGAGACTGGGCGGACGGACACGCTCTTCGCGCCGCCGCCTGGATAGTTCGCGGCAGCGCCTAGAACCGTGTCTATAAATCCCTGCTGACGATGGACCGTGAGGCGCAGGTCACTTGGGTGTATGTTAGTCCTGACCATTGCAATGAGATATGCATTTCGGTACTCACTTGTGTTGCTCCAACATCGTAACCTGAAGCTCCTTCTGACGTGATACCTCTTCTTGGACATTGTTGTACTCTCTGCTCGATTGTGAGAAACGCTACCAATGCGCAGCGCATGTATCGATAGTGACTTACTCTCCCAGATCTCTCACCATTTCCTCCACCTTCGCTAGCGAGTTGAGAGGCTTCTGGAGAAGAGCTATACTCTTCGACAGCTCAACTTGCTTCGCGTCCAATTCGTTCAACTTCTCGCTATGGGCATTAGCGTCATCGCCCAATTTCTTGAGCTTGAGCGTGACGTCCGACATCTTCTCGTCGAGCTCCTCGCGCAGACTGGAGATTTGGCGGTCCATGGCGTCGAACTTGCCATCGATTAAGGCGATGATCAAGGTGCCGATGCCCGGTTCTGCCATCTCTGAGTGTGTGATTGATGTTGGAGGTAGAGGTGCGAGGTTGAAGTTCAAATGAGGTGCGAGGTGGAACTTGAAATGGGGTGCTTCAAGTCACCGCGCTAGTCTACCGTGCCTTCCTCTTCCTCGCCATTCTGCATGGGAAATGTAACGGCTCTGCAGCGACCGGTCAGGGTCAGCATCACCGCCAAGTGAAGCATAGGCTACTATACACGGCCGAGTAACTGAGCTGCTATGTACACCGTCTCATTGCACCATGCCAGCATCCTCGTAGCCGTATTCATGGAGAGTGGCGCGAATCACGCGTTCTACTGCCTCGAGCTTCGAGGACCCGAGAAGGGCTTCGTGAGAAGTATTTCATAATGTTCCCCATCTTTTTCGTCCTCTCTTCATCTACGTTTCTGATCTCTTGCTTAGACACCATAACAAATATTCACTGCTGAGGAATCGCTCGTCGCGGCATCCTGTCCACTGGCATGATCATCGGGCGACCGTTTCGCATCTGCGCTTTACGGAAGGCTTCTGTCATTATCGGCGAGCTTTCTGTGCGGATCGTGGTACCAATCGACATGAAGAAGCTGCATTCCATCAGCGCAATTCAACATCAAATTCGAACAGCAAAATATCATACCCAAACGTTGCCGCAGAGCCAAGCATGTATTGTCCTAACGTCCTCATCATGCCATTCGGTCCTGGTCCGTATCGGATGATGTTTGTCGCGCCGAAGATGAAGCCAATGATCAGGCCGACACCTGGATATCATTAGAACCTAGTCCATACCAATAGCTTTTCCATGAAACATACTGGTTCCCATCATGGCACCCATCTTTGCTGCGCGACATTAGCGCCCGTTCATGACCATCCCACCGCGAGTCGATGTATCTTGCCTTTGTCAAAGGTCGAAGGACCTGACATCCCACCTGCTCCTGCTACAGGCGGCATCTTGGGAAATGAACTTATGTTCACAATAACAACGACCTCAGCAACGAGTCTTTGTCGACCTCGAGCTCAGAGACATCGAAGTGCGGGAGAGGGCAAGGTTCATGCAGTTCATCGGAAGCCCTCGTGCGATCGACGCTTGCGATCACGTGATCAGCGTCTTAGTTTCCATCGACGACTTGACCCAAATTGCGAGCCGCCGACTGTACCAGCGCGACGTAGCAGGAGAAGCAGACACTGCAGACGGTGCTAAAGAGGCGGACGATATATGCGATAGCGCCCACGAGCCCGGATCGGCCGTCGCCAGCCTCTGTGAGCGCCCTGCACGGCCTACGCTGAACGGAAACGCCTCACCAACAAGGAGCTGGGCAGAGCGCTGACCGGCAGCTGCACATCGAGAAGAACAACCCCAGCTGCTGTATCTGCGACTCTTATCGGGACCTCCACGGGCATACGATCTTTACTACAGCATCCGCGACGGCAACAGCGACTCCCTGCGCCGTCATACCTCCTCCCGAGCCCTCTGCTAATCCCGCGGCCGAGCACACGACCCTCCGTCAGTGCATGCACCTCACGTCCTCGACCAGACGGCTGAACGATACCACGACCCACTCACAGTGTACTCAGTTGTAATAGCATCTATTTGCGTTCATATTTATTCCCTCGAGGCGCAAACAACACCACGCTGTCGCCAACGTGCCGGACACACGAGTCGAGACGAGATCATAGCAGATCATACCCATACCCATACAGCCAGAAAGGCCACCTGCAACGTGACTTCCTTCACTATTCACATACTTCATCCCACCAATGACGGCCGTCGCACCCGCTCTCAGCTCCTTCCAACCCAGCACCAACTTAGGATGGAGCAGGAGTAACATGAACTCGGATGAAGTCAGCAGAATGTTCACCCCTGGTCCGCGGAAAACTGCACAGCGGCAAAACTCGAGCTCATCCATAGCATCTACAGCATCTTCGAACTCGACCATATCTGCGACATCCACGAATACGAACGGCTCCCTCCAAGCAGGAACGGACGCCTCGAACTGGGCCGCGCGGAAGAAGCCGACTCGAGGGCTGTGGCCGCCAGGAAAGGCAGAGCCAGCCACGGGCATTACAACTGCGCGACCTCAGGCTGTTACATCTGCGACGTCGAGTGCTGCCGCGGCGAACGCAATATCTGCGCTGCACGCGCCTCTGCTGCCGTCGCAGCAAATGGCGAACGGCAATGGTCAGGCGAATGGAGTGCGGGAACAAGTGCAGACTATGCCACCGGCAATACTTCACCTATCGCCTATGAATGGCACTTTCGAGCGAAAGACGATCACTGTTCCATATGCGCCCGACGTATTGCGGATTGGTCGGCAGACGAATCAGAAAACTGTCCCCACACCACTCAATGGGTACTTCGATTCGAAGGTGCTGTCAAGACAACATGCAGAAATATATGCCGATCGACAAGGCCGCATCTTCATTCGCGACGTCAAATCGAGCAATGGCACATTTGTCAATGGCATGCGGCTGAGCCAGGAGAACAAGGAGTCGGAGCCACGAGAACTGCGGGAACAGGACGTTCTGGAGCTCGGCATTGACATTGTCTCAGAAGATCAGAAAACAGTCGTACATCATAAAGTCGCAGCGAAGGTTGAACATGCTGGTATCTACGGGCAAGGACAAGACACCCTTAACTTCGGCGACCTGGATCCAAGTGCTGGCCCAGGTCTCATGGCACCACACCAGCTCAAGAGAAATGGCAGTCAAGGTTCAATTAATGGAAGAGGCTCGATGAGCCAAGTATCAAGCCAAGCAGCAATGAATATGGGCATGCTCAACCAGCCCCAGCACATGAGGAATTGGCTGAATCCGATCACCACTGAGCATATCGTGAGAAAGCTAAACGTAAGTAACTTTGTGACGTAGATTGTTTCAGAATGCTAATTGCTGCAGCACGAAATGAAACTCGCCATGCAGCAATCGCAAGAGATTGCGAGGGCGAGACAAGCTATCGAAAACATGCTTGGCGGCAAGATCGAACAGCCAGCCGTTAAGGACGCAAAGTCAAATTCAGAAAAGTCGAGGCCATCCCCGACCAAGTCCAAGCTGGATCTCAAGGCCCATTTCTATGAGCCTCCTGCTCCACCACCTCAGGCTCCACTTCCAGAGAAACCTGATGTTGCGCGTGCTCTTGCCGATCCCATAATCCAACCACTTTTGCGCAGAAGTGATACTGCTAGGTCATCCTCGGCGAACAGTTCTCCAACCAGGACCGACCATTCCGGAGACATCTTGCGCTTGTGTGAAGAACTCAAACTTGCGAAGGGCGAACTCAGCAATCAGAGCGAGCGCATGAAGAACCTTGAACAGGAGCTCGCACATGAGAGATCAGCCAGAGAAAGCGCGGAGGAGCGGGCACAAAGATTTGAGGAAGGTGGCCGGAAAGACTCACCTACCAATGATGGACACCCAAGCGCTGATAACAGCCCCGGCTCGAACATCCCAGTACCCGAACTGCAAATCCACCTCGACCGATTGCGCATCACCATGGATGAGATGAAGACGCAGATGGAATCTTATCGACAGCGTGCTGAGATTGCAGAACTTGAACGCGACGAAGCACGCCAGACTCTCGCTGAGCTTGTGGAGCAGAAACGCAAGGAGAATGCTGCCAATGCTACGGGAGTCTCTCGGTCTCCTCCTAAATCACCTCGCTCACTATCTAAGCGACCACTACAGCTTGATGGCTCTGGAGAGCTGAATGGACATGCCGTTGCACCTGCTCCGATATCTAGTCCGACTTCGATCAGTCTCATGGAGCATGCTGGTGTCGAGGACGGACAACCAATCACGCCCGACCAGGCCAGACGGCTCATCAAAGACCTTCGTCAACAGGTACTGTCTACAAGTTCCGGATCTGGGGATGGCGATAGTGCTTTGCTATATTACGGTGTCCCATACGGAAGCTTCGCTGCGGTGGTTGTCCTTGGCTATATTGCTATGACTTGGATCAATGGCTGGCCAAAGGTGGAACGCTGACAGGACTTTCGTGCTTCGAAAAATTGAAAGCAACATTCACTACAAGCTTACCACGTGTCGTAACACCCCGACAAACGTGCGAAAAGTCGACACGGTCTCCATAGGAGGCCGCCGCTCTCTGGAGCATTGCAGCAGATGAGACACACACACCTTCAAGCTTCTGCACGGCCAAACAACCTCGTGCTCCCGGCTACCATGCTCAGCCATAGGTGGTTATTCCCGAAGCATCAAAGGACGAAGGCGGGTGTGTCCTAATGTTCGTCAGGACCATCTGCAATTCCCGCCAAAAGGAGGAAACTCAGAGCGGCATGAGAGACGAAGACCTTGGAAAAGGGTCACCGGCGTTGGATCACGGCCGAGCAAAAGTGGTCCCTATATATACGACTCTTGAATGTCGCGAACTGGCGTAATTTTTTTTATTGTAGGCTGGCATGGGGCAATGAGAGCAGGAAGGCGGACGGATTCCAGACCAGCAGGTACGGGCAGCATTGGGAAAGCCGGAGTTGTGCCATTATTGTTTGTTTTGCTATACTTTTATCACACCGACGAGGCCACAGGCGATGACGTCTCCTTTGTTGTACATAGCATAGATCGAAGACTGTGCAGAAACGATGAACAAGTGTAAAAGCTACGACTAGTCTATGGCAAGGGATGAGATTCACTAGCGCGCCAATGCTCACCTAGACTGAAGTAGACATGGCAGATAATAAGCAGCAAAACACTGCTGCTCCCGTAGATTAAGATGGAGTGACTCGTGAACTCTACAATTCGCCCAGGCAAGTTACGAGCATTTCGTCCTGTTTCTGTAGCAGCCTTTTATGCGCAGCCCTCTCTGTTCATGACCAGGAGTCAAGATATCCTCCTGTTTCTGTATCGTGATTCTCTCGTCTGAGTCTCAAGCCAGCGCCTGATCCACTTCCTCTTTCGAATAACCCAAAACATACGCCACATCCAACAGCGACTTACTATTCAACCTCGTAGGCGCAGCCTTCTGTACCTTCGGCTTAGCGTTAAACGCCACCCCCAAACCGGCAGCCTCCATCATAAGCAAATCATTACTCCCATCACCCACAGCCACACAATGCTCCCTCTCCACTCCCTCCCTCCCAGCAATCCCCAAAAGCAACTCCCTCTTCCTCTCCCCATCAACAATAGCCTTCCCCTGCACCAACTCCCCCGTAAAAACTCCCCCCTCCTCCTCCAAAAAATTCGCAAAAGAATACTCCAACCCCAACCTCTCCTTCACCCACTCAGCCAACGGCGTAAACCCCCCAGATAAAACCGCACTCTTCCAACCCTTTCCTCGAAGAAATCTCACTAATTCCTCCCCACCAGGCGTAAAAGTAATCCTTCCCTTCTCCTTTAAATCCTCCCAAATCGTCGTCGGAACACCTTTCAACAACTTGACTCTCGCTCTCAAACTTGCGGAAAAATCTGTATAAGGTTCTTCACCTCGCATCGCAGCTTCGGTAATGCGACTCACAGCTTCGTACCGACCGACCGCTCGAGCGAGTTCGTCGATGACTTCTTGTTGGATTAGTGTGGAATCCATGTCGAACACTATTAGTCCTTTTCGCTGGTGAGCAGTATATAGAGATCCGGGTTGCAGCACGATTTCTATTTTTTGAGAGGTTTGCAAGGTTTGGAGTTCTGGGCTGTCGGTCCAGGTTTTGCATTCGCGGAGGGAGGGGGAGACTGGGCATGGGAGACGGAGTTCTGCTACTCGGGTTTCTTCTAGGAAGCGGGTTACTGGTGAGGTGGGTGCGTCGAGGTTGTTGAAGTGGTGCTGCAGACTGCTGGTGATTTGGTTGAAGATGTTTTGCCATGTTTGAGGATCTGGATTTTCTGTGTGGGCGAAGATGAGGGCTATGAGCTCTGAGGAGGTTGATGTGGTCATTTTGTGTGTTGAGTCTTTTTCTGACTTTGGACTCGCATGTGTAGGAGACAAGTCGTGTTCAATGCATGGATGTTATGGAGGACTCATTGAGGTCGGAACTTTTTTGGTTTAAGGTTCGAGTGGATGACATAACATTGGTAAACGCCTTGGCAGGCACGAGAAAGCACGGCAACAGGGTCAAGAGCACAGACATGAGGAAGGTAACATTAGCAGGGAGGTGTGATTCAGCTGGTATCATTTTCGGAGGCTACATGGAAGCCGCATGTGCTTGAATCCTGCACGCTGAACGCCATGCCTATGCCATTCCCATTCCCTGTCAAATCGTGGTGACGTAGCTTGGATCCGAGTGAAGAGTTTACTCCTCCTCCTCCTCGCCGCCCTCCTCATCGTCACCACCCTTCTCGGCAGCCTTGGCCTTCTTTCTGCGGACACGACCTGGACGTCCTCCACCAAATGGCGAGCTGAGAGCGAAGTCGATGTGCTTCTGAGAGTCGAGACGGACGATGAATGATGGGACGTTGACAATCTGCTTGCCGACACTGATAAAAGGGTTAGTGTGTGTTTGACGGCTGTGGACGTTGACTGCTTACCGGATGTGACGCTGGCGGATCAGGACACGGGCGTGGTGGATGGACTTGGCGAGACCGAGCTTGTAGACGCAAGTCTGAAGACGACGCTCCAAGAAATCCTCAACCTTCAGGGCCAAGACGTAATCGAGCTTCATACGGGACTCGTCAAGCACACCGACACGGACCAGACGACGAATGAGGGCATTTCCTTCGAAGAGGCGCTTTGGGTCCTTCTCGTCGAGGGTGAGCAGCTGACTGAAGTCGGTTTGTCAGAAGTGACCAAGCAAGCCTGTTTTTGGGCAATATCGCGTCTTACCGGGCAGCACGACGAATCTTGGAGAGAGTGAGCTGGACACGCCACACCTCACGCTTGTTGCGGAGACCGTATTCACCGACGATCTTCAACTCGGAGTCACTGTGCGACTATTAGATTCCATTGACTTAAGCAGAGCAAGCTCTAGCTCAGTGGCCATTAGGAGTGTACGCACAGACGAGCGGCCTCAAAGGGACGACGTGGGACCTTGTAGGTCTTGCTGTAAGAGCGTCTGAGACATAGTCAGCATGTGAAGGTCTTCTGGAGAACTGCAGGCTCTGAGGATTTGGCAGTCTTGAAGCCGTGCGATAGCTGTTGTGCGGTGCGATGGTGCAGTATTTTCCTGTTCCAGCAACATTTGGTGTATTTCTTCGTTCCTGCCGTCCTTTGATTCTGCTCTTGCTTTGACATTCCACCAAGATGCCGATGCGTATAAAACTCGTGGTGCTCGCGCGCCAGTGTTCGATTGCAAGAATGCCGCATCGCATCGCACCGCATCGCACCGCATCGCAATTCGCATTGGTCCAGAGACTGCCTTATCCTCGCTGTCGCCGATGATGTTGACTTACGGAGCCATGGCTGTGTTGTCGGATTGCCTTCGTCGAGGTCCTGCTGAGGGAAATCTAAAGCGTTGCACCTGGAGAGATCGAATTCATGTGTGCGCTAACGACGGAGCTATCCGGTCCGCCCTTGCCAAGGCCGAATTCTTGCACCCACGAAAGCCAGCAGCAGTGACTTCGAGATTCAGCAAGCACGTTGTTGCGCACAGAATGTGAGTGCACACTTGAAGATCGGTCCATTGCAGCCAATATACTGACATTACATAGAATATCGACCACTTGACGTATGCGACGAACGCCTCATTCGCTTTGCACCAACGCCGACTGACGAGAGAATTCATAGCCCTCCAATACCGTCACAATGGGTCACGCCGCAGGTCTTCGCGCAGGCACTCGCTATGGTCAGTCACACATGTACAGAAGACAAAAGATGCGGAGCAGTGGTGGAAATGATGGGAATGGTGGAAATGGCAGAGAAACAGCGGCTAATATATTGGAACAGCCTTCTCCCGCGACTTCAAGAAGAAGGGTATGATCCCTCTCGGAACCTACCTCAAGCAGTACAAGGTCGGAGACATCGTCGATGTTGTCGCCAACGGTGCCGTTCAAAAGGGCATGGTACGTAGGATCCCAAAGCCAGACATCACACATGGCTTTTGATGCATATGCGACATGATGCGCCAAGATACGATAGAGAGGCAGGACTAATGAATTACACAGCCATATAAGGTCTACCACGGAAAGACCGGTGTCATCTACAACGTCACGAAGTCCGCTGTCGGTGTCATTCTCTACAGACAAGTCGGCAACCGCTACATCGAGAAGCGCATCAACGTCCGTGTCGAGCATGTCCGCCACTCGCGCTCGCGAGAGGAGTTTCTTACTCGTGTGAAGACCAACGCTGCCAAGAAGAAGCAGGCCAAGGAGACCGGCGAGCGTGTCTATCTCAAGAGACAGGCTGCCGTTCCACGGGACGCACACACTGTCAGCGGAAAGGACAACAAGCCAGAGAACGTTGCACCGATAGCCTACGAGACCACGATCTAGAAAACTGGAGTGGGAATTGTCGGCGTGCTTTTGCAATGGGCGCATATGAGGGTGGGGCATTGGCTTTTGATGACGGGCATTATGAGCAGCGAATGTGGTCCAGAAAGGAATTTCGCATGCTGACCCAAGCCTTTCCGTAGCCAGCGAATTGAACTTGCATGCTTGAAGGACTGTGAATATGTGACTGCACTTTGTTTCTGCTTATGGGCAATAGACCAGACGCCGCGGCCTTTTCCACGCAGCCTGTCAAACAAATCCTTGCAGAAAAGTCACGCGAGTCAGGAGCCAAGACTCTGAACCTCGACTCAACACTTCCACCGCAAGAACACATCACTTCCCATCAAACACAAAGCAGCGCGGACGCGCTTGGCATTCTAGTATGTCGCCATCATCGTCTGCAGCAGCTATACCTTCTCACGTCCGCTCCAGACAGTCCTCGAATACGACTTCCGCACCTGATCCGGCCACAAACGTACTAAAGCCTAGACCATCGTCCAGACCACAGTCTCCAAATACATCATCACCTTCTACAAGGCCTGCACCACATTACACCGTATTTATTCGACTGCCATTTGTGCGAGGTTCTTTCCAGGATCCAGCTCCTTCCAACTGGAATGCCACCAAGGATAAGCAATTATGGAAGCTCATTTCGAAGGCGTCCTCAAACGATTTGGACTGGGAGGGTCTGAGCCATGATTTCGACGTCGAACTTTCGTTCCTGCTCATGCAAGCGGCATGGCTGACAGAAAGGCACATGGAACGTATGCGAAAGCAAGTGGGCAGAATTGGTGGCGTGGCGGCTGGCACGGGCAGTGGCTCTGCAGCAGGCAGTACCGGTGGTGTGAAGATGGAAAGGACTGGTAGTAGAGGTATCTCAAATTTCCAAAATAAAGCTTCAGTTCAGGCTAAGAGGTGCGCAGATTCCAAAATGCCCTCAGGATCCATCACAACCACAGTGCGGCGTGGCAGCTCCTCTCATCCTTCGGCAATAGAGACGGGAGGTCTACCAGTATCCGCAACGCCAACTTCTGGACATCCACCAATATCACGAACGCCTTCTTCAGCTACCGTCACGCAGAGTAAGATTTCTGGCTCGACAGCGAAGCAGCAACCACTTCGCGAGCGAGCACTGCGCGGATCATCTGGCTCTGCGCGTAGGCCAACCAAGGTCTCACCGTCAACACCGAGCTCCCCCAGGAATGACTATTATGAAGACGCTATTGAGCATGAAGAGCCGTCAGAATCGGATTCCGAGGAGGAGCCATCGACATTGTCAAGGAGCCAAGCTTTCCGCCGACCTCTTTTGGCCAAGAAGGCGAAGCCGTCTCTAGCCCCTCTCTCCTCTGATGGGGACGAAGAAGCTGACGATGATGATGACAGCAGCCCGGGTGGTTACTTGCCATTTGCTGGTGCTTCAAAATCAACTAAAAGGGAAGATGTGGCAGCCACGATTCGTGGCTCTCCCAAAGAGACTCCGCAACAACCAGCAGCGCAAATAGCACCTCGTACCGTAAGACCGCCCGCGCGGACTGCAACGACGACGACAGAATCTTCCGCATCATCGGCATCTTCTGCTGCAGTCATCATGCATCGCCAGTTGTCCACAGACTCTGACCAGCCTCGCCGTTCGAGCGCAGACATACCAGCAGGCAGTAGCACTAGTCACCAGCGCCGTGCCTCGGTCGGCTCTATCGCACAAAGACCGCCTGGACCTCTTTCGCCACGGCATCGGGCACAGCTGGCATCGCTCAGCCCACGATCAAATAGGAAAGATGGTTCGGAAGGAAGTCCAAGCATGGGCTCCTCGTTCTCTGACCTTGATGACGCGAGTGTAACACAGAGTGCTCTGGAAGATGCCTTGATGAGCAATATGCGTGCGCAAGGCGGTAGTACCATGAGTATGGCTGGAAGAATGAGTTCGTTAAGAGATGCGCTTGGTAGAAGACATGGATGAGAGACGAAAGCGAGCAGCTGCCAAAAACGCGAGCAGATTTCAGCAGTCGCATCGATCCTGTTTTGATGTACTCCACCATCATCGACTCAGAGCCGAATCCATGCATGATTTCAGGACCCTCGACGCCTTCTTCGCTAGGGTTTCAGTTACTAACTCTCGCAAGAAGTGCTGCTTGGGCTTGGCAAAGATTTGTGTAAAGTACGCAGGCCAAACTACCAGGCTGGACCTGGAATTTGATATTGGATCAGTTCGGCATGCAACCGAAATGACATCTCGCAGTCCTTCAGCAATGGTAGGCTTTCGCTCCAAGACTTCTACATAAACGCACACTGGGCCGCCAGACAAAGTATCCACCACTGTCAAGTCTTGAACGTTGGTTAAATGCTGAGTCGTGAAGATGGAGCTAGAGAGGTATCTCTGTCAATACATCTACACTACTACTTAAAGAGAGAATCGTTGCAGACGAAGGATGCACTGCTGAGCCGGACGCGCCGGTTCCGCAGCCCTAAGGTGCTCTTGCCCTAAGTTGTGTTACAGCAGTGGCTTGCTTGCTGGACGCCAGCCGGATATCTTGGTCCAGAACGAGCACACAGCGAATCTGCCAACAGCAAAGACACTGGTCACGAGATGATTCATCAGAGATTCAGGGCTGAATGAATCTCCAAAATGCAAGCACGCGACACATCCTAAGATCTCGGGATTTTTCCTGCCTTGAGACCGGCCCTACACGGCTCTGGGTTGACCTCGCAATGGCGTCTTTCGCGGCCGAAACACTTCATCATTTTTTCACGTACGCATCACTTCGTAACAGCTCGTATGCGTGGCTTTCTGGCCCTACTCGCTAATCGCCCTAATTCGAGTTTCTGCTTGCCTATAATGGCATCTGTATTATGTGGTCCCGGTGGTGCGGTAACACGTGGTGGGCCCTGTCTACTGCCCGAAGGATTTTGTGCATCAATCTGGATGCATCGGCTCAATTGACTTCCTTGGGAGCGAAGAACGAAAAGGTCCTACAAGTACTCAAGTCGGCGGTTAGGGCAGCCTTCGAAATGCATTGCTCTTATGTGAGAGCGGACCGTCTCTGTTCCGGGTAAGCACAAATAGAGGTCGCATCAGTCTTTCCCAAGCCCTGACGATCAACACCATTTCCTAGCATCCGACATCAACTCCCGAGGGTCTGGGCATACTCTGATACTACCTCACTTGTGTACGATTGCACAGGCCAAGAACATACCTGACAAAACCATCCTGTTCCTCGACCTACGACGACTCTAACTACGCACTCACAACAATCGATCTCAAGTGCAAAGTCCTCCCAGCTTGTGGAGAAACCACACATCCAAACCCGCCAAGAAAAGATGGCAACATCCCTAGAGATCCTCCAACCCCAACCTTCCCTCTCATCACCAATCCACCTCCCACAACGCAGCCCACCCAATCCTCTATCCCAAGACCTCGAAACCCGCTCCCTAAAAATCGCCTCCTCCCTCGCCAACCAAGACTTCACCAACCCCTGTCTCCAAAACTTCATAGTCCCAGACTTCCGCGCAGAAATCGATACCCCAAATTCGCGAATCCCGGTCATCGGTCGAGACATATATATCGCCCAACTGAAAAAAAATCTTAAGAGTGTGAAGCTGGCGGTGGAGATTATGGATGCGAGTGCGAATGTTGATGAGGAGGCTGGGACGGCTAGTGTTTGGTTACTTCTGGGTGTGGGGACAACGGGTGGAAAGGGGGGGATGAAGAGGGAGACGGTGATGGTTTTGAGGTGGAGGAGGGAGATGGAGAGAGGGGGGTGGAGGTGTTGGCAGCAGAGTTGTGTGAGGGGGTTTTCGGGGTTTGGGATTTGAGGGTGCTTTTTCTCAGCAAGTGGAGGTGTTTGGGATGATGTTTGTTTCGAAAATGGAGGATAATCTATGGTGGTGTGAAACTGCTTTGGGCTTGCCCTCCAAAATGCCGTCCTTACTCGACCCGGTCCGTGGGCTTTCGTAGCAGAGGAAGGGTGAAGCTGAGTGCTCAACCGTTGCTGGGCTGATTGATAGGAGCTGAGGCTCGATCGACTAGCTCTCGTAGTACCTAAGGCTCAGAGAAGAGGCAGGGTTGCAATCGTATTAGGACCCCGACTTCTGCTGATCGACCTAGTATCGAGCTCGCAATGCGGAGGAGTAAATGGTCATACTCAGTCACGCTGAGCAGCGACTTCCGGCTCAGAGGGGACACTCGAAGGCCTTGAAGATCTGAACAGAGTCGAATATAGCGAAGACGATTATTCGGATCGGAAGAAGCGTCGATGTTGGTGATTACTACTTTGGTCCTTGTGCTTGCTGTTGACGCTTTCTTGAGAGTTTCTTGGTGAGTGCGACCGCGAGCGAGACTGCTCTTTCGAGGCACTGATATAAGTGGCTCCCATCTGTTGGAGGAACATGTTGCTGCGCTGCGCTGCGCTGTAGTGTGTGTGGGTTTGAGGGATTGAAGCTTTGCAAGGGTGCAAGTGCCAGGGCTTTGACTTCTGCTGATATGCTTACCTCACCGCCGACTTCTGCTTCTTCCTTCTAGCATTACTGCGCAGCTGTGTGTGATTGTGAGTCTGAAGAGCAAGGGAGAATGTCGATCCTCGGAGCGGCTCGTCTGCCACGCGCTGACGCAAATTCACGAAATCTGGGCGCGCTGACGTAGCCGATCGATCCAATGCACCATGATGGGTCTAACGCGTCGTAGTTCTTACAAGAAACAAGGCAGCGTGAGAAGGCCAGACAAACGACCTGTGCTGCTCGCACTGTTGCATACTTCCATCACCATTCAAGCATTTCTACTGCCCTACCGTCCCTGGCCTGTTCATTTGAGGCTTGTCGAGTGTCGGAGTCCACAGAACGACAGAGTTGAGAGATGGTCGGCAAGAGAGCCCTGCCAACGCGAGCTTCCACTCAAAGACAGACATCCTACAATTCCCGGCCTTGGACCAGCCGCAGTACCAATGGAGATGTCGAGAGCGGTAATGCCGAGTATGACGACTCTAATGGCATTGGAAATGGCAATGTACGTTCCAACGGCGATGCGAGACCTCGGCCGAATCTTTGGCGCTTCAAGGACGCAGCAAGAACTGCATTAGAAGACAAGAGGAGAGAAGAGCTGAAGAAGACGATACTGAACAACATCCATCGCGATGATCTAGAACAATTCCGCAAATCCGATGAAGAGCTCAAGGAAATCAAGAACAAGAAGGTGCGAAAGTTCTACGAGCGCCAAAACACTCGCTTAAACGACTGGCTAGAGGTCGACACTATTGTCATGGCGATTGCCGATGATGTCTTAGAGTCCATGGATCCCGATCCTGATCATGACGGAGACCAAGAGCGGCATGGGGGCCTTCAAATCACCTCGGGAAACATTTACGACCATTTGCCTAAGGAGGAGAAAGAGAGGCGTTCAAAAGCAGAGTGGAAAGCGAAGTGGGCCATCAATATCAATGTCCTAGCCAATATTCTTCTGCTGATTGGCAAGATCGTCGCTGCCTTTACGACTGGCTCACTTTCCTTGATTGCGTCGCTAGTAGATTCTACACTGGACCTACTGTGCACGCTCATAGTCTGGACGACCAACAAGCTGGTCCAATGGCGGTTAGACGCCTTGAGCAAACGCTTCCCGGTTGGTCGCAAGCGTCTGGAACCTTTGGGCATTCTGGTCTTCAGCATTATCATGGTCATATCATTTCTGCAGATTTTGAAAGAATCTGTGGAAAAGCTCATGCCGCTGAAAGGCGAACCGGAAAATCTTGGAAATGTTGCGATTGCTGCTCTGGTTGCGACGGTGGTGGTGAAAGGCACCATCTGGTTTGGATGTATGCCGATCAAGACAACTCAAGTTCAGGCTTTGGCACAGGATTGCAAGACCGATGTGAATTTCAACACCTTGTCGTTACTTTTCCCGCTAATTGGATATTATGCCAACATCTGGTGGCTGGATCCGCTAGGCGCAGCATTGCTCTCTCTTTACATTATTTATGATTGGGGTAACTCGGTTTTTCCATAAGCATCTGATAAGCGTTCACGCTAACCATTCCAGCTTCCACCACCTTCGAAAACGTAACGAGACTTTCCGGTCAGGCTGCCGACAACGCAACAATCCAAAAACTCATCGCCCTTGCCTACCGCTTCAGCGACGTGGTGGAAGGTTTCAAGAACGTAACAGCGTACCACGCAGGAGACGGCATTTGGGTCGAATACGACGTTTTAATGGATCCTCAGACGAAGCTGTATCGATCACATGATATTGCTGAGACGCTACAATACTGCTGTGAAGGTTTGGGAGAGGTGGATAGGTGCTTTGTTTCTATCGACTACAGCTCGACCGGTCCATCTGGACATGCCATGGACGCTGAGCGGGTGTAGAATAATTGGAAATGGTCGCTATCGATAGAGGAATGCAAAGTAGCGTGATATATATTGCACAGTCAAAGCTTATGTATATATGCTAATGTATTATCTTAGATTAGTATATGCATTTCGCTGCAGTGCTATGTAATCTATAATGTTATAGCACTTTAGTCTACTAAAGGGTATTAAGCTTTAACTTGCTACCTAGTTAGTAGATCGCGAGATTCCTCTTATATTAAGAAGCTTATTCTACTCTAGTACTAGAAGTAGCCTCGTCCTAGTATATAGTATAGCAAACAGCTTAGGTATAAATTACTATTAGATTAACTTACTTACGAGTATAATACTATAAGATTTACAAATATAAAACAACTAGCCGAGTCCTTATAAGTACTATATCGCGGTAGGAACGAGTAGACGATTTAGTAGATAAGTTGTCGTATAGTTCTACGAAGAGTTACTAAGAGAGATACGACTATATCGGCTTCCTTATCGATAAGAAGCGTAAAAGTTAGAGTATGTTTATAACACTACCCCCCCTTTAATGTCCTTAGTCTCTTAAGAACTTCCTTGTCTATAATACCTATATTCTATACCTATACAATGTATTATACTTCCTATAAGGCGGTACGGGCGCTAGTAATTAAGCGATAGCGATACGAGCGCTTTAACCTTATTAGTTAGAAGCGAGTAGATACTAGCAATACTACGCTACCGTCTTGTCTACTATAGTCTAGAAGAGCTTGCAACCCCTTGCTACGGTTAAAGACCGGTGCGGTAGGTCTTTATAGTTACTAGTATAATTATAAGGGTCGGCGATATTTAATGCTTCGCGTATTATACGTACCTTCTTAATATCGGTTACCTTTCGGAGGTAGGCACGTAGTTATCTAGAGCACGCGTTATAAGGTATATAACTCGTTACTTCTAGAATAGTTACAATAAAGCGTTATAGGCATATACTAATCGTTAGCTATTCCGTAGTATAATAATAAGGACTTTAACTCGAGATAGTAAAAGAGCTGCAATCTCTTACTACTAGAGGTAGAGCACCTTTGCAGTTATTAAGCTTATTAAGCGTTATTAGCTTGTCTACGCAGACCTATGCGATGTTTATTCGGAATCTAATCCTTCGGTAGCGGTAGTAGAGTATATCCTTATATAGACCTCTTTAGGTTGTTATACTAGAAGTCTGCAATAGAGGCGGCTAAGTGCTTCCTTATTTCTTCTTTAGGCTCTAAGGTCGCCTCTTCTAGCGGGTACCCCTTCTATTTAACCTTATACTATATATATTTCGGACCCCTCGCGTTCTTCTCTTTCGCTCCCTTACCCTTATACTTCTCTACTTATATATCTAGTACTTCTTCTACCTCGTAGTTTGTACCTTCGGGTAGGTTAGCATTATCGGAGGTATCGAGTGTCTTATCGGAAGTGTTAGGCGGTACGATAATAGGAGGCAATAGCGGCTCTTCTTATCCGGGCAGAGGGTCGGTTACGGTAGGCTATAACTAATTAGTATTAAAGACATTTTTAACTTTAATAGTATTAGGGAGTTCTAGCCGGTACGCGCTATAGGGCAGAACTTCCTTAACCTTGTAAGGTTCTATAAACTTAAAGTCGAGTTTCTTCGCCGGTCGGGCGGTTTTCTAGTTACAAGTATTAATAAATACTAGATCGCCGACTTAGTAGAAGGCGGGCAAGAAGCGCTTCTTATTTGCGAAGTCTACGTATAACGCTTAGGCCTACTTAATCTCTTAGCGCATATAAGCATATACGGCCTTTATACGAGTAGTAAACGCATCGGCGGCTTATATATCTAGGCGCTATTTATAAGGAAGGACCGTCGGCATTTCTAATACAAGATTAATATCGGTAAAGGATAGATAACGGCCGATATTCGCGAAGAATAGGGTAACTCTAGTCGTCGAGAAAACGTAGTTATTAGCTACGAATTTAGCTAAAGGCAACTAGTCCGCCTAATCGGCTTAATTATATACGTAGAATACGCAGAGATACTGTTCTATAATCTTGTTAGTGTTCTCGGACTATCTATTAGTCTAGGGATAGTACGTAGATAAGAGCTTTCGCTTTAACTCGAGTAGTGCGTATAGTCGCTTCTAGAATAATAATATAAATTGTTTTCCGCGGTCGGAGATAATCTCTTCTAGCTATCTATAGCGACTCTAGATATACCGTAGGAATACGCGAGCGTAGTATTTGGCTTTTATAGACTTAATAGGTATAAGGTAGCGTTCTTTAGTAAGTCGGTATATAATAGTTATAATATTAGTATAGGTAATATTATCGAGGAGGCTAGTTAATTCTAGAAGGTCTATAACAAAGTCGATAGCGATGCTTTACTAAGGAGCGGTTAGCGTCGGCAAAGGATATAGTAGGGACTGCAACGGTCGGTTAAGTATTTAGGTATTATAGCACGTTCGATAGTTGCGGTAGAAGCGGGCGATTATACGAGCTATTTAGGGCTAGATAAAGTTGCGGCTAACTAACTTATATGTCTTCGCTCTACCTAGGTAGCTAGTAGTAGGGCTACTATAGTAGTCCTTAATAATGCGGGTGCGTAGAGGTATATCTTCTCTAGGTATAAAAAGGCTCTAGGTACTATAGCAGTTATAGATATAGATTATACCGTCGAGTGCTTTACAATCGTTACGGTAATACTTTAGCTTTGCTAAGTATAGTACGGAGGGTTAATCGCGTACTAGTTACTCTACTACTTAGCGAGCGGGCTTATCGTAGAGTATACGGATGTCGTCGAGGATGCTCTCTACTTACTTAACTTCTATACTAGCGACGCGAAGGACCTAATAAGGTTTGATTACAACTCGTTGCTAGTGCTATAAACGGGGGTCGCTAGCTTCGGTAGAAAGGTCTTAAGATCTCCGAGTTAAGGCATTAGGTTTAGTGTTAGATTTGCTAGGTTAGTAGATAATCGTAAAGTTGAATTAAGAGAGGTATTCGGCCTAGCGAGCTTGTCGGCGGTTTAGGAGTTTAGTAGATATAAAATACTCTAGATTCTTGTAATTGGAGTAAACCTTTATAGGTATACTATTACCGTCTGCTAGCGAGTCGTTAGTAGCGAGCTTAGGGCGCTATTCTTCGAAGGCCTTTACGATAGCTATTAATTCCTTATTATAGATATCGTAGTTATATTTAGTAGGGGACATCTTCTTAGATAAGTAGGCTACGGGTCGGAGTAGGCTATTACTACCGCGTTGCGATAATACGGCGGCGGTAACGAAGTCGGAGGCGTCGGTCTCGAGGATAGTTTTAAGACTAGGCGTAAAGTAGGCTAGTATTAGCGCCTCTAGGAATAATCGCTTTAGATATTAGAAGGCACTTTTATAGGCCTCTATCTAGATAAACTTAGGTCTATTTCCGTTCTTATCTTTAGCGGTACGAGTAAGGTCCGTAAGTAGAGACGCTATCTTACTAAACTTCTCGATAAAGCGTTAGTAGAAGTTAGCGAAACCTAGGAACGATTAAACGTCCTTAACGTTACGTAGAGTTTCCTATTCTTAGATACATTAGACCTTAATAGGGTCTATTCGGATACCGTCCTTTCCGACTATTAAGCTAAGATATTTAGTCTCTTCGGTATAGAACTCGCATTTGTCGATATCGACTTAAAGGCCTACTTTACGAAGCCGACTTAGGACCTTGCAGACGTGCTATTAGTATCCTTCTAGTATGTCTAAGAATACGAGCATATTGTTAAGGTAGGCGGAGGCGAAATCGTCGAGGTATTCGCGAAGAGCTCCGTTAATCGCGCTCTAAAAGGTAGAGGGTGCGTTATATAGGCCGAATAGTATCGTAAGGCACTCGAATAACCTATATCGTATAGTAAAGGCTGTTTTCTACTTATAGCTAGTAGCGATGCGAATGCGATTAAACGCGGCGATTATATCGAGTTTAGTAAAGAACTTCTTGCTATTAAGCCGGTTAAGCGTGTCTTATACTAGGGGAATAGGGCATCGGTTTTTAATAGTAAGGGCGTTAAGTCCGCGATAGTCGATATAGACTCGAAGTCTACCGCTTAGTTTCTTAACGACGATAACTAGTAAAGGACGGAAACCAATACTACTACTACTACTTGTAGCAATAGTATAGGCTACCGAGGGTAACATAACCTATAGCAATATAGGCAGCTATGTTTAGTAAGATAGGATAACGAGACTGTCGCTTAGGCTAATAACTAGAGCCCTATAACATAGGCATTGTAGAAGTGTAATATAAACAATGTGCTATACGAGGTTAATAATCTATCTACTCTATAGAAGGAGGCCTCTTATATAGGCTTAAAACTGCCCTATAGGTATAGGGCCGGTTACTAGCTAATATCCCTCCCTTTCTTTGTATCTAACTAGACACGTTTCACATTATGCGCGCTTAAAACAAACATATATGCATCTTTAGCGCTCTTAGCTAAGGCTATTCTTAGAACTCCGCAATAATACCCCCGGGGTAGCATTAATCCTAGATGCTATAATTATATAAAAACAACTTCCTAAGCAATACTATACAGACTTACTATTGCTTTAACGCGCCGTAATCCTTACTAGTAATAACCTTATCTGCTAGTCGGCTCTCGAAATCTCCTCCGTATACGTTAAAGCTATTAGTACCGAAGTACTATCCCTCGTAGAAAGCTTAATTAACGAGGAGGTTAGTAGCCTTTTCCGTCGTAGCTTTCTCCTAATCGTATAGATATTCCTTAAGTCCTTCGTTATTAAGCTAGAGGATCTATTTAACTTCGTTCTAAACAACGTAACTTAACTAAGGAATCCTACTAACTAGGGCGTCGGAGATATAGCCGAGGCCTTCGACTAAGATAGCCGTAGGGAAAGCGAATAGTACGAAGGAGTTAGAGGATAGGAGGGCGGTTAGATTGCGGTGCGCTTTAGCAACCTAAGAGACTATTAAGTTCTCGTAGCCCTTAACCTTAGTGCCGTTAATAACGCGAGAGTAGCCTAGGTTAATTAATATACGGTTGCTCT